ACTTGATGTTACAATTTGCCTCCGTGACCCCGTCTCTTTTTCATGTCTCTCTGTTTCCAGAATCATAGAATTTGTTTGACTTTTCATAGTTGTAACTACTTCAGATTCAGATTCAGATTCATTTATTTGCCATTTGCAGTAAAACCACATAGGAAAAACTGTGCAAGACTACCCCGGTGTGCACCAACGACACACACCAGAGCTCTTGCCACGGCGCAATCTTTACGGCGCCATGCACTATAAATTTATGTACTTATAATGCATTGGTTTTAAATAGCGCTATTTTGGACACTCAAAGACGCTTCACATGACATTAATTCACTCCATAGCCACAGCTACACTGAAAAAAGCGATGCAACCAGTAGGTGCCATCGACCCACCACCAATCATTCACACACTAGACTTATACTAGGCAATGAGGGTGACGTGTCATGCCTTTGGACAGTTTGGCACTTTGCAGCCACGACTGCCCCCCTGTAGCACCTACCAGCCAATGCCCTGCTTAGCTACAGGAGAGTTTCTCAGATGTTTTGTATATGTTTGTTCAGTACTTCTTGTTAGTACCTTGTGTTTGTGCTCCCATCTTGCTGTGGATCCTATTGACTTACATTGAAAAGCAAACTTCACTAGCTCAGTCAAGGTTCTTGTCAGATTCACTTTTTTGTGCTTAAAATAAATCTGTGGTTTAGCGCTTTCTATGATTCTGTTTATTTCAACTTTGATATTTTGTGTTTGCGAATACAGATACGGGCCAGTTCTGCCTTCATTTGCGGAGGAAATGCTTGCCTTAGCAACATGTCGTTGGAAAAAACGGCGTCGGAAAAAATGCCCATTTCAGGAAATTGGCTCCTGCTAGCTTATATTAATAAAAATGGCTCCTTCTGCATTAAGGCTAACACCATGGGTAACCTATGGGTGAACTCGGTCTATCCATTCCTCTAGGGCTTAATCAAGGCTGTTTTATCAAGTTATAGAAAAAGTTCATCCCATTTCACATTCGCCTCAGTTGGGTTGGGGATAAGTAGTGGGACAGCCGCTTTTGAAGCCCCACACCATCATCCCAGAGAGGTCAAGAGGCAGCGAGGCCAGAGAACATAAGACAACCTCTTTAGTCTCAGAGCTGAAGGTGGGACAGGTCAGTGTGGAGGGTACAACATCTCCTCCTCAATTCATCACCTTGCCTTCTCATTGCCGTGTAATTAGCGATCTGTGCTCTGAGGCTGACATGAGCTGCCGACGGCGGCCACTCCAGCATCAATATCCTCTCGTTAGCATGTCTGTTAGCGGGTAAATGCGGCTCTTGTTGCCCAGCAGGGTTCCGGTTCCATTAGCATCAGCATTGAGATGCATGGGAGACAACAAGTGCCGCCAATGATCAACGTCAATTACAGAGCAGCAGCAGGAGAGCAGCCTCAACCTGTCAACCCATCATCTGCCCAAGAGTGACCAGACTGACAGCTCTGAAGACGTCAGGCCTCCGTCTAAATAACAGCAGAGGATTAATGACGTGGAAACTCAAAGTAAAGTTTACCAGGTTAAGGGTTACCAGGTGGAAAAAAGGAAGAAACCAGAACATTTCTAACTGTATTTGTCTTTAATCTTCATGAGCAAGATCAGAGAACCTTTATTCATCTCCCAGTGGGACACTATCTGTCAATACTGGGGTCCACTACACACTTATGCCTACCCAATAAGACAACCTTGTCAGACAGTTGAAATGCAAAAGGGAAATGGGGAAATAAGGTCCTTGGGTCACGTCTGAACATACTACACAGAGCACCTGTGTTTACGGTTGGTATGGATATAGAATTGCAGAACATCTCTGGTAAATTTCTGGAACGTTTTCAGTAAATTGCCGTAGGAAGTTAAGCTGGGGAATTATGGAAATATTCCATAACTGGGAAATCATTGTACATTAATTAAATTGTATCAAATCCAAGCTTAAACAAATTGCGCTTCAGAACGACCCCATTTTAAATCTGGTATTGTCCAATTCAACATTATGCAGGGAGGACACAATGCAGTTAAAATGAAGATGCAGGACACAGAATCAGTCCAGAGCGGTCAGATTCCCATCAGCGTTTGTGTGGTGGTTGTTCATGTTGACTGCCGCTGCTCGATAAGAGCGACGGCTGCACTGAGGAGCCCAGCGTTTGGCACCGCTCCTGTTTCCCTGTCACTGCCTCTAAACCCGGCCCAGTCGCTCTGCTACTGCCAAAGCGCCATCAGAGCTATCCAAGCAGTGACATCTGTACAGCAAGGCACCGAGCCACGCCGTCGCCACCAGACAGCACCCACACACCAGCAACAGCAACCATGCACGAGGAGCTTTCAGTCACTACATTTGATTAGATTTATTAACGAAAAGCCCCTTGAGACACTGAATCTCATTTTCGAGACGGTCCAATGAACATAAAACAAACAATTTACCATTTACCATAATTTCTACTTTTTTCTACTTCTTTGACCCCGGCGACTTATGTAGCGATGCGGCTAACATATGTATTTTTATTGTGGAGTTGTCACAGCAGAGTTTAGGAACATAATATTTTGACTAATATTTTTAAAACAGTCGTCTCTCTGCTACATTAGAACATTTGGCTTATATTCAAGTGCGTCTGTGAAGTGTGCCTTATAGTCCAGAAAATATGGTACTCATTTGACACATACAAACAAGTATTCTCCCTTTAGTCCCACTCCGCTCCCCTACAACAATACAACATTCAGAAAACACAATTTCTGTATATAAAAATCAGATACAGTCCATACATACATCAGCAGGATAAAAACATGAAAACACACAAACCAGAGGGATTTTATCTTTGCACTTTTTAATGTACGGTGATTATTTATGATTTTAATGCCTTGTGCGACTGTCTTTGAGTTGCCTTGTGTATGAATTGTGCACAAATAAACATGCCTTGCCTTCCCATAACTGAGCCTGGTCTTGGATTGACAAATGTGTTCAATTAGTATTTACCTTTGCTAGTTTTAAATTACAGCAATCACTATCAACGTGTCCATTTGACAAATTTGTTTTCCAGATTGTGTCAAGGCAAAAATACTTCTGTCTTCATGGCGTCTTTGTAAATGCACTGCTTTCTCGCCACGGAGCACTTCCCGACCAAGATTACCCTTTTCACATTGTGATGCAACACTGTCTTCAGCATCATCTCCACTGACCTCAGAAGACACAGTTTGCTGACATCAAAAGCTTGTCAGCTTTTGAATAATTATGCCTCAACAGCTTAGTAAAGGATTTAATGCTCTCTCCGTCACATCATCTCCTCTCGCCTCCTTACATTGAAAGAATAATAAAGTGAGTCATATCAATATCTCACTTTATATACCTTGAAAGTATATATTATCAAGGAGGGCGTCGAATGCGTTATCATTAATCTTAGTGTAAGAAGTCTGCTCCGATTTAATGCCTTGGCATAAGCAGCGATGAAGAGCCATTTTCCCTTCTCATCACTTGTGTAAAGGGCAAAGTCGTGCTGCTGTCGGTATGTGGTAGATGAGGGGTTTGTGAGACAATTACAGGGAATGCATTGGGACCTGGATCTAGGACCTGGATCTAGGACGAGGGATCCTATTAACTCCAAATGAAAACATGGGAGCTACGTTAAGGTTAACTAATACTTTACATTTATTTTAGGATCTATATGTCATGTTTGTTAATGCAACTTCAGAATATTTACGTTTTCGTCACTTTAAGAGAGAGAGAGCCATACGGGTTATTTGCTGTCGGTATGTGGTGGATGAGGTGTTTGGGAGATAATAACAGGGAATGAATTGGGACCTGGATTATTATTTTTTTTTTACAATTTTTATCAAAAATACTTAACAACACATTTAAAATTGTATTTCTTTCATACTTGTAATCACGGGACATCCACTCCCTGATCTGCAAAAAACAAATCTTGTCTCATACTGACTGAGTGACTGAGTTTTGGTGTTCAATTTTCAAAGCCTTTACAAGCAGAGACTGGGCGATTTAAGGACATTTCTTGCGTTTGAACTGTTTGATTCTCTGATCTAGGGCTATACAAAGATACATTTAATTGAATAGTATGAATACAAACTGTGAGAGCATGGCATTCCAACAATTGTTTCCTAGAAGCAGCTTTAATAATAAGTACTTTTCTTCCATTCACTGAACATAGCTGGAAATGTTTCCACAAAAAACAAAGTTCAGTGAAGAGTGTGGTAAATGTATGAAATATGCATTTGACTCTCGCTTGCTGCCTCGTCGATAGCTGCTGGGATGTAAAGTTGGAGGGAGTGATAGTGCTTACGTACATCTTTTACTATGGAACAAACTATTTCTGCAGTGACTGAAATAAAATCACACTTTGAATCAATGCTAAAACAAGCCATAGGTTCCAGTTCCTCACACAATCCAGCAGCAAATAAAGACATACAAAGGAGCGAAAAGGACAAGGCCACATCTGTAAACAGAACCTATGGCCGTGTAAGTCAATACTAACACTAGAAATCCCAGAGCAGTCAATTTGACGGCTTTTAGATTTGGTAAGAAGTGTAATTACTCAGCTCGTGTATTTTTGAAATGTGAGGAGTTCTAACTAAAAACTAAACTAAACTAAACTAAAATTCAAACTTAGCCAATTCCTTGTTTTTTTTTACAAGATTTCCTCATCTTGGACTGGCTTTGGACTGGTTCTAGTACTGGACTGGTACTGGTTCAGAGTTACCATAGCAACACAGTTAGCATTTGGTCTTTAGCATTAGCCTTTCAACAAAATGTTTTTTCTGTATTTCACGTTTTATTCACCAGTTTTCACACTTGGTACAAGAAAGTACAGGTAAAACTCTTATAAATTGATTACTTTTATCAAATCTGGTGAAAAACTAAACCACTTATTGTGGCTAATTTCTCAGAATTCCATTGGTTTGAATGAGAGCAGTCAAAATGATGGCTCTGAGGGTTGTAGTAGTTTCAAACGTGTGGGTGTCTCAGTGTAAAAGCTGCAGCAGTGATGTGTGAGGGTCCTGGCCACAGCGGGAGGACCAGATCGAGCACTGACCTCTGCAGAGACCTCGGCATCTCTCCTGGTCCGGCTTTGGGAGAGCCACTGCGCTGTCACCGTCTGTCCCCTGGGCAGCCCTGCAACGGGAACAACAAACAGGACATGAATAACTTGTGTGGGGCTTGTTCTCCGCAGGGATCTGCTCTGGAATAATGGAAACATACGCAACAACATATACAGGAATCAAGAAGGAAGTAGCTTGTAGACTCTGAGGTTGTCAAAAGTATCAAAAATCAGATGTTAAATCAATGTTAAAACTGGTAATGATACTGGAAAAAATCACATCTGACATCCTCGCGCTGACCTCAAGAAGAGTTGGATTCTACTTCCAGACGAGGTGTGGCAATGGAGTGCATGTATAGGTTTCCCCTTCCATTAAAAACATGCACAATAAGTGTGGCATGCGTATATATGAATAAAAATTACTTACTTAGTTAGTTACATAGACAGGAAAAAAATGTGAGATTGTCTGTGCTGTTTTCAAATGATTTCTGAGCTCAGATTTACTATAAAATCTTGTGGTACAAATTTAAAAGTAATGTTGTTTTGCTATTCATTATTTATGTAAGAATGTGAAGCTAGTCCAAAAAGAGATTTTTGAAAATCGCCATAGTATCAAAATTGGTATCTAGTATCAAGTCTATATCTTAACCGTATCGAAATCTAGTTTGTAATTTGGACGACACTTACTCTTTTATTGGATGAGTGATAATACATTCAAACTTCTTCTAAACCACCTGGGTTTGGTCCCTGCGTTAGCGATTACAATCGGTTGAATTCCATCCGACCAATCAGAGAGCGCGGGAGGCGGGTGTTGTAGTTAGTTGTGGGTGATGTCAAGAGTTTGCGCAGAATGGGCAGGTTGTAGTTTGGCAATGGCGAAGAATGCGATAGTAAAGTATTCCGGTCTGGTTCAATCAATAAATTGAAGCTGGAGCAAGAGGAATGTTTAGCAAATGTAATCGCTGGCAAAGATTGTGGCGCTACTCACCATGGGCTCCATTAGCGGCAAAGGAGATGGCTAGGCTAAATGCTAAATGCTAACGACTCACTCAAATTCCAATCGTTTCAATCTGCGAAAGAAGTTAACCCCTCCCACCTGTAAACTGAGCTCAATGGAGCACCTCCAGACCTTAGAACGAAATGTAATTTGTACTATGGTGTGGTACGACCAGGCTACCTTCAGGGAATTGTTAATACTCATAACTTAATACACTCAACGAACAGCCTAAATATTAATTGATTGACTGCGGAACCTTCCGCAGTCAACCATTGGTTTTGTATTTCTTTATTCCGTCATTTTTTTTGACACGTTTCACAGCTTTCACATTTTCAACAATTTCCACAAGTTATACATCAAAACGTTCCACATGTTTGGGAGATTATTGCTATTACTTTTGGGACTTCAGCGATTTCCGGTTTTTCCGCAATCGGACAAAAATCTGCATTGAGAATTCTGCAATGCATTTTAATAGGCCCATGCATTTTAATAGGACTTCAGCTCTTTCAGACATTTCTACAGTTTCAATGATTCAACAGTTTCAAGGATTCAACAGTTTCAAGGATTTCAGCAGTTTCAAGATTTCAAGAGTTTCAAGGACTTCAACAGTTTCAAGGACTTCAGCAGTTTCAAGGACTTCAGCAGTTTCAAGGACTTCAGTGTAATCATGCAACCTAATAGGGATTTTTCCATGTAAACCAGTATAATGCAACTTAATAGGGATTTTTCCATGTAAACCAGTATAATGCAACTTAATAGGGTTTTTTCATGTAAACCAGTATAATGCAACTTAATAGGGTTTTTTTTCATGTAAACCAGTATAATGCAACTTAATGGGGATTTTTCCATGTAAACCAGTATAATGCAACTTAATAGGGGTTTTTACATGTAAACCAGTATAATGCAACTTAATAGGGTTTTTTCCATGTAAACCAGTATAATGCAACTTAATAGGGATTTTTCCATGTAAACCAGTACAATGCAACTTAATAGGGATTTTTCCATGTAAACCAGTAGGGGGGAGGGGCGTAGAGGTGGCATTGTTGCCCTTTGCTCTTTGATCTGTGACCTGTGGCTGGGTGGGCGTTGCGCTGTCCAGTGTCCAGCAGTGACCCTGTACAGTGTGGCAGAGTCTGAAAAACAATCCTTGAGACGGCCAGGTTTTTTTTAAAAAACAATAGATATCAGTATGCGAATGAGATTGTTTTTCTCCCTAAAGTCAAAACAATTTTGGAGCGCTCTGGGTTTTCCCAAGCGCTATGTAAATAAAAGATTACTTATTATCTTACTAATGATGACATTTTTAAGACCAGAAACTCTTAATATAAAAAAACAAGACTCAAATCTAAAAAAACCTTTTTAAACTTTAAACTATGTATTATATACTTTTGTACTGTGTGATTAATTATCCATGAACATTTATCTCATCATTTATTTTACTAATTTAAAATAATTGCAGCATTTTTCAAATGAAGTCAGTATGAATTGGAGCACATTTTAGACCAGGCTCCTCTGCTGTGGCATCAGCAACAGTAAGGTCAGGCGTGTAGTCAAAACAAAAACAAAAGTCACCACTTGCAAGGTGAATTGGGTAGTTTAACTTAATAATACTTTTACAGCCTAATTCCCTCTTTCTTTTTAGACTAAGTCTATAATCAATAATCACTTTTAACACAGATTCTAATTTAAATGTTTGAAAAACGGCTTTTGTAACTAAAATAAAAACATAAAAAAATTCTCACTAACAGCTATGAAATATATCAGAGATGCAATAATGGACTCACAAAATAAGCAGCAGATTTAAAAAGAAAAGCAAAGCTTTTTGTACTAATCTTTGGGTTTCAAAAACATACTAATTCAAAACTTATATTTACTAAATGGTGTTTAAAAACGTTTAACTGTGTCATAACACAAGGTTCAATTGCAAATTTCGCAAATTTAACTGAATAACAACTATGAAAAGCCTAAATCCTAAAAGCAGTAGCTTTGCTCTGATTCAGAGCCAGAGCAGCGAAGGTGGGGGCCGTTTCCCTGACAACGGCAGCAAGATAGTGCGACGCACACAGGCAGAAAACTTTCAAGATTACTTTGCTAAGCAAATATAACTGATGTTGTTCTTTAAACTTTTGTCATCCAAGTCTAGAAGTGATCACTTTCCACACTAGTAACAAAAGGCACTCTTACTTTAACGTACGCTTCTATTTTATTGAGGTAGCAAACTAGTTTAAACTCAAAATCTCTTTCTAAAAAACAAAAACAACTGTTGGATACAGCCCTCTCATAGCTTAACTGTAGATATAACTCGGCAAAAAATGTAAATAACTCACGAAAGCTCTCATAGCTCAACTTTAGATAAAACTCTGCATTCTCCGGTGAACTCTGTTCACTCCAAAAACAAAAACTCCCTTTTTCTGTATGTAATTTAAACCGTGATCACTGAAATATAACAGATGTTATTGCTTCAACTTTTGTCACTCATTAAACTTGAAATTGGCCAATTTCAAGACTTTTGCAACAAAGGTCTCTGCACTCGTTTTTCCTCCCTTTTTATTTATTTTTTATTTTTACACCATGGTTTCTCTCAAAGGGACTTTAACCCTGAAGCTTCTTCTCAAAGGGACTTTAACCCCGAGACTTTCTCAAAGGGACTTTAACCCCGAGACTTTCTCAAAGGGACTTTAACCCCGAAAACGTTTTCTCAAAGGGACTCGAACCCTGAAGCTTCTTCTCAAAGGGACTCTAACCCCGAGACTTCTTCTCAAATACAATTTAGAGAGTTTGACAGACCCCAAAAACAGACCAAAATTTAGCTAATATCCAATTATGCAGACTTTACATATAAAAAGGTGTCTGCTTACCTTATTCTTGTCAAACCGGTTCCAAGGACTGTCCGAGAGGTCTGCCAACCTCTTTTCCGCGTCGGAATATTCAATTTAAAAAACAAAAGTGACAAAAGCGACAAGAAGCATCCAGGAACAGCTCTTCCAGCCTGCTGGAATCTCCGCTCCCAGACACAGCATGCCGATCTCTCACGCAGAGGAAAAGAAACAGAGCAAACTCCCCCAAAACAATCCAGAGAATGGCACAAACCGAGCCGCGCATTCTCCACCAAATCTGTTAGGATTCAGCAGACAGAGACGGATCGTGGTGTGCCAAACTCTGGAAGTTTATTTAAGTTTCTCTCAAGTTCCACTGGTTTACTCTGTTTCTTTCTCTCAGACAGAATAAAGGCAGTACACAGTTTATATAGTCATTGTCACGTCACACATCGAAAGACATACGTGTCACAAAGAGACAGTCAAATCATAGTCATAACATGGAGTCCTTGTACAGTCCTGCACGTAGGCCATATTGCTATCTAATACTAATATTACCTCTGATTATGCCAGAGTATCCCACATTTGTTCTTAGGGCTATGGCCAAGGTTCAAGTGCTATTGCAAATAATAGGGGGGATAAGGGACAACCTTGTCGTGTTGAACGTTCTAAGGGAAAGTAAGAAGAGTACTGTTGGTGCGGACAGAGGTTTGAGGATGGGAGTACAGTAACTTATCCAAAGTTACAAAAATTGGGCCAAAACCAAACCCCGACAGGACAGAGAAGAGATAGTCCCACTTGACCCTGTCGAAGGCCTTCTCAGTGTCCAGCGAGAGCAGTAGTTCCTGTGTCTTTTTATCTTTCCCAGTATAGATTACATTAACCAGTTTCCTAATGTTAAAGATCAAGTGCCGATCTTTTATGAACTGCTTTAGTTACAACTTTTTATTTTATTTCAGCAATTTTATTTTCATTTGCAACACAAGCACGACTTTGCCTAAATGTTAGAAGCAGTTGCAGTATATTTTTATAAATTTTAAAAGAAGGAGGAAGCCCGTCTTCAAAAACAGATAAAATTGCCTTAACAATTTAGATAGATGGATCGAGCCCATCACGGGACATACTCCAACTGCTCCCACTGCTGTCGTTGTGTCCTTGGGAAATACACTTAAAGTAGTACTAGAATTTTATTTTACCAATTGCAGTTTTTGTAAGGTTAGAGCCGTATAAACATTTTGGGAGAAAAAAGAAAACTGAAAAAAAAGAGAAACATGTAAATTATTACACTTTTAGAAATCACCAGTTAAAAACATGCCACCCGACGTGTGACGTAGATGGTTGGCATCCCGCATTCGAACACGCGCCTACTCTGTGTACTGTACACTTACACAACCGCTTTTTTTTTTTACTTTTCTTCGGCTTAACGATGGGGAAAACGTGTGTCGCTTACGGCTGTAGTAATGTAAACAAGGATGGCGTTTCATTACACAGTTTCCCAAATCCTACAACTGAAAAAGAGCGATTTGACCAGTGGAACAGACAAGTGAAACGGACGCGTCTTCATTGGACCGGCCCTCCGCTTCCCTATCTGTCTGCTGCGTGGAGATCCTGTGTTGTCTGCTCTGAGCACTTCACGTTGGACTCGTTTGAACACATTAATTCGGTGGCAGCGTCTTTGGGGTACAAGACACGGGCTACATTAAAACCTGATGCCGTCCCAACAGTCTTCAAACGAAAGAAGCCGAGCGAGGCTTCCCCGACTCCCGCAAGGACGGACAGACGCACACTTCTGACCCACAAGCTCGAACACCGCAGGGTAAGTTATGCTTTTTTTTATTGTTCATTTGTTTTAGTTAAAACCCGAACTTATAGGCTTATTTTAAGTAGCCACAAACACACAAAAACCATACTAAGTCTAGTTACTGTAGCCTGTCATACGCTAACCGTGTACTTGCAACACGGTTAGCTAGCCGCTGTTACTATTCCTCGATCTCTGTGGTTCCCAAACGGTGGACCTAGACCTAATAGATCCATGGCCTAGACACACTGGTGTGTCGTGAAGCACGTCCATGTGTGCCTTGGGATTTTGTGACAATCCTACGTAGCCCCGGTCTAATCCAGGAATAAACTACAGTAGGACTGAGACTCTTACTAAAATCTAATTGCCTTGTTTTAAGAGTTTTAAATGGGTGTCCTTCTTATTGTTAGCTTGAATATAAATATAGAGTGTTGTAACAAGTTGTAACTTGTGTGTAGGCAGGCTATTGCTTGGTTTAGTCCTGGTTTGGACCTGGTTTAGTTCTGGTCTTAGTCAGGGTTTAGTCCGTTTTTTTCTCTGCTTTAGTTGGCTTAATTTTATTCTTGTTTTAGCTCTGGCTTAGTCTGATTTTAGTTATGGGTTTGTTCCTGGTTTAGTCTGTTGCTGTTTACCCACAATTTCAATAAATTCAGGTGTTTCTTAAAGAAATATTCTGTAAAATGTGCATTGTTTTTTTTAAATAAATAGTCTTTAAATAAGTCTTAAAGGACCTTGATGAAATCTGTAGAAACAAGAACAAGTGATTCACAATTGGCAAGTAATTTAGCTTATTAAATTCAGTTTTTTTGTGATATGGACAGGTGTTGATGAGATCAAATATGACAGGTTATTCTTTTCTTTATTGCAGATGATAAATTCTCTCCTTATTCATGCCATGGACCCTGTGCATCCATCAACATCAGCGGGCTCCTCAAATGAAGATGATGGCATTGGCACCTTTACACCTTCACTTCAAGATCAATCCACACAAACCACATTCAGAAACAAGTCAACGTACAGGAGCAAAGGTATGTTGGTACAGTTATATCCACATACATACACATATGTATAAATATGTTTATGTATGTGTGTATATATATATTACTCATGTATTCAGCCATTTATTCATTAACTCAGCTAAACATTTTTATATTGATAGGAGTTTCAGTTCGACCCCGCCAGCGTTCCGTTTCCATACAGTGTACTCTACCATCTAAGAAGGCATGTAGCTCGGATTATCCAATTAATATTTTTGAAGTCCATGATGAGGATGAGGATTTCACCATAGAGGAAGCTGATGACCCTGATTACATCGCAGATGAGCAGGACATTATTGAAGAGTCAGAAAGGTATGTATTTTGTGGAGGTGCGAAAAAGTTGAATATTTCAGACACATTAACATTTTTTTTATATGTAATTTCCAGGATTGAATCATGGCAGCCGGGAGAAAAATTTTTCTTGGTTTCAGAGAGCAGCCTTTTGTCACTTTTTAAGATGTGCCCACAATGCACGACAGAAACTGACTGTTCAATAAGCACTGTATCTGGAACAGCAATATCCATAAAGCAAGAATGCCAATCTGGCTTTTGTAGATTTGAGAGACAGTGGAACAGCCAGCCAATGTTGTCGCGAACACGAGTGGGAAACATATGCCTGAGTGCAGCAATTCTCTTTGCTGGCCTAGCCCCATCAAAGGCCCTTCGTATGCTGCACCACATGAATGTACAGTGCATCAGCTATGATACTTTCATGAAACATCAAGCCCAGTACCTACTTCCGTCGATCAATGAAGTATTTACAAATCATGAAGATGAACTGTTGCAAAAAGTGAAAGTGACAAATCAAAGTGGAATAGTTGCAAGTGGGGACGGAAGAGCAGACAGTCCAGGTACATGATTTGATGATCAATAAATCAAACTCTTTATGAAGTGATTTTCATACAAAATGCAACACAAAGTCCTTTACAAACATTAAAATCAAATACAAGCAAAACAGTTTACCTCACAAACACACTTGCACACACATACTCAGGCTCACATAGTGAAACGTCTACAATTGAGTTTCAGTTAAATACAGCATTCACTGGTTCATCTCTCTCTGCTCAGCTTTACCACATTGTAGTTGTCCATGGATTATGTGATTTTGTAAAGTGTCTTGTAATTTTGGCCTAGGGCACTCGGCAAAGTATGGTACATACACAGTAATGGAGAGGAAAAGCAAAACAATAATTGCTTCCCAGCTTGTACAGGTGACGGTTTATATTTCATAAATATGCATGCATGTAAAAAGTAAATATTTTATCTATGCTTTGTTTTTCAGTCAAATGAGGTCACCTCAAGCGTAGCTATGGAGAAAGAAGGTTTACTCCGAGCATTAGATCAGCTCAACAGAAATGACGTTGTCATCAAGGAGTTGGTTACAGATAGGCATCTATCAATTCGCAAAATGATGAGAGAAACAAAGCCTGATATAAAGCACAGTGTTGACGTCTGGCATCTTGACAAAGGTGTGTTATAGGTCATACTTGAATTTAATTTTTAAGTAGAATTAAGTAATGTTTATTGTGCTGTTGCAGGTTTAGGAAAGAAGCTTCTTGCAGTCAGTAAAGAGAGAGACCGTGGTCTTGTCAGTGAATGGAAACAGTCCATCTCAAAGCACATCTATTAGTGTGCCAATAATGGGGATGGTAATCCTGATGTCAATGAAGCCATTTGGAGAGGTTTGGCCAACCATATAAAAGGTGTCCACGAACATGAGAGTCCACTATTTCCAACCTGTTTGCATGGTGAAATTGAGGAAAGAAAGTATTTTCAAAGCCGTGAGTATACCAAAATGAATATGTAAATTCTCAAATGTTGACTATTGTAATGATCATATTGCTTATGTACATTTCAGATAACGTGAAAAAAAATGGTAAAATATATGTTAATAGTCAGTTTGTGGTTTCATTATATTATACTTCTATGTAGTGCTATAGATTATATAAAACTGGGAACAAATGAAGAGTTTAAATGCCACACTGGATATCTTTGTTCTAAGTAATGGCAGAGAGCATTGATATTTGTTTAGTATTATTATATGTCAATTATTATTGACATATTTAGTGGAATCTGAATCTGAATTAATCCGACATTTTGAATTATATTTCAACCTCAATCAAATACAATTCACTTTTTGAAAACAAAACATTACAAAGACTTAACTAGAAGCATCCAAAAATATTTTCAAATGACATTTATCTGCTTTTGCAAATAAGCTCTTCAAGAAATGCATAATCTTTCTTGTTTGCATCACCTGCTGAGCATGAGGTCTGTGGTGCACAGGATCTATTATAGGCACTATCTGGCGTTTACTCAATCTTCCTAAATCACTGACAGTCTGTTCCTTCACCTGTATTGTCTCTAACACATTTTTAAATGCTTGGCTTTATCTTTTAGTGCATGCACCATCTTCTAGGATTCAGTTTAATTTGCAATGGTGTTGAAATTAATCTGTTTTGTTAAATATAGACTCAAAAGCCTACACTAGACTCATCGAGACAGTCTTCACCAACAATGTTATTAAAGACATAAGACAGCTGTCTCCCAATAGTGTCACATCAGGTGTCGAATCCTTTCACTCACTCCTCAATCACTTTGCCCCAAAGATGCTTCATTTCAGCTACCATGGTAGCTGAAATGAAGCATCTATCAGGTAAGCATTTATCTCCGTAAGCATTTATCTCCGTATTTTTTTTTTTTTACCTATCATTATTTATTGTAATGAAAGCCCTTTTCTACCTCTTTTCATAGATATCGTCTGGCCATTTTGCACCACAATGAAAATGCAAACAGAAGTCAGGCAAAAACTAAGGATGGACAGGATAGATACAATTTGGTTTATCCTAAATTCAAGAAAGGGAGCCACACTCTATGCAAAATATTTGAGGGAGCCACTTACAGTAAGTTTTCAGCATTAACATTTACATCTAATACTTTACAACTCATTGTTGTTTGTATTCATGAAAGTTGTTATTTTACTTATAGACTACATTGATCCGTTGATGGCCTGTGTATGTAAGCGTCTACTGGCTGGCGAGAAGTACTTGGCTGAGAAGTCAAAACCACCACCCCTGACCAGTCAATGCAATAAAGTCACAAAGGAAGATGCTATAAGACAGCACAAAACAAGATTCAAACTTAATTGAACATTGTGCAATAATAACACACTGATCTGAGTGAACAAAACATCTTTAATTGTAATAAAACAAATGTTTATACAACTGAAACATTTCCTATTTATTTAGTTACTATTCTAACTAATTTAAGGTTGGTAATTTAAAGCCCCTATATGTGCCACCTGCATCAGGATAAGTATCTCTTATTCGGACCAGAACACACAAGGGTAATGGCACCCTTTTCTTTTTCCCCAAAGTCCCGTAGCACCACTGGACAAATCTCCGATATCCTGTGTACCTGAATTTCCTGAAATTGAAAATGAATCCTCTATTAGCCAAAAGTCATTTGTAGAATTTTTTGTAAAATCTCAATTGCTTCCTTACGCTTCATTTGACAGATCGGGTTCTATGTACCCATCAGCTTTCAGGTACATATATGCCATCTCCAGTGACCACGGGTCTAAGCAAATGGACTCAAACCCCTCATGCTCTGTGATGCAGGATACGTCCTGTCCATTTTCTGAATTGTATTCCTCCATCCTTGCAAAAACTGCGTTTTTCTCCTGACAGCAATAACACTCTTCAACCTGAGACATGATTGCACATTTTTCGCACTGACACCTGTAAATTAAATCAATAGATAGTTTATATATATATGACTTATATTCTATGTTAACATGAAATTTATATCAAGCTTGATGTAGCCTAATGTTTCAATAATTTATATCATCATCATTATAAAATATAAAAACAAACATTTGAATTCTGGCATAAGAACTTTACACAGTCCATAAAAATAGTAGTTTTTCAATCTCACCAGCTTTTGTTTCCCACTCTGTGAATTTCCTCATTTTCTGAATCTGTCTCTCCTTCATTATTCCCATCAAGGGGCTGTGGTGTTGCTAGTGGCTCAAATGAGTAAGGATCAAGCTGTTGAAAATGTTCAGAATCAGATCCAAATTCAGGATCACTTCGGTCATCAGAAACAGGACTGTGGCCACTTCCTACAGAGTCAAAACAAAAATGTCATAGTAATGATTGCAATAAGTTACAATAACGTGCTGTACAATAAAAATAAGTTGAATAAAATAAATATTGTACTTTTATGAACATACTATATGAACAAAAAGCTGCTGAAGTTGTAAAAAGACAAAAGAGCTAACATGATAACTACATGTGATGCAATCATTGATTTTTTTTATTTTATTAAACCGTTAATAGGATTTAGCATTTATGGATATTACAATGTACATTGTGGTAAATAAATCTAAGGCAACCAAAGTGAGACTGGCATAATGTAAAAACGAATATTAGCCTTGTTAGCATGTTTTAGGATATCTTGAACGTTAGCTAACTTGCCTAACACTAGGGGCCAATAGGCCAAGTTATTAGCTTGAATCTCACAAATAAGGCTAAAGGTTAAAAGAGTTGCACACTATTATGTACAAAACTGATGAAAATATGTTTATACCTTGTTCAGATGACCGTGAAACCTCCGAGTCTTCCCCAAATTCAACATCAATTAACTCGCTGTTCCTACAGATTCCAGTCATGACGGCTGTGAGATCCCCTTCTCCTACGTCATCGCCGCCATTTTGGCCCCCCCTAGCGTTTCAATGCGGAAGTGAAAAAGTGCAACTTGGAAGCCGTTTTTTTAACAGAATTCATCTGAACATGTCAAAATGAACACCCGAAATATTACAAACACATATAGTAGTTATATATTCTGGATAGCAGCATATTAAATTCTAGTACTACTTTAACCCCACTTTGCCTGATGCACACTGGGGTAGTCTTGCACAGTTTTTTTCCAATGTGGTTTTACTCCAAATGGCAAATAAATGAATCTGAATCTGAATTTGAAGCTCCCGCTGAAAGACCAAGGCACCACTGATGTAGCAGCCATCTTCCTGTGGACTCGCCACTTGCAGAGGATCAGAGGGACTGGTGCTATGAGCATTGGGTGTCACCCCCCGACTCAGAAATGAAATTATAAAGGGGTTGAAAATTAATGAATGAATATATTTTATTGATCCCCGTAGGATAAATCCAGGTGTCCAGTAGCAGCAAAAATAAAATTGATTCTAAAAAGCTAACAATAGTAATAATAACCAACAGCAATTCACTGCAGCAGAGATTTTTTTTTTAGTACTTAAGAGATTTTCTATTTGCTTCTTTATTATGCTAAAGATTGTATTTGATTCTATTTTAGTATACATTTATAGTTCATTTATCTTGTGCTGTGTGCTCCTCATTCCTACTGTTCTGTAACTGGTGATGCAACACTGACATTTCCCCACTGTGGGACAGGTAGAGGGTCTTAATTCTAGTCTGTTCACTATTTCACTTGGGGCAAAAATGCTTTATTTGTGGAAGTAAAACGTGTTTCTAAATCTGTGAGATCATCAGGAAGTTGAAAGTTTTTTGTAAATTAATTTACTACAATGTTTCTCTCCAACAAACTGCAAAGGCCAAGCTACATTTGATAAAGTTACAGTTTTGAAGAGTTTTGAATCAGTCGCCTGAGGGTAAAACCAGAGCTGAAGGGAATCTAGCAACTTCAACGCAAAGGTCAAGTTTATTTGTAGAGCGCACTCACAACAGGCAGCTCTCCCCAAAGTGCTTCACGCAGGGGGAAATATGGGTGGTTTAAAAACATACAAAGATAGAATTAAGTACGACACGCAGTGAATTTAATTACATTTTGTTTTGTATATAGCCCTAAATCACAACAGCTGGTGGACTTTACACATTTTCTGATTCGCCAACAACAGATCAGAGAATCAACGGTTCAGACATAAGGAGGCATAGTAATAACAAATGTATAGAAACCATTGGTCCTTAGGGGGCAGGATGACCACTGTCCAGTATTGTGTATATAAATGTCCCGGAACATCACTGTCCTCAGACCCTCCTGCATCGGCAAGGTACCGGTGAGAAACCTTCGGGAAGCCAATACGGGAAGCCCATATTAAGAGGGCGATCAGGTTCCACTGACGGACAGGCTGTAGCTCCAGGACTCTGGCTGTAGATCCAGGGACTGAGGCGGGACTGAGGCTGTAGATCCAGGGACTGAGGCTGTAGATCCAGGGACTGAGGCGGGACTGAGGCTGTAGATCCAGGGACTGAGGCTGTAGATCCAGGGACTGAGGCTGTAGATCCAGGGACTGAGGCTGTAGATTCAGGGACTGAGGCTGTAGATTCAGGGACTGAGGCTGTAGATCCAGGGACTGAGGCTGTAGATCCAGGGACTGAGGCTGTAGATCCAGGGACTGAGGCTGTAGATCCAGGGACTGAGGCTGTAGATCCAGGGACTGAGGCTGTAGATTCAGGGACTGAGGCTGTAGATCCGGGACTCTGACTGTGGAAAGAGGACTGAGGCTGTGCAATGCAGGACTGAATATATATATCATTTGCAACACTTGCACACATTTGACTAAATGTTAAAAGCAAGTACAAAAAAGTGGAAGAAGCCCATAATCAAAAACCGATAAAGTGGCCTGAACAATTTCTTTTCTGTACTGATATAGCATAAGCCTTTGTTATTTATGTATCCATGTCAAATAATTGATGAGGACTTTCTTTGAAGGCCAACATGTCTGAACGGGTTCCCCTCAGTTCACCTGTAATCTGATCTCACAGTTGTGGCCTCTGTGTTTAGGCAGTAAAACAATACAGTTCCCAGTCCAGCTATAAACAAGGGCTGCATTCATTACACACTTTTATATAGATTTTTACTAAAACCTTTATCCCCACCGCTGTCAGACTGTACAACAAGTCACTTTAAGTCAATAATGCACGCGGACTGAAAAACCTGCACTGCTATTGCCACTTTTTTATTGTACATAATTATATCCTGCACAGACTATATTTTTAACTTTAACATGTTGCACACTTTTGTCTTTTTGCACAATCTGAGTGACTCAAAATGTAATGTAATGTAAATTTCTCCAGTGTGAGATCAATAAAGTCTATCTTATCTTATCTTTATTTTATTTATTTATTTGATAGGGACAATGCACATTAATGAACATCAGTATTAAACAAATGTAAATATGCCGGATTATAGCTACCAAGCTAGTTTTCACCCGTAGTCCCTTGGCAGGAAAATAAATAAGAAATGACAATGCAATACTTGACTTTTTACGGTCCAAGGCGATGTTTTCTTCTGTTGTATTGGTGCAGAGATGGTAAGAGTGTTTTGTGGGCGCAGGTGGAGGAGGCTGATGACTGGCTGCGTTATGGGAACCCCTGGGAGAAGGCCCGGCCCGAGTACATGCGGCCGGTCCACTTCTACGGCCGAGTGGAGCACACGGACGAGGGGGCCAAGTGGGTCGATACACAGGTACACAAACTGTCCTACTTCACAGAACATGCAGGAGTAATGGTTATATACTTTTTCCTCACTTATTTTTGTGCATGAAATGAGACAATTTATCATTATTTTATTTATGTATACATCTAATTGTTTAACAGTATTATGTATTCATTATGGTGCTTTTATGGTGTATTTGTACATACAGTTGTCTCTGAGTGTCTTGTTTTTGGTTATGTTTAGAACTCTTCACGTACGAAACGGAAAATAAAAATAATTAAAAGTCTTTGTCATCAGTTTGGATCCGGTTAATAGTTTTTGTTTGTTTCTCAGGTGGTTCTGGCGTTGCCGTACGACACCCCGGTCCCTGGCTACAGGAATAACATCGTCAACACCATGAGGCTGTGGTCGGCTAAAGCTCCTTGTGATTTCAACCTAAAGGATTGTAAGTGTGTTTCAGAGCACTTCTTCACACGTCTGGGTCTGGTTCACTGTAACCGGGCGAATTCTGAGCATGGGAGGAGCTCGGAGTAGAGCCGCTGGTTCACCACTCAGAGAGGAAAGCGGGACAAAATGGACAGATGGATGGATTCTGCTTTGCATTGGGCAAAAAATGCAAATGTGTTAAATTAAAATATCTGTGTTGCATCGTTTTCTAACCAGGTTATTAAACTGTACTAGTCAAGCAAATGTGAACGTCCTCTGTAAAAAAATAAAAAAGTTAAAGAATAAATACTATGCAGAATTTCAGAACATTAGACATTAAAATGAGACTTTGAGATTTACTTTCTCCTTGAATGTATCTGAATATGAACTAGTATCTTAGGCTTCCCGCTGAGAGATAATGGCTATGCTCACATTGACAGCAGCCATCCTCCTGTGGCCTCACCACCTGCAGAGGATCAGTGAGGGGCTGGTGCTATGAGACTTGGGTGGCATCACTGACTGCCACCCCCCCCCCCCCCCCCCCCCCCCCCCCCCCCCCCCCCGACCAAGAAATGGATTAAGGGAAGAAAATGGATGGATGGATGGATCTTAAGCTTGGAATCTCTAGATAAACGAGTATCACAGTAAAATAATACTTCCTGCCTGTAACTCTCTTTGCTACCACCAGAGGGAGAAGTTGAATTTAAAGAGCGACTAAACACCTGTGCCCAGCCTTACTCCGCCCACATGAACATTTGAAAAATGTCTCTAAAAAGGGCGTTGCCTGGAGGACCAAGGGACAAGAAGGGGGGCTTAGAGTTGGGCGTGGTCTGGGCTGTGATTGACAGCTCACTTGTCACACAAAGAAAAAACAGACAGTTGTCATTGCTACTTAAAACAATAGTTTACGGACCAGAAAGTCTCATTCCACCCTTGATTACGCACTAAGATAATTGTAAAGCTACACACCTGAACCTAATCACAGTCAATAATCTCAGAATGACTCATGTAATTTAATTTTTATCCACTAGATGGCGCCAGAATACTCCAAACTGCAGCTGGGGCGTGTGTGAGAGTTGAATGGGTTCACATCACTGGCTCTGACAGACTGACGTCACACAAAACAACTGATGTCATAGAGAACTTCAGAGTCAATGGAGAGGCCAGGACCAAATTCAAATGTAGTACCACCAAAAAGGTTGAGAAGGCGCCACACAGACGTTTTTTTGCTCAAAAGTGATATTTTATCTAATTTGAACTAAAATGTCAAAAAAATGACCAGGATATGTAGACAGCACTACAATAAACATATTTATGCAGTTTATGAGTTAAAAAAAGTTGATTTGGTGTTTAGTCGCTCTTTAAGTTTTAGTAAAGGAACAATGTTGTAACATGTTAAAGATTTTAAGGAAACAAATGTAAAAATTATCTTTCTCTCCGCAGTTAACGTCGGAGGCTACATCCAAGCCGTGCTGGACAGGAACCTGGCTGAGAACATCTCCAGAGTCCTTTACCCCAATGACAACGTGAGCTTTGCCCTGATCTTTGCACCACAACAAACAACACTACACTTTGCTTACAGTAGAAACACATGAGATGGAGGCTTCAGACGCTGCTCACTTTACAACCCAAGGCCTCAGTTCAAATGTACACTGCAAAAAGAGACAGGTTTTTTTTTTTACTTGAATTAAGATTAAAACCACTATATTCAAGCATTTATTCCCCCATATTTTATAATTTTTGCAGTGTACAAAATTCAATTCAATTACATTTTTGATAACAGAAAATGCATTAATAACAAATGCATAGGAGCCATTGGTCCAGAGGGAGTGGATGGCAAATGTTAATAAATGTCCTTAACGCTGATCTGTTCTTGCAGTTCTTTGAGGGAAAAGAGCTGCGTCTGAAGCAGGAGTACTTTGTCGTGGCGGCCACTCTCCAGGACATCATCCGCAGATTCAAGGCGTCCAAGTTCGGCTCCACCGAGTTTGTTCGAATGGATCTGTCCACTCTCCCCGACAAGGTACAACTCTTCTTTATTCTAGAGCAGGCATGTCCAAAAATACAGACCAGAGACGGTATTTTAAAACTTTAGGTGTGAAACAGACAAATAATGGAGAGATTGACCACTGCCATTTCTTCACACACACATATTGTAGTCATTCAGATTCAGTTTATTTGCCATTTGCAGTAAAAACACCACATTGGAATACATTAGCAAAAGTCTCCAGTGTGCACAGACAAATACAGACATAAAACAACATTAAAAGACAGAAATAAAACAAATAAAACAGTAAACAAATGTCACTGTGAAATCGATCGACTAAAACAGTTTCAAAACAATTGCAAATCATTAAAGTGCTCTGTTCAGATACAGCTCAAGATATTCAGACACAGTTGCTATGGATGAATTCAAACATTACTGTTGGAGACAAACCATTGTTGTGGGAGGAATGTGTTAAAAATGGGTTAATTTTTGTCAATGACCTTTTAGATTTATCTGGAGATTTGATTTCTTATGAAAATTTGAAAAGATCTTTTAACATTTCTCTCGATGAGCTACAATACAACCAGCTGATTTCTGCAATTCCTAAAACTTGGAAAAGAAAATTGCAAAATTGTAGGAAGAATAAGTTGATGGTTTGTCTCCCACTAATAAGATGCCCAAAATGGCTGTCTGGTGCCAAAATAAATAAAATAATATATATGTGGAATGTAAATATCACAGGCACCGCACTTTTTCCACACAGAATCTGCCTGTTTTGGGAAGATGAATTCAATGATCCAATTTTGTGGAAAGATTACTTTAGAACAATTTATAGAACTACAATAGATTCATATTCCAGGTAATTTCAACTTAAAATCTTTTATAAAATTATTGCAACAAAAAAAATCTGTTCAAATGGCAGATAGAAAAGGATCCCTGTTGCAGGTTCTGTGGGGATAAGGAGGAGGACCTGATGCATTTGTTTTATTTTTGTCCACATGTGGCTAAGTTTTGGGTCAGGGTACAGTTATGGTTAAGGTCTATGGGTATTGCTTTGCAAATTACACCTCAGAAAATTGTGTTATGTATTTTTGAGGGTAAATGCACATACCTTTTGAATATGATTATTCAGATGGGTAACATTTTTATTTTTAAAGCTAAAAATGTATCAAATTTATGTATAAAACATTTTAAGAATAGAGTTTATCATCAGTATATGTTAGAAACAATTATAGCAACAAATAACAACAGAATAATTGAGCATGAAAAGAAATGGAATGTCTGTAAAACAGCTGCAGTACATTCAAAATGCAGCAGCTCGAGTCCTGACTAGAACCAGGAAGTACGACCACATTAGTCCAGTCCTCAGGTCCCTGCACTGGCTTCCTGTGGCTCAGAGAATAGACTTTAAAACAGCTCTGCTTGTGTACAAGTCTCTCCATGGCCTCGCACCAAAATATATTAGTGACATGTTAGTCCCATATGAACCAGCCCGGACTCTGAGGAGCACAGGGACTGGACTCCTGTTAGTGCCCAGAGTCAGAACTAAACATGGGGAGGCTGCTTTTCAGATTCATGCTGCTAAAATCTGGAACAGTCTCCCTGAAGATGTGAGACAGGCCTCCTCTCTGACAATGTTTAAAACCAGGTTAAAAACGGTGCTGTTTAGCTGTGCATACAACTGAGGGATTTTATATTTTTATCTTTCGTTTTAATGTTCTGTGATTATTTATGATTTTAATGCTATCTTGTTCAGCACTTTGAGTTGCCTTGTGTATGAATTGTGCTATATAAATAAACTTGGCTTGCCTTGCTTACCTGAGTTAGAGATATAAATATTAGGTGTACTTGCTATGCCATTTGTTATGTCGTAAATGTTTTGCTAATTATATTGTATTTTGTTTATGGATTTTGATTGGTATTAGTGACTTTATTTTATTTCTCATTTTCTATGTTATTATTTTCTTTTGCTTTGTGCTTCTTTTTTGTCTATAGTCTGTGTTCAAAATACTAAGAATGTGTGGATGATTGTGGTTGTGATTGTGGTATGAATGCAAGGGGGAGTGGCTGGGTTTGGGTGGGGGGTTTTGAAGTTTGTCTCGTTATTTTATCTTGTAAATAAAAAGAAGAAAAAAAATAAAAATAAAGTGCTCTGTTCAAACTGATAACAGCTTGTGGATAAAAACTGTTAGCGTAACGAGATGTCCTGCATCTCAGAGAGCGATATCTTCTGCCAGAGGGAAGAAGCTGGAACATGGCTTTCCCAGGGTGGCCAGAAGAGTCATTAACAATCCTAAGAGCTTTGTTTAAAAGTCTGGATTTATAAAGAACCTCCAGAACAGGAAGCTCACAGCCCACGGTCCTCTTTGCAGAGCGGAGCACCTTGTTTAAAGCTCTCTTTTCTTTATCTGTGATGTTTCCAAACCACACAGACACAGAACCAACAAGTAAACTCTCAATGGTGCAGCAATAAAAGTTAAGCAGAATCTTAGCGTTAGTGGTAAATTCTCTTAGTTTACGCAGAAAGTAGAGACGCAGAAGAGCTTTCTTAACGACTCGGTCAGTGTTTTTAACCCATTTCAGGTCGTTAGACAGAGTTAAACCCAGAGTTTACCAGTGTAAACATTAGCTAAAGTATTACCCTAAAAAACTCTCTCTATAGATACAAGCCCTTCCCCTGCAGCTTTAGATCCTCAGGCTGGTCCCTGTTGACTGTTCTGAGGTCGAGACTCCGGACGAAAAGGTGATCGAGCCTTCTCTGTCCGTGCTCCTCGGCTCCAGATCGACCTGCCCCCGAGGAGATTAGCACCATCAGTATCTTCTAGTCACTTTTTATAACCCACTGTTATCGAACAGCCTTTAACTGCAGGTTTTAAACTGTTCCACTCTGTCTTTGTTATGTCTTTCTTGTTGTCTGTCTGCTTTATTCTGCTGTATTTCTTTTTTATTGACTGTTTTTTGCTGACTGCAGTTCTTTGTAAACACTCCAACTTTATTGATCTCACACTGGAGAAATGTACATGTCACACTTGGCATAGATAGAATCACTCAGATTGTGCAAAAGGCAGAAGTGTGCAAACATGTTGCAGGTACACTGTGTAGTTTTTACTCCCATCTAGCATTGAGATCTTTTTTTGTAATTTACGGTAGCTTTGAAGGACAATATGTGGTCTTTGACAGTGGTCCCCAACTACCGGTCAAACTCCTTTATGTCCCTTATCAACCACTGTATTTCAAGATGGTGCATTGACACCAAAGTCAAATTCTAAGCCTATGAAAAAAATAAAAAAAACATGTTAGAGGTAAATATTCTTAAAAAGGTGAACATGTTTTATCATTTGGAGCAACTGTGAAAATTACACAGAGTACCTTTAAAGATGTATTATTATTATTATTATTATTAAACTTTCCATTTGTGTTTCTGTGCAGGTCGCCATCCAGCTCAACGACACCCACCCGGCCATGGCCATCCCAGAGCTGATGCGGATCCTGTTGGACCAGGAGAAGCTCTCGTGGGAAAAGGTGTGACATCACAATTCTGCATGTACATTCTGAGATTGCCCACGGTTCAAACCTGACCCTGACTCGTCTCTCTCAGAGCTGGGACATCGTGGTTCGGACCTGCGCCTACACCAACCACACGGTGCTGCCCGAGGCCCTGGAGCGCTGGCCCGTGGACCTGTTCCAGAACCTGCTCCCGCGGCACCTGGAGTTAATCTATGAGATCAACAGGAGGCACCTGGAGGTAACCGAGAGCGCTCTGCGTTACGGGAGAGCGGCCAGTGTTGGACAGGGATGTTTGTTTTGCTCAACCTCACACTTAGAAACAATAAAAACAATAAATATTAATATCAGAGAAGCCTTCGATGATTTTCTCTCTCTCTCTCTTACTCTTTCTCTGGAGGAGGATAATACCTTTTTATCTCTCTATGGTCATGCAGAAGGCGAGCGAACGCATTTGTAGCACAATGCAAAGTAAATGTCGTAAATAAAGTAGAATATTTTTTTAAACAAGATCATTTTGCTTATTGTGTCATTGGCAAATCTTCTTTTAAAGGCCATAAATCAAGTAGAAAAAGAGCATAATCTGATAAAGATGTCATAATAATAAAGAAGAAAAAGAGCATAATACGATATAAATGCCGTGAATAAAGTAGATAAAGAGTGTCATAAAAAGTAAATGCTAAAAATAAAGTAGAAAAATAGTTTCAAACCTGTTGTTTTTCTGACAGCGAATTGCAAAGTTGTATCCGGGAGACATGGACCGCCTCCGCAGGATGTCGCTGGTGGAGGAAGGGGACATGAAGAAGATCAACATGGCTCATCTCTGCATCGTCGGCTCTCACGCTGTGAACGGAGTGGCTCGCATCCACTCGGAGATCATCAAAGACACCGTGTAAGGACATTTTGATTTGTTTGAGATGAAACTGGTTTTACTCTGTGTCTGGATAGAAATCTCAATCGTGTCTCAATCCAGTTTAAAATCCCGTCCTCCCATCTCACTCTTGTTCATTCATTTAAAGCTGAAACATGGATTTGAACCTTGTCCTTTTTCAAATTGTAATTTAGAAAACTCAATTGTTTTCACATATTTATCTCATATATAATGATTCAAAAAGGTCAATTTTGGTTATTCTGACTATACTTATTCTTTTTATTATTTATTCTCTTGATTTTCCCCTTTTTTATTGAACGAGAAAAGAACTGGTTTGACAAATACAATATGTTATGTTTGTAATTAACTCCACTACTGTAGGCGCACATCAGTGTCTCATGATCTATACTTGATATTTCACAGATTAAGAAATATAAGACAAACTTTATTGATCTCACAATTGAAAATTGTACGAGATATGACAAATAAAGCTTAAGAGATCCTATATTTGGCTCCGAATATGTTTTTGTTCCCTCTTCTTTCTTTTGATCTCGGGATCACTAATAATTAGAATTCTCGTGGTTTTCTCGAATTATGGTCAGTCTCAAAAGTCTAATAATAAATGTCCCTTTTTGTTTAGGTTCAAAGACTTCTACGAGGTGGATCCAGACAAGTTCCAGAACAAGACCAACGGCATCACCCCGCGGCGCTGGCTGGTCATGTGTAACCCAGGTCTCGCCGAGGTCATTGCAGAGGTAAGACTTTCCCAATCTGCAGAAAACGTCGAAACACAAACTCGTTAAATCGTCGCTTCTTTCCCAGAGGATCGGTGAAGACTACATCTGCGAAATGGACCAACTGAAGCAGCTTTTGGAGTTTGTGGATGACGATGCCTTCATTGGGGACATCATGAAAGTCAAACAGGTAGGTTTTTGACTTTTCGGGTTACAATGTAAACTTATGTTTAGGTAAAGCTCATGTCTGTAACTTCATTGATATGTATTTCTGACCATGTACAGTAAGTCATTGTCAACAAAAATATATTTAAAACAGTTCCTCCCTTGAGCATTACTACCACCTGCAAGAACAGTTGAACCAATGTCGAGGGGGCTCAAGGATTTGAATTGGAATCGACCAATCAGGAAGCTTTTTAGGGTTGTGCATGGGTCTAACCAGTGTCTTCAAAAAGTTTCATGCCTTGTTCACACGCAGCCGGGTAATTTTAAAACCGAATATTTCCCCCTCAGTTTATAAAATAATTTGCATCCACACATAACCAAACATCTGCGTTTTCAGTCACATTCATATTCGTTTATGATGCGTTGTCATGTGGATGACAGCTGCAAACGAAGAAAAATATCTGCGGTTTAGCAGATACCCGACTACGTGTGGTCGGGGCCTCAATCCCTAGTTGTGGCTTCATGGATTCAGCATAAACCAAATGGAGGTCAAAACATTTAATGATACTGAACATAGCTGCGAGATTGACCAGAGGCAACAGAAAAGGAACCACATACAAACACAAAGACAAAGGTAGAGAGAGAGGGAGAGAGGTTCTGGTCTTCAGCAGGAGGCCTTCATTCTTTTTTTTAATGTATTAATGTATTTATTTATTTATTTTGAGCAAGTAAACGGGGATAGAAATAATTAGTAATAATCACAAGCAACTGTCAGTCTGCTCCAGGGCAGCTGTGGCTACAATAGTAGTTAATCACCACCAATTCTATTACATACATTTTTGGATATGAATTATTATGATGTCACACACATGGTTTGATAGCATTGATGGCAGGACATATAGAAAGTCCATCTCAACAAAGAAGAAACTCATTCTCTTTGATAACTGCAGGAGAACAAGCTGAAGTTTGCCGCTCACCTCGAGGAACATTACAAAGTCAAGATCAACCCTGACTCCATGTTCGACGTTCAAGTGAAGAGGATCCACGAGTACAAGAGACAGCTGCTCAACTGCCTGCACATCATCACCTTTTATAACCGTAAGAATCTTTCTGAGCTCTTTTCTTTTCATCTCATTGGACAAAAGGACAAATGTCTGTTGTTTTTGTGCAGGCATCAGGAAGGAGCCGCAGAAGAAGTGGACCCCCAGGACTATTATGATCGGAGGAAAGGTAAAGCTGTGGTTTTGGGTTTAAAAAAAATCCATGATTGGTGTTTGTATTTTGTTGTCTCTTGTGTAATATTCTCTGTGCTGTATAAGTATGTTACCCGTGCGCTGCTCCCCTCAGGCGGCTCCTGGATACCACACTGCCAAAATGATCATCAAACTCATCACCTCCATCGGAGACATTGTCAACAACGACCCCATAGTAGGAGACCGGCTCAAGGTCATCTTCCTGGAGAACTACCGCGTCACTCTGGCAGAAAAAGGTGAGACTGACAGTGTCTTATGTTGATGTGTTTCTAACAAAAACTATGGCAGTAAATATCATTTTAACTGCAGACTGGGAACCTACTTTGTTTCTTATAGTAAACAGGATGGAGTCAGCAGTTGACACTTTTAGGCTGAGTGAGGTTGATTGAACTTTTCAGACAAAAAAGAGAGTTCAATTTACACACAGACAATGCAATATTAACACATAGGTCCATAGGGGGCTGATGACATGTCCATAATGTCCATAAATGTCCATAAATGTCCATAAATGTCCATAAATGTCCTTAAATGCCGTAGACCATCACAGTCCTTGGCCCCTGCTGCATCAGTGCGACTAAAAAACCCAGTGGGGAAAAGGTCCAAAATGGGAGGGATCCGCTCCCACGGACAGACAGGCGGTAGATCCAGGACTTAGGCTTTAGGACAGGACTGAAAACTTCAGAAAAAGATGTGTCAGTGTGCAAAAATACATACTGGTGAAAAAGAGAGCTTTAATATGAATAGCTAAATATCTCATGTGAATAAAAAAACTAATTTCAGTGAAACCCAAACAGGGGAATCTCCCATATGCAATGGTAAATGTAAAATCTGAAAGGTCATTACTGTTGCTCAGAGCTCTTACCGTGGTGTGTGCTTGTGTGTGTGTGTTTGTAGCCATCCCTGCTGCAGACCTGTCGGAGCAGATCTCCACCGCAGGCACAGAAGCGTCCGGAACCGGAAACATGAAGTTCATGTTGAACGGAGCGCTGACCATCGGCACCATGGACGGAGCCAACGTGGAGATGGCAGAGGAGGCCGGCGAGGAGAACCTTTTCATCTTTGGGATGAGGGTCAAGGATGTGGAGGAAATGGACAAGAGAGGGTGAATAACAGGGACCTTTCCATTCAATTCGATTCAATGTATTCTTGTTCAGCCCTAAATCACAACAGTAGTTATCTCTGAGGACTTTACAAAGCTGTCGATTTGCCAACACAGATCCGAAAATCAAACAGATTCAATGACATAAAACACATGGAGCCATTGGTTCATAACTGGCAGGGACCAAGGTCCATAAATATTAATAGAGGTCTTAACAGAATGTAATAGGCAAGGCAGGTTTATTTGTATAAATAAATAAATAAATAAATCATCCCAGTACATTAAAAAGAGTGAAGACACAATCCCACAGTCATTTTTGACCTGGATTTGAACAGAAAAAGCCTGTCTCATATTTTATGAAAGACTGTTCGAGATTTTAGCAGCATAAATCTGAAATTCTGCCTCTCCATCTTGTTTGGACGCTTGATAAACATCATATTCTGAAGAGCACAGAGAAAATACATACATCTCACACAGACCGTTTGGAGAAAATTAGCTGCATCTTTGTGATTGGACAATACTCGGAGCAGGCCTTGATATGAAAACCTCTTCTTCTGTGTTCAGATACGACGCCATGTCCTACTACAACCGCATCCCGGAGCTGAAGCAGGCCATGGACCAGATCTCCGGGGGTTTTTTCAGTTCCCAGCAACCAGACCTCTTCAAAGACCTGGTCACTATGCTCCTGCACCACGACAGGTCAGAGCCGTGAGACGTGATCCCCCAGGTCGATGCTGCTGTTACCTTTTGTGGAATAATAAATGGATTTTTTTTTTTTTTTTTTTTACAGATTCAAGGTCTTTGCCGATTACGAGGACTACATCCAGTGCCAGGATAAAGTCAGTGCTCTCTACAAGGTCAGAGTTTAAGCAGAGACTGAACTAAAAACTACACTCTGGTTCTGCTGCTGCATTTTATACCTACTTCCTGAGCCAGGGCTGTCAGTTTTTAACCTGAAGATTTGAGGAAATGGCTGGAGTCTGGCGTTCTCCTGCTCAAGTTGGTACTAAAACTTGCAACCTCACTGGCCATTTCTGGAACCGGTTTGACATAAGGCTCACAGGTCCTGCCTTTTTCATTGCAGTTTTAGAGCAAGTATTATAGTCTAAATGCAATAAATTTAATTTGATTTGATGATTTAACATAATACAGTATTAAAACTGCCACTATGGCAGGGGATGTTTAGACTTTTGACAGTTGTGAAAATATATCCCACGATTTTAAGAAATATTGTGATTTATTGAAGTTGAAGGCCCGTTACTTTTCTAAATCTGAAGATGGAGAGACAGTTTTATCAAATACAAACACCAGTTAGACACGTCCCCTCTGCTTCCTGATTGGACGCAGACAGCCGAGGTCCCTCCTCATTGGTATAACTAGTCTCCTCCAGCAATTCTTACTGGTGATACTTATTCCAAGGGGAGGGACTAATGTATTTATTCTGGAATGAATGAAATAGAGTTGAAGTTGCAGACTTCCCCTTTAAAGAATGTGACACTGTTGCAAGTACATATAACTTGATCCACCAATCTTTTTATACATTCATGTTTTCTGCCTGGTGTCAATTAAGCCATTTAGAATATTATTTTAGGATTTTTTTTGGTTTAAATTATGAATGATGTCTCTCACAAATATTTAACAGGCAGTTAAGGCTGTAAAGAAGATAGACAATACTAGATTACTTGATTTAAACAATGGTAATGATAGAATATTTGATTTAGGTTTAATTCCAGCTAAACAAGAGCAGCACAGACGCCAGGTTAAGAGTGGAGTCACTTGAGGAAATGAGTGGAGTCTGGTGTGCTCCTGCTTGGTTGGAATGAAAACCTGCAGCCACACATCCCCCATCAGGAACCACTTGGACACCGCTCATGTAAAAGAATCATGTTGTGTTGATTTTCTCTGTATGGTATCTCCCCTACAGAACCCCAAAGAGTGGACCAAGATGGTGATCCGCAACATCGCCGGCTCTGGCAAATTCTCCAGCGACCGCACCATCGCGCAGTACGCCCGCGAGATCTGGGACATGGAGCCGAGTCTGGAGAAGATCGCCGCCCCGGACGACCCACGCTAACCCTCGCTAACCCGATCCCCGGCGTAGCACTGGCCTCCCGTAGCCGCCCACTGTACTGTAGTATCTGTGTTCTACTGAGTTTGTCCATGCTTCATCCACAACCAGACGTTTTGTGTTCGAAAATACAAGGCTCTCTCTTTGTCCGAACGGTGGCATTAGCACTTTATAACATAAATATATTATCAAAATACGTTTTTAACAGTTTTAAATTGATAGTACGGACTGGAGTTAGCTATAGGAGATATATAGATAGCTTTATAATAATGTCGTTTTTAACATTAAAGATGCCTGGATGTGGATGTGGCCCGGATGGTGCCTCGACGCTTCGACCCGAATGGAGATTTGGTTTTTTGCGATGTTGCACTTTTTGTAGTTTCTTTTCTTCATTGCATTTTGTCACTTTATTTTAACACCTTAATCCACATTGGCCTTGGAGTTGAGCCTAGATTCAAAAAACGGTGGGAAAATTATGTTTCTGTTAATCTCCTCGAGCTTCTATCTGCAGGTCCTACACATGCCCAGTCTTCCCGGCTTTAGAGCAGCACTGTGACCTCAATCCATCGCCGAATGTAACCATAGTGTGTGTCGCATGCTTCTCGTCAATCTGCTGTCCTGCTCCTAAGTGACTTGCGTTATAGAGATGCAGAACTCTCTCTAAATACGACGGAGAAGATTGTGTTGTTGTTGTTCCTGTGTAGAAAAGTACTGTACTAAGATGCCTGCTGTATCGGCCCTGCTCTCATACCCAGCATCATGATAATCATAGAGCACTTTCTGTCAGAGCATTTCAATAAAACACTTCATGAACAACTCATCCAGGCCTGAGCTCTCAATGGACGATCACATTTAGATAGTAAATGTAAAGGGGGGAATATGTAGTTTGGTTAGATATGGCTACAAAACGGTTAATATTTACAATTTAACTTTTCGTTTTGTTTCAGGTCTTCTTTGTCTATGCTTCTGAATAGGATTTTAATTTTCACTTTTTTGTGTCGTTACCATTCGTTTTACCGTGCTGTATATGTAACGTAAAAAACATAAGACGTTTTCTTTTGGTATCCTTTTAGGAACACTATCCAACCTTGTAAAAATAAATACATAGATAAATAAATATTGGCTGGTGCTATGAGACTTGGGTGGCATCTCTGATTGCCACCCCCCTGACCCAGAAATGGATTAAAGGGTAGAAAATGGATGGATGGATAAATAAATAGCAAATAATAAGTAATAATAATAATGCAGTATAAGACAAAACAAAACTCACAAACCAACACAACAAATGATGTTTTTTATTATTTTTAGGGGTGATATGTCCAGCAGAGGGCGCTCGTGCACCTTGTTACCAAAACTTGACTAGAAGTTTCCAGCTAAACGAAACCAGAACTAATTTTGTATGCAGATTTATTTATTTTTGCAGAACTGAAGTCTATTACAGCGGATGTAAACTAACTACAATGTAACGTAAATCCAGTGTCAACACAAAGTCTTGTGCTGTTTTTGCAGCGAGTTAAAGGCTCCGTCCGTTTAGATACTTCATGTTTTCGTCTTCAGAACCAGAATGGTGCATGTGTCTTTGTTCTAGTCCCGGGAGGAGGTCAAGAGTCAAACTCACGTCGTTTCAAGGCCCAAAGTTTGACCAAAGTGATACTGTGGGTTTCTTTTCTGGTAGATTTCTCTGAACAAATGAGTTCAAACAGGACCATAGGTAAAGTTATTTTAGACTCGTGTATAGAATATATACAGTCTATGTATATATATGTTTTCGATCGTGTGGCCATTTTCATAAGACTTTATTTTTCTTACTATATTACGGAAGCTTGTTAGGTTCACTTGTGTCTAATAACATGATAATATTTATCATGTTATTTCATGAAAGTATCATGAAATAACATGATACCAGCGGGAAAAAAACTCACTCACAAGTGAACCTAACAAGCTTCCGTACTATATATATTTCAATGATGTGTCTGTTCAATTTGAAATAAGCTTTAAAACATTTTAACATGTGGCCCTTATCAAAGGCCACATGTTCGACACCTCTGTTCTGGTCCCAGGGGCATTTCAATAGTTTAGAATGAACTTCATTTGAGCTGTGTTTAAGTTTAAGGTGAAGGTGCACAACAGGTGCACAGTGACCTAACAACAACAGTGGTGTCTGTTTTCTACAGCTGTGTTTTTAGTGAACTTTGAGTTGTTTGTGTCTCTGGAAATGATCCATTATCACCTGTGGTCAGAATAATGTGAGACTTTAGCGTCAGAAATTTTGACATAGATTTACAGTGTGTGATATTATAATAGACCCGTGTGTGGTTCAAAGCATGGCTTGTCTCATGGTCCCGCCCACCTGCAGATGATTGACAGGAGTCCATGGTGACATGCCCCTCCTCCTGTATTAGAGGCTGGGGGCCCCCTGAGGACCCCCTTATGCCCCTGCTGACCGGGATGGAGTGCCATCTGTACGGTGAGTCCCGCATCTCTTAAACTCTCAGGACTAAAGATTAATACATTTTTATTATAAATGGACAATTCTATATAAATCAATATAAAATGTGGAATTTTAGTGCTTTTTGAAACTAACAACTATTATTAAATGACAAATTAAATTGAGAGCATTCACAACTGTGTTTGATCATCATAGCAAATGATACATTTTATTTTTCTCCATTTTAAGCAGTTTCAGAGAAATACAATGTCCATTTGTTTAATAACAATTATAAGTGTGTGTATGTACATGTTTATGCTCAGGTGCATCTATAGATAATATACTTATAGCTCATTTACACATTAGTCGTGTCAATGTTATTTCACGGTTCCATATTTATTACATTTGGCGTTTAACAGTTTGAAAGGATGCGTCCTTTCACCTGAAACCATCACTAACTCTTAGAGTCAGCTTTTCCAGGGATAATGAACACTGTTGGCATTTATTGTAGATTTTCAATCAAAATGTTTATTTCAAAATCTAAATAACAGTTTTAGAAAATTTGAGAAGATGAGACGACAAAAAGAGCAAAACAAAAGCAATATGGTGAAACAATAACACAATAAAATATATATATGACAACACACAACACACACATAACACACATAACACAGGGCCAAACACTCTCTGACCCTACACCTCTCTCCCACCACTCACTTTGTGCTGAAGGCTTTACTCTCTTTCCTTCTTTTTTGAAACAGTTTTTAAAGTGTAATAAAGTTTGAGCGTGTTTTTGAATCATCTGTTGATCCGTTCCAAAGAGTAGCTCCACGCGATGATCTTTAATGTGTGAGAAATTGCGTAAACAACAGTAAGATTGTATCATGTGTGTACCCTCAGAGCTGGACCCCCTGGAGGTGCCCCCGCTCACCCCCACCAGTAAAGAGGTCCTGAGCCAGGCGGTGCGAGCCAGTTTTGCCGGCTTCACCCAGGAGCGACTGAAGCTGCATCTGCCTCAAGGTACCAGCCGCACTCAAGTTTATTTGTATAGCACAGTTCATACACACGGCAATTCAAAGTGCAAGACAAGACACATTCAAATCATACAAGGCATTAAATTCCACCACCAGGCCTTTCTATATGGAGTTTGCATGTTCTCTCTGTGTCTGCTCTGGTTTACTCCGGGTGCTCCGGACCCTAACCCGGTTTCCCGCACTAAAAATATGTGCAATAGTCGCTCCTAGACTTAAAGACCTTATGACGGGTTTTTAAAAAAATATAGTGGATATCAAAATTGCATGACAATGTCAATTTGAAAGAGATTCCGGCAAAAAAAAATCCTATATTTTATAAAAAGAACGTGCTTTTCATGAATTTAAGTTGTCTATGCTCTAACCTGTGTGTGACGTCATAGCGGGTTACGCCCATGCATTGAAAACCATGGATCTATGCCACAGGACTGCCTTTTCTCTCTTCTCTCCACTGATGCCCAACACAATACTGCACTCTACAGGTGACAATTGCTCACTACACATAAATTGCCGTTTTGAGTGTGAAAAAGTGTCCGAGGTGGGATTTGAACCCAAGTATTTGGAATAGCAGTCTATCGACACACGAAATGTTACATTCTAGTAGTTACCTTAGACTCGCTGTACACGGCCTTGTCATCTTGAATATCCGCGGAAAAAGAACGAATACCAAATTGTAAACAACTTACAGCGTTGAAACGTACCCGTTCTGACATCACCAAGGGCTGTGAAGTTTTTTCGTTTCTAAGGGCGTTGCTATGGGGTTATTTCGATTTGGGGGGATCAGACAAAAAAAACAACAACTGATTTTGAAACCTTTAGTAGTTCTCTTCTAATATAAAATGGTATTAAAACTGTATTTCTAAATAAATCAAACCCGTCATAAGGTCTTTAAATATGAAATATTTCCCTTTGAGAAAAAATGCATTCACATTATATATTTAAATTTTAGAGTTTAGTCCTGACTCTGGAACCAGCAGGCCAGTCCCTGTGCTCCTCAGAGTCCCAGCAGGAGGCCAGTCCCTGTGCTCCTCAGAGTCCAAGCAGGAGGCCAGACCCTGTGCTCCTCAGAGTCCAAGCAGGAGGCCAGTCCCTGTGCTCCGCAGAGTCCCAGCAGGAGGCCAGTCCCTGTGCTCCTCTGAGTCCAAGCAGGAGGCCAGTCCCTGTGCTCCTCAGAGTCCCAGCAGGAGGCCAGTCCCTGTGCTCCTCAGAGTCCAAGCAGGAGGCCAGTCCCTGTGCTCCTCAGAGTCCCAGCAGGAGGCCAGTCCCTGTGCTCCTCAGAGTCCAAGCAGGAGGCCAGTCCCTGTGCTCCTCAGAGTCCCAGCAGGAGGCCAGTCCCTGTGCTCCTCAGAGTCCCAGCAGGAGGCCAGTCCCTGTGCTCCTAAGGGTCCAAGCAGTAGGCCAGTCCCTGTGCTCCTCAGAGTCCCAGCAGGAGGCCAGTCCCTGTGCTCCTCAGAGTCCCAGCAGGAGGCCAGTCCCTGTGTTCCTCAGAGTCCAAGCAGGAGGCCAGACCCTTTGCTCGTCAGAGTCCCAGCAGGAGGCCAGTCCCTGTGCTCCTCAGAGTCCAAGCAGGAGGCCAGTCCCTGTGCTCCTCAGAGTCCCAGCAGGAGGCCAGTCCCTGTGCTCCTCAGAGTCCAAGCAGGAGGCCAGTCCCTGTGCTCCTCAGAGTCCCAGCAGGAGGCCAGTCCCTGTGCTCCTCAGAGTCCAAGCAGGAGGCCAGTCCCTGTGCTCCTCAGAATCCCAGCAGGAGGCCAGTCCCTGTGCTCCTCAGAGTCCCAGCAGGAGGCCAGTCCCTGTGCTCCTCAGAGTCCCAGCAGGAGGCCAGTCCCTGTGCTCCTCAGAGTCGCAGCAGAAGGCCAGTCCCTGTGCTCCTCAGAGTCGCAGCAGGAGGCCAGTCCCTGTGCTCCTCAGTCCCAGTTGGTTCATATGGCACCAACATGTCACAGATGTTCTTTCTTTCTCACATGTTCATTCCTTACACTCGCTGAGACCTGATGCTGGTTTTTCCCGCAGACCCTATGATGTGGTCTGAGTGGGAGCTGAACCATTGGCTGGACTGGTGTCAGGCTGAGTTCGGGCTCCCGTGTGTGGGGGCCGAACTGCGCGGGCTTCAGGGGCCCGAGCTGTGTGCCCTGGACCGGGACACGTTCCTCAGCCTCACCATGGACTGCACCAGCGGCGAGATCCTGTGGGAGCACCTGGACTCCATGAGGAAAGGTACAGTAGGAGCCATCTTCATCATTACTGTCTCTTTTGTGTTACTTATTCATCACATTTTTCTTTCCCTTTCTAATATTGAGAGAAATTATTAACCTTAACCTAGCTTTCAAACCACAAGAAATTATGACTATTCAATTTCATTAAATTACGAAACTACAAAACTACGAAAACAGTTTGGGTCTATCACTATTTTTCAAACGCATGAAACTGTTTTTATAATCAGTAACTGTGTGTGTATGCATATGTGTGTGTGTGTGTGTATGTGTATGTGTGTGTGTGTGTGTGTTGTCTTGTCTTAAACCATATATAACACTATATTTTCCAGAAAACGAGTATGTGAGCGCTTTGTCGTACCACGCCAACACCGTATACTACCAAACATCACCCAACAAAGGTAAATTATTCTCCTCTTTTTGACATTAAATATAATATTCATTGTTTACACTGTAACTTCCTGTTTGTTATAGAAAACTACTGCGACTACGAGCGTCCGAACAAACCATACCAAGTCCCGTACTGTCCCCTGGAGTTTTCTGAACTGCGGACTCTGGATCCCGCTGGTCTCCCGTCGCAGGACAATCAGCCGGTGAAGCGAGAGCTGCTGTCTGCGCCGCTGCAAAATGTGGCTGAAATAATAGGTAGAAAAACAGTATTTGAATCATACATGAATCAGTCATTTGGTGTCTCTTAAAGAATACCAATGATATATTACTTTTGGCCGTTCAATACGATAATGAGAGTACCGGTACTTTAACCATTTAACGTTTTAGAATGTGAAATATCTTCAGTAGAAAATATATCATGAAACAAGTATCAAAAGTTACCAGTGCTTTCGGCCTGCAACTCCTTATGCTACCACCAGGGGGAGGGGAAGGATTTTTTCCATTTTTGAAAATTACCAGCTGCTATGTTACAGCAAAGAACGTAATTTAATTTAGAAATGACCAACACTTTAATATATGGGCAGTTTTTTGTTTTAAAACCTGCTTTGAGAGTTCCTTCTTTTGTCTCCTGTGATGTCTTTAAATTGCTGTGACAGATATGGAGTCAGAAGGCGCTGCTCATTGCGACGTGGAGGACATAGTGGTGGGTCCTTTGTCCTGGTCGGGACAAGTGCACGATTCAGAGGAGTCCGTCGAGGAGGAAAACGTCTTTGAGCAAATGTTTAACGTCCTTCGACCGCACCGGAGTTTCAAAGAATACATCGGAAACAAGACGGAGATGGGACGAGCCGTGATCCCAGCGGCGATTCTGGCCGGATACACAGGTGGGAGAAGGCAGGGGTAGATTGAGGAACGACTGTGTGTGTGTTTGATTGTGTTGTTGCTGCAAACAGCTGACCAAAAACTGCTTCTTTCAGCTGAGAAACATCTCCAAATTTAAGAACATGTTGTCACAGAACGACTTGGAGCTTATAATTCATGCGTTTTTGTCTTCTTGTTTAGATTATTGTAACAGTTTTTTTTTATGTCTGAACAAGAAGGAGCTGTCGCGTCTGCAGTTAGTGCAAAACTCTGCAGCTCGGGTTCTCACGCGCACAAACAGGAGGAGCATATCACTCCAGTCCTCAAAGCTCTCCACTGGCTGCCCGTGTCCTACAGGATACATTTTAAAATATTGGTGCTGACGTTCAGAGCTCTGCATGGTCAGTCTCCCCTTTATATCAGCGATCTGATTCAGCCTTATACCCCCAATCGGGCCCTGAGGTCTGTGGATCAGAACCTGTTGATGGTCCCACGCACGCGCTTTCGGACCAGGGGAGACCGGTCCTTCTAGGCTGTTGCGCCTAAGTTCTGGAACAATCTTCCGCTCTCTCTGCGGCTGATGGAGTCTGTGGATTCATTCAAAGGTCAGCTAAAAACCTATTTATTTGGGCAAGCTTTTACACAATTTTCTTGCGGCTGTTTCAAACCTGTCACTGAGTTGACTTGGCCATTATATTTTTCTTTTTTATACGCACATTTTAAATTGTATTTTGTCTGTTTTAACTGTGAAGCGCTTTGTGTCCTTGGTCTGTGAAAGGAGCAGTATAAATAAAGCTTACTTACTTACGTACTTACTTGTTTTGAGAAGGGAGTGGCCCCATTCAGCTGTGGCAGTTTCTCCTGGAGCTTCTGACCGACCGCACGTGTCAGTCCTGCATCAGCTGGACCGGAGACGGCTGGGAGTTCAAGCTGACCGACCCGGACGAGGTAGGACTGTTACCGCATGAGTGAAATGGTTGTTGAATAAAAGTCAAAACAATATGTATCCTTTACACTGCAAAAAATCATCCAGAATTTAGTCAATATTCTTTGAGGAAAAAATGTCCTTGATGGAAGACATTAATAATAAGTTTGTGTATTTAAATCCACTGAAGATGGCAGATTTGATGTTGTATCTATCCATTTCTAGAAGTCAAACTGAATGGATATGGTCTTTAGATAATTCGTTTTTTACTACACTGCAATAAAAGTAATTTACTGTAAAATTTCATTTCATTTTCAACCCCTTTGTCCATTTCTGGGTCGGGGGGGGTGACAATGAGAGCTGCCACCCAACGCTCATAGCACCAGTCCCTCGCTGATCTTCTGCAGGGGGTGAGTCCACAGGAAGATGGCTGCTCCGTCAATTGTGAAACAGCCTTGATCTTTCAGCGGGGGGGCTTCAGGCAATGTGGGGTTAAGTGTCTTGCTCAAGGACACAACTTGAGCAAGACACTTAGTGGGAGCAGTTGGAGTAGGTCCCATGGTGGGAATCGAACTCACGACCTCCAGGCCCAAAGGCCAATGCTCTACCAACTGAGCTACTGTCGCCCCATTTTACTGTAAAATATTCTTGAAAAAAAAACTACAGTACTTGCTGGACTATAAGTATCTTTTTTAACAAGTTCCATGAATCTCGTGACCTGTAAATAGCGATGAGGCTTTGTATGTATTATTATTCTGTTAGAGCTGTGTCCAAATCTGTTCCTCTATCAGCTGTTGATTTCCAGAGCTGACGATGGAGCACACATTCCTGCTTCCAATGTGTTTATGTAAACAGCAGAGAGACGACATGAGGAAGTGCAGGGAAATACATAGGACTTTTTTTTCAGACTACTAACCCACCAGGGGCAATTCGTAGGTTGCGTAGGTTTCCTCCGGGTACTCCGGTTTCCCCTACCACTAAAAACATGCTCAATAGGTTAAATACTCCAGCTCCGGTAGTCCTGACCAAGCCGAGCATCAACATCTGGAGATGAGTTCCCGGGCACTGTTACTACGGCGACCACTGCTCCTGACGTAAGCCTTTGTGGCATCAGGATGGGTCAAATGCAGAGGATGAATTGCCCTACGGGGATTAATAAAGTGCACCTTTACCTTTACCTTTAATTCCTTTAAGCAGTATAGAGCATAAAAACAGGTTTATATGATTATGGCTGTTGTCAGAACTGAGATAATGGACTATTTTCTAACGTCACTTGTTGTGGCCTGCAGGTGGCGTTGCTGTGGGGACGCAGGAAGAACAAACCCAAGATGAACTACGAGAAGCTGAGCCGCGGCCTCCGCTACTACTACGACAAGAACATTATCCGCAAGACGGCCGGGAAGCGCTACGTCTACCGCTTTGTGTGCAACCTGCAAGGGCTGCTGGGATACGAGCCTGGAGAGCTGCACGCCATGTTGGACATCAGCTCCAAGAGCCACTGAGCGACTGTAAAAGCAGGTTTCATAACGGACTCAGTCAATGAGTGTTGTTCTTCTCCAATCCACAGTCATCATTCTGTCTGTTTTGGGACTCCATATTATAATCTGTACATTGTTATTTATGCTTTCGTTGTCGTAGTGAGTTAAAGAAGTCACTTTTATGGCTATATTTATTGTAATTTATGAAGGGTCAGTGGCATAAAGTAATTCCAATAAGTTTGATGAATATGAGTTTTCTGGGGCCAAAGGGGACTATTTTCCTTTTTTGAATTGAGAGGGGCAAATAGGACATTTCCAAGGTTATTTTAATGCATTATGATGTATACATACTGTATTGACAGGACAATGTGAACATTTAGATTATAGTCTTTTGAATCTTTTTGTGTATATACTTTTTTATGCAGGTGAGGTTTTTTTTTATTTAAACAAAAAAACCTAATTATTAATTAGCAATTATAAAAGCTTTGAAATAAGATAACAGTAGCATATATACAAACTTATACATAAGTACGTCTTCACCATGTGTCACTATAAAATGTATTAATAACGTTATATATTTAACTTTACAAATGGAGTGGGAAGAAGAGAAAACGTATAGACCCCATGTGCATCATTTACTTTTTTTTTTAATGGATAAAGTTATTGAACATTGAAGAATAGTGAACGTTTCAGTCATATCCAGCTTGGTTTAAACAATTCACTGAAGCTAAGACTGAAACCCCAGCTCAGGCCAGTCCCAGACCCAGATGCAAAAAGCAGCTACCACAACAGTAGACCCAGACATGTCATTGCCAATATCTCTGCATTTGATTTTGAACGACAAGCCAGAACAGTGTAGAAGTCAGAGAAACAAAACACAACATCATAATCATATTCCATGCCTTTTTCCTGAGCCTATTTGCAGAAGCACTTCCCATGGATGAGCTCCTTTCAGTGGGGGTCTTAGGTCGGAGATTCCCCGCCAGGAGGGGTCTGAGCCCTCGCCGGCCTCTGGTGTGGGGAAATGGAACCCGATTGATCTGTTCTCTCTCAGACATCCAGCTTTTTCCGCTCGACTTAAAGCGAATCAGGCTAGCACAGGGGCCTTCAGAGTCCCCCCCACTGCGACGGCTGAATTAACATGGGTGATACAGGGAGGTCTGGGGGTCAGCTGGTAGAACTGACACCGCTACTTTCAGTCAGACTTGTGATGTTTGATGCTATGGTCGTTTGTTTTGGATGTATTATATTTGAAAAGGTGTTTTACAATATCACAACAAGAGAAAGAAAGATTCAATAACTCTTTATGTAATTTCATACATCTTCTATTGTCACTTACACTGCAAAAAATGATAGAATACGAGGTGATAAAGGCTTGAATTTAATCTTAATCTGAGTACATTCTGTCTGAACATAAGATTTACCAATGGGACAAAGCTATTTAGTCTTATTTCAAGAACTGTTGCATTTTTTTCTCATTCCAAGGCAGACATTTCTTGTATATTTTTAAAACAAGATCATGTTGCTTTGTCCCATTGGAAAATCTAGTTTTAAGGTAGTCAGAATTTGATACAATTGTTAACTTATTTTTCATCACTTTTTGCAGTGTACCTCATAATTATGTTCAAGCTGCAGTACCCAAATACCACAAATACAGGAAGTTCTAGTTCCTTGCTCTGTTTGGAGAGTGAGGAACTAGTTGGATGGATTTATATTATATTAGTTCCATTGGTTGTGCTTGAATGTTATCTACCCCCACTTTCAACCAATAGAGATTTTATATTCTAGCATTAATTCCCACATATTCTAAAACCTCCAGTGAATAGATGGACCAGCATCAATCCACAGCAGCTTATTTGTTTTTTTCCATTTAGTACATTATTTTTGATTCCCATGTATCACTATATATATATGTTTCTCCTGTTTGGCCAGAACCGTTTATTTTGTAGTATTATCGTGATATAATCCTATCTATCTCTTTTATAGCAAATCTACCTTTATACCATTTTTGTTTAATTCTTCTGGGCAGATCCCTTGTACGCAAATGTATTCTGTCGCTTGTTTATTATGTCAGTATTCAAATCACCGCAGATTGACTCGAAACACACACACACACGTCTCTCTCTCAGTTATTCACACTGTGCCCCTTGCCGTCTTCTCCATTAGTGTCCCAGAGGTGTAAGTGGTAGAAGTAATCCCCACTCTAAACCTGTGTAACACGTCCACTGACATGTGAAATCTGATTCTTGTCTTCTATAATATCTTAGTCACCGGTCTCACTATCCATGCGTAAACAATATGTAAAATAATTTAGTAATAGTGGTTTATTTTCAGTATTGTGCGAGCGGCTTTTCTTGTCTTCAAACTGAAAAGAATGCTTGTGTAATGTCTACTTAGGATGAAATTTCCCTTATATAGTCTGTGGTTTATTTTTGTGTAGTCATAAGAATTTTCTGCAGAGCTCAGCCATTTTTTTTGTCCGTTTGGCACTTTTCATTTGGCTCGAAGTTCCCTTTTATTTTTGAGTAAGTGTTAATTCTACAGTAATTTGGTGTGGTAAAAAGTGATTGCGAGCATGTGATGTTTTAATGATTTTTGCAATTTTGGTCCAAGAAATGATTTCGTTTTTGGATGTGGCTTGGAAGCAAGAAACGAAAGCTACTAGTTCAGTGAGCAATGCTCATGGCTGAAATGTGTCACTGTGAGAATCATCCACTAGACCAGCTCTTAATGGAGGTTTCTTTTAGCAACAAATGTGGGATAGACTTAAGTGCATACGTGGGGTCTGTGTACCGTTCATAAGAAATGAAAATAAAAACGGTCTTGTTTGTTATTGGCAACATTTATTTGATTTTGCAAAATAAAAAAACAAATGTTTGTTTTGAAAAGTGTCAAAAAGTTGTTTTTCTCTCTTTTTGCAACAATCTGTCTCTTCAATCTTCAACATGTTTTGTTATCTGCAGTACATATGAAGTTCATTTGCTCAAGAAAGGGTGACACTTTTTTGTATGGCACTAAAATATATCTGGCTTTTCAAAAAACTACTTGGTAAATGGCAAATTGCAAGTCTTGCCGTTTTTTTCCCTAATGGCACTTAACTGTTGCAAGTGAAATGTTGATTCCTAAATTTTGTAAGATAAATTTAAAACAAAGTTGCAGCAAAAAGAAGCAGCTATTGTGTTTTTAATTGTCCGTTTTATTCATCTACAACATTTTACTGGTCCGTCATAATTAATGAGTAATGTTTATAAGGAGATGTCATTGTGATTTCTGCTTTTCCCACTGTTCTGGTGTGAGGGTCTTCTGTTCAAAGGCATGGATCTCTTTGAGTTCCTCTGCCAGGCACGTGTTGACCATCCTGAAAATAATAGACATATAGAATTAATACAAGACAAAAATAACTTTTGCCACATCTACATAAGGTTCTGTGTCTGTATTTGTACCTGTGTCTTTGTAGCAGTGGTTTGCCCTCAAATTGAGGTGACACGATAAGGACCTTGTAGCTGGCAGCACATCTATTCGGGGATGTGTCCTCTACATCCTGGAAACAAGAGTCAAATGTGAGAAATATAGTCGCAAGTATTTAATTTTCTTACTTAAAAGTCTAGATGGCGGCCAGAAAATAATTAAGATCAATTAAATTACCTTTATTTTTGTTTTCTTGACAGTAAATGTCACACTAATAGTAAAATTGTTAGAGATTGAATTGATTTTCAACATTAATATATCAATTTTCATTTAATTAAACTAAATTAATTAGCACAAAATATAATCAGCTCTCAAATTATAAGAATTAAAAACGAGAAATATAATTGACTATATATCTTACTATGATGACATCTTTCAGCAGGCCTACCAAGCTAACTGGACTGCTCATTGTGTGTGTGCTTGGGTATTATATACAATATTAAAGCCATGCAATAAGGATCAGAGAGGATGTGCTACATCTTTGTTATCATTAGAATGAAATGAAAGTAAAAACACTCCTATCACAACGAAACATACCACATGCACCGCCGCTAGCTCCTGGGTCAGTTTCTCACGAATGTGTTCCGTTGTTATCGCCATTTCAGCAAAACTAGAGCCGCTAATAAAACATTAAATATCACAAGAATCGATGTAAGCGTGTGTTTTGTGCTGGTCTCATGGTAAGCGGACCCCGGAAGTAACTCATTTAGAGTCCAGACCGTTGAGGCAGAAAAAATAATATATTATTTAATAAAACATAAAATAGAATACCTTATACATAAGAATACATACAGTTGCACGTTGGTTATAAATACAAATAAGAAGTACAATTTGAAAGACAGATAAGGAGCCAATCAAATAACGGTCCTGAAGTAATACACCAATCACAGCAGAAGGGGCGGGCCTATTTTTCAAAAGTAATCTTTTTTCAGTAGGTATTATCATAGACGCCGGACTAAAAAGATGCGTTTTTCTTGAGTAAATGGAAACCACTAAGCAAATATCTTTAGTTTTTTTTAAAACAGTGTTGTCAATTTTGATACTTGGTTAACAAAACATTGAGTAAATAGCTAACACAATAAATAAAACCATATTGTGTTTCAGGCAGAGAATTAGACTACTAAACTATTTGTTTACATCCTCGACCAATGCATGGCTGCATACAGCCTTTGCATGGATCTATTATATTGAGTCTATGGCACTTGCTAACCCATGGCTATATAGTTCTATGGGCTGTCAATTTTAGCTCTTCAAAATGTTTCCTTGCATGCGGACGTTAAACCTGAATACGAGTTAAAGTAAGTTGAATGCATAGCGGTCTTGAACAATGGTAGTTGAAGTTGAGAGCTTTTACGGGGTGTATATGCTTTACTGCACCAACCCGAAATTCAAAGGAAGAATCTATATCGGTTTCACGGTGAATCCAGAGAGGAGGATCGGGCAGCACAACGCGGGGCGACACCGTGGAGGAGCCAAAAGGACCAGTGGAAGAGGGCCATGGTGAGGGGTGAAGGGGTGAAGATGAAACTGCAGGTGTTGTGTTCTATTAGGTGCTAATTTGTTGTGTTTCACAGGGAAATGGTTCTCATCATTCACGGGTTCCCTTCTGATATTGCTGCACTGAGGGTAAGTCTGAGTGATACAAATCCACATTATCTAAGGATTTGTCACGTATGCAATATATTACTATATATAATAGTCATATTACATACTTTTTTTGCTTACAATACATTAATACTTGTTCTTTGTCCAAACAGAAAGAATTTTGTTTCAATAACATTATGTGAACAAACCAGACCACAATAAGCTATCTTTAAAACCTTTTCACACAAAAAAATAAACTTCATGCTCTCCAGCTTTAAGAGTAAGACGAATATTATGGGGATGAGAACAAGGCTTGGATGCTTAATATTCCTTCTTTATTCTACAGAAACTCAGAAAATTAGAATATCCTTCAAAAGTTCATTAGTTTGAATTTCAGATGGCAATAATATTTGTGATGCACTTCTTCTCGATTCCAGTTTGAGTGGGCTTGGCAGCACCCCCACTCCTCTCGTCGGCTGACCCATGTGACCCGGCGCTCTAGGAAAGAGTCCAGTTTGGAGTTCCATTGGCGCGTAGTGTCCAACATGCTGCGGGCACCACCGTGGAACCGCCTCCCCCTCACCGCCCGCTGGCTCAAGCAGGAATACAAAATGGACTTTGAGCCGAACTTACAGCCTCCTCTGCATATCCCCGTTGCTTTTGGATGTGTGCGAGCCAAGAAGAAACCTGCTTTGTCATCTGGAGACGAGCAAGAAGTGCTCTGCTGGTGCTGTCTCTGTGGAAGAATTGTTACGGTAAATGACATTAAAGCTGGGCCCCTAATTTCAATGTTATTACCTACATCCATTTGTCTAGTTCCTCCTGCGCAGTTTGGTTTTATCACTAGTTTTCACATGCATGTATTGGTCTCTGACACATCTTTAGACCAGCTTTTTCAGATATAAGAGTGCAAAAGAGAGGATTTGGAATTATTTGTATTGCTATTGTATGTAACAGGAAGTCATAAACTAGGATTTTGCTTTGGCTCTTGGTGCAAACAAGTTGTAAGAGTAAAATAGATATTGGCATGCATAAATAAGAAAAATCCTCTTCAATTGAATCACTTTTTTTTTTATACAAGTGCACTAACATACAATAGATATTTAGCAGTGCAGTAAAGTGAGAGAAGTATAAGGCAATAAGATGAATACAGCATATGGTGGTCTGATTAGTCCTGGATCTATAGCCTGTCTCCCTCAATATGGGCCTTCCCGAAGTTTCTCACTTTTTTTCCGACTGGGTGTCTGTTAGCTGCTCCTTGCCGATAGGAGAACGGTCTAAAGGAGGGTCTACAGACAGTGATGATCCGGCTCCCTAAAAACCAATGGATTCTATGCGTTTGCTATCAATGCATTTTAACTTTTCTCTGATCTGTTGTTGAGGAATTCACACTTTGATAAGTCTTCCAAGACGACCTTTGTTGTGATTTAAGGCACAGGACTGTAGAACAAGGACTGGGGAGGCTTTTCAGGCGGAGATGGGGGTGGCAGAAGTGTCTTTGAGTGTCCAAAAAAGCACTATATTAAATCATTTTTTAAATTATTATTATCATTAGACTGTATTGGGCCAGAATTAAGTAATGAGTTCTGAAATGTTTGCGTATGATCATTTCAAATTCACAGGCAGCAGAGAAGTTGAGCTGTGTCCAACCCTCGTGTTCAATGGAAAGCCACATGAGCTGCTTGGCCAGACGCTTCCTGAAGTCAGAGCCCGCTCAGCTGCTGCCGCTGGAGGGCCAATGTCCCAAATGTGACATCACAGTGCTCTGGGGAAGCCTCGTCCGCCACAAACAGGGCTGCCTCGGAGACCTGGAGGAGACGGCAACCCCTTCTTCACAGGTACGGCCTACGACCTCAACACATTCAATTCAACTCAATTTATTCTTCTATAGCCCTAAATTAAAACACAGATCAGAGAATCAAACAGTTCAAACTCAAGAAATGTAATGATAAAAGATACATAAATCATTAATTTGGATAAATGTTGTTGAGTGTCCTGGATCATCACCACTGTTCTTAGACCCTCCTACATGTGATAAATACTGCCTGAGAATGCTAATTTTTTCATTCTTTGTTCTTTCACAGAGTCACTGGGCCGATGAACTGCAGCTATGACAACGCCGACTCAGCGGCAGGGCATTAGAATCGCTTTTTAACTAATTTGACTGAAATCATGTGATGTTACTTTTGCTCAATGTTTACTTTTCATGTCACTTACATTGCGCAAAATCAATGTTCTTTTTTTAAAGCTTCTAGGTACAACATTGTTCCTCATCACTCCATCACAGACCTGGAGTTGTTTTTAGGTCTAACCACGCTAATATAAGGCAGTTCTGGTACAAACATGTAACTCCGCCCCGTCTTTCTAAAAGCTTATAATAGTATGCCATTGTACTTCTATGACATCACTTTGTAATTTCCCAGGTGATATTATGTTCTATACAATTGCATGGCTATGTTTGCAGCTGGTTATTTTCAAATTTGAAAAAAAAAAAAAAAAACACACTTTCTCCTTTTCCCTCTCATGGCAGCATAGAATTACAGGTGGAAAACCTTATTTAAACCTTCATACTGTTGAAAATATTATTTCACATTCTGTATCATGAAATGACAAAGTACCTCGTCTCATCATTTTTAAAAGCCAAATAAATGGGTTATATGTATTTTTCGTTTGTCCATTTTAATCATCAATGTTAAATAAAATATTGAATATATTTAAAAGATGTCTTTATTACAAAAAAACGTTTAAAACAAGTGCATACAAGCATTTTTAAGAACACCTCTCACGACTAACGTCATGATAATACTGAGTGTGGAGTGCTTTACTGTGGGTCTGTCTGTGCAGCAGGAGGAGCTTGTAACATGATCACAGGCTGAAAACACAAGACTTTGACTTATTATTGTTTCACTTATATTATTATTATACAGTTATGCAGTGTGTGTGAGAGAGTGTGGTACTTTGAGTGGGAGAGTAAGTGGAGTGTGTGTGTCTCTGTGTTCATGTGCGTTTTTGTCTGTGTGTGCCTGTGTCTTTCTGTGTGCTTGCATGTCTCTTGAGTGTGTGTGTGTGTGTCTCTTTGCATGTGTGCTTATGTCTCTCTTGAGTGTGTGCACCTGTGTGTGCGTGAGTCTGTGTGTGCGTGTCTCTTTGCATGTGTGCTTATGTCTCTCTTGAGTGTGTGCACCTGTGTGTGCGTGAGTCTGTGTGCGCACCTGTGTGTGTGCGTGTCTCTTTGCATGTGTGCTTATGTCTCTCTTGAGTGTGTGCACCTGTGTGTGCGTGAGTCTGTGTGCGCACCTGTGTGTGTGCGTGTCTCTTTGCATGTGCGCCTGTGTCTGCGTGCGTGTCTCTCGTCTCTGTGTGCTTGAGTGTCTCTCTCAGTGTTGGGCACGTTACTTTGAAAAAGTAATTAGTTATAGTTACTAGTTACTTCTCCCAAAAAGTAACTGAGTTACTAATGGAGTTACTCCACTATAAAAGTAACTAGTTACCAGTAAAGGTAACTACTGCGTTACTTTTTCGTTTCGTTCTGGAACATAATGTGCACTCGACGTGCACATGTTGACCTTTAACCTCAGTGAGTCTGAAATAGTGCCAATATTTCCATCTAGAAAAGGATGTTTTTCTGCTGAAGTCCTGTTCACTCTTCATCTCTCTCTGTGCTGTAAGCACTAAACACCAACACCCGCCACTGTGAATGTGGAAACACCGGTGAAGCATCGACTTCAGCCCAATCAGATGAACATATATATCATATAAATCAACAGGACCTAGAGAGCGGCTTATTCACAATTTGTTTGGCTACAGCAGAATATGTTTCATGCCCGCGTTGTTTGTTCAAACAAAACGCAAAACTATGAGTTATGGGTCTTACCTTATAAACGACCTGCACAGGCCACTTCGGTTCAGACCAGTTCCGTGTTTAAGTCCAGATAATAGTTTGAGGGTAGATATGTAAATAACTATTTACATTCCATTTGTAAATAAGTCTAATGAGTTTTAAAAAGTAAAACAAAACGCGTGTGTCCTCCATAAACTCCTCTGTTTTTCTAGCTGAAGCCGGGTGCATCCAATTTCTAAATTTAACCGTCTTACACTTACCACTACACTACACTAACCCACCTCTCTTTCTAATCATTCCTATAGTCATTGAAAAATTACCCTAAGTGCATTTTAATTTATCTTAAAATGTGTTATATGTATGTTAGCCAAACCTGTTGCTGCCCTTAGCAGATAAACCAGGAAGAGAAAGGAGCTTTCTGATGGAATTGTATGCAGCCGACTTCTGCGCTCACATGCGCTCCTCTGAGCCCTCACGGTGATACAAGCCGTGGTTGAGCGCGATTAAGACCCATATTTGTTCCAAAAACACAATTTATGAGCCATCCTCTCAACTGTAGACATGTAGATTGTAAAGGAAATATGTTTTACATCAGCCAATAATTGCTGAGAGGTTTTTTCATCCTCCTTTCTCTCATGACAACAGAGTCCTATCATGAGTCCTATCATGAAGGAAAAAAAAAGGACTCAAGTCATTGTGCGACTTGAGTAACGCGCAGTAACGGGGCGTCGGCAATGATAACGGCGTTATAGTTACAGTCAAAGTAATTAGTTAGATTACTCGTTACTGAAAAAAGTAACGGCGTTAGTAACGGCGTTATTCCCATCACTGGTCTCTCTTGAGTGTGTGCACCTGTGAGTCTGTGTGCGCACCTGCTTGTGTGTGCGTGTCTCTTTGCATGTGCGCCTGTGTCTCTCTGTGTGTGTGTGTGTGTGTGTGTGTCTCTCTGAGTGTGTGCAGCTGTGTTTCTGTGTGTGAGCGCACTTGTGTCTGTGCCTGGGTTCGAGTGTGCATCTTTTTGCGTGTTTGTCTGTGTCTCCCTGTATGTGTGTGAGTCTGAGTGTGTGTATGTGTGTGTCGTACCACTTTCGGAGGGGGACAGCAGCAGTTGACCACCTTACCGGCATAACAAGCCAGAGTGACTGAAATGGCGAGGAGAACCAACTGGACGATAATTAACTCAGCGAACAGAACCGAGTGAGCCTCCTGAGGACAACCACACCACAGTGGGAAGCGTCTTATGGAACACAACAATATACAACATTTGAATCCCGTCTGCATACCTCTATTTTCAGGCAGCTTTGTTTTGCCTCTTTTTCTGCATAATAGCAGGAACGTCCAAATGTTAAAGGATGCACCATTAGAACAAAAGTGAAGATGAGGTTGATGACGGAAGCCAAAGTCGCCACAATCTCTAAACCCAGACAAGCCCTGATCTGAAAAAACACTTATTTTATTTATTATACATCTAGAGTTGTGTTTGTTGATACTTTTGTCACTGTCTACAGCTTGCTAAGAGATGCTAAAGTTTTATTGAACATACCGTGGGAAGATGGAGATTTTTTGCTGCTATGGCAACACTTCCTGCAATAAAAACCTGCAAAAAGAAGACATATTTTTTATATTGCCTGCCTCTTTCTTGTAGAATTTATAATATATATTTAAAAGAGCATTATGCAAAAATCTGGCCAAAAGTTGTACTGCAGTCACAGTCAATATTTTGTAGTCCTCTCCCACCCTCCCTGACTCAGGTTGCCAGATACACACCAAATCCAGCAGCTAACACTGCATCAGTTGTTTGTCTGTCTCCATTCACATTGTCATGATAGCCGTGCTAATGTTGAATGAATGTTTTGAATAAATCTTTTTTTTATATTTTTTATATGGACATTTGAGATGAAAATCAAACAAAATAAAAGCAATGTAATTATACATAGATTATGCAAAATAAATATATGTTGGAACATATTTCTTCAGTGATCAACATCAGGGTTTCCTCCAGAGGATATCACCCTTCAATTTTATTTATTCCCTATTTTTTAGACATGTATAAGTCCCACATCAAAAAGAGACTAATATTATTTTAATTGGGGTACATGTGGTCTCAAATGATTCTTATTACAATTAAGTTATAATCTGCAAAAAACGTTTTGTTTACTGACTTTCACCGTTTTTTGAGCATTCACATTGAATGTGGTATTATATAATTAGATACACACAGATACTTTCCAGATTCGGGCGACAGTATTTTGCTGTGGTTCAAGCCCACCGCAGCCCGTGTCACCTGCTCCCACTGATGTCTGCTGTCGTTGTGTACCTGGGCAAGACACTTAACCTCACATTGGCTGAAGTCCCCACTGAAAGACCAAGGCCATCTCGTCGATGACTGAGAAGCCATCTTCCTGTGGACCCACCACCTCCAGGAGGATCAGCAAGGACTGGTGCTGTGAGACTTGGGTGGCAGCTCTGATTGCGACCCCCCCGACCCAGAAATGGATTAATAAAGGGGTAGAAAATGACATGACATGACCTTCCAGATTTGAACCCGTGTCACTGAGGTAACAGCACTACGCCTTAATCATTAGACCACCATTACATTTAAGCAATATCGTCGCACCTAGTTCAACTCAAACCCGCAAGTTTCGAATCACACGAAAAGTTTTTATCCGCTGTCTCGATTTTTCAAAGGCGTCCCCATATAAATCCTCGTTTTAGTCTTTGTTTTGTTAATGATTTGAGAGTCATAATGGGCTCTATGCACGCACCACTTCCGCGTTTTAGTTACAAACCCACTTCACTTCCTGTGCGCGGGGAACGGCTTGAGTTTTACAGGAGTTCAGCAGATTTTTACACAAGTTTACTAAATAATGCTCAAACGGGAATTAAACTGCGAGGATACTGGGCATTTTTGGGACAGAGCAGTGCTTTTTGATTGTGCTGTCATTGTGCTTTTATAAAGTTAACTAATAGCTCTGAGTGGCCACAGTCAAAGCTCTACCTCAGAGAGAAAGCACAGCGACACTTATGGGTCAGTCTCACAGCTGAAAGTATCAATCTAATTACTAAAAAACGTCACTACAAGGCCCAATCCCAATACCCACACTGCACCCTACACTCTTCTACGAAGTGTGCATTTGTTTGAAGTGCACGCAAGGGTTTGAGTGGCAGGTTACAAGCGTGCAAAAAGGTGGAATTGGGACTAGTCAAGAGATGGTCATTTTCAGACCTAAACTTTGTCAAATTAAAGGTAATTTTGTCTGACCCTGTGGGAAACAAAATGAGTTGCTCCACACACGTTAAAATTAATGTATATCGGTTATTTGTAATTTGAGATAGCTATATAATTTTAAGTTAAATGTGGGTAACTAACTGTTTTCTGGTCAGTTTTTATACATCCTAAGATTATTGTACTAAGTGTAAAGTTTAAATTGAATGTTATATGAACGCTTGCTTTAAAAAGTTATTAAATTGTTAAAATACAATGTCCGTAATTCTTCATCAGACATGTATGCTTCTTTCCAAGAAACATAACAAAATGTATTTCCACACATACAGCATATATATTTCAAAACGTACATTTAAATGCATTTTTCCGACGTTTTGGTGTGTACCGCAAAGAATTATGGGCAATATGCTTCGCCAGAGTCCGCATAGATGCAGGCTACGGCGAAGTGTGGATCAAGGGCGCAAAGGGGGGGGGCCAAAGACATCCCTGGAAAATTGGGAAACCCTACGCACTCGCGCCCATCATCGGGAACGCGCAAATGAGGAGCGCAAGGGTGGAAGTGCGAGTGTTGGGACTGGGCCCAACCATGGATCTATTATATTAACTGGATAGGGTATTACTAACTTGTAGCTGAATAACTCATGTGCTCGGGGATTCTCGCGGTACTGCAGACTGAACCAGACTAAATTCACGTGGGCTACCCAGAAATTTTCCCCATAGAACTCAATGCATATTAAAACAGCTCAACCTCAGCTGACAGAGAACCTACAGCTTTAATGAAGATCGGATTTTGTGGGGATTTTAGTGTCCCTTGTCATCCTGAACTTTTTTTCTTCTTAAATCCTTCGGTTTTGTTTAAATCCACACTTTAGTGCCACAAACTCTGCTCGTCTGGCTCTCGCTCTAACTCCCGCTCTGATTAACTGCTCTGATTGGTCAGAGCGCAGCCGAGCCCCTCTGTGCACGTGCGTGAGACTCACACGCGCGTGTTTGGCGCAACGCATTATGGGAGATCATCCACTGCGCAGAACCGGGAGGACCAGACAATGCCCAAATACAGGCGAGTTTCCCATAGATCTTTGCGAGTTCCAGGCGACTTCCGCTAATCTTTCAGCCCCCATGCTGTCACAGAGCGTGTCACTCCCGCATTCGTCCCGGAAACCGGATTCGTCCGGAAGTTCAGTTTGCGCATGTCAAAAAGTTTAATATGTCCTTAAGTGGTGACTGGTTAAGTTTAGGGTTGAAGCTGGGTTGGGGTTATTTTATGGGAATGGCTGGTTAAGTTTAGGCATGAATAGGTAGTTTTTTATATTTACTTCCGCTTCCGTACAGATTCCATGACGTAATCTACTGCTGCGTATGCTCATTGGATCAAACTGAACTTCCGGACAAATCCGGTTTCCGGGACGAATACGGGAGTGACAAGCGCCACTGAGCACAACCATTCATTTGAATAGGGCGCCATCTTGGATCGCCGGGGCTTGGGCCCAACTCACCTAAAAGCCATAGCGATAGTATAGAGGCTAATCTTGATTTCATTTCTTTGTAGTTTCTAATTTACCCTCTTCTGTATGAGATGAATTGAGCCTGTTTTCACGCGTTAGATGCAGTCGCACCAGACGCGTGAAAACAGGCTCAATTCATCTCATACAGAAGAGGGTAAATTAGAAACTACAAAGAAATGAAATCAAGATTAGCCTCTATATCAAGTAAAACAACTGTGTTGCTCTCCATCTCTCGTTTATTCAAGGTACAGCCGTTATATACTTTGTTGCGTAGCAACATGTAACAACAACATCAGAGCATGGCGCGTGCCAAAACCAAGTACAAATCAAATCTCATTACAATCATGTCGGCATAACATTTTCTAAATTAAATCAAATATTAAATATGACATGTAAATTATGTGAATACAATAAACATGTAAAAATGGCGCTTACAGATAGCATAGGCAGGAAGTTAACGGGCTGTGCTTTGTTTACAGGAAATGACGTCATGCCTCCCCGTGCATATAGCCCAGACCTTTTTTAGTTCTGCGGCCACATGTTATTTTACCACTGAGATTAGCTAGCCGTGGGGAGTTCTGGCAACCCGGATCTCGGACTTTCTGACTGGTGAAATGGCGGCGGCTGGGACATCAAAATGAAAACAGTAACAACTTTTACGGGTCGTAAAACTAATTTTGATATTCAAATATCTCGGCTGATCTACTGGTATCAGTTAAAGATGTATTCAAAAAGAGTATGATTTAATAATGCCTTTTGAAATATTGGGGCCATTTAATGATGACTTGACATGCAAATATTACATAATGCTACTTTAACAGACATGTCTTGTCGAAACAACCAATAATTTGTATTTAAAAAAAATTATACAAATGTAAGGGGTGCCCACACTTTTTTATACCACTGTAGACTTACAAACACGGATGTAATGAAGCAAGGCGTCGCCAGACCAGTCCTATCTCCGACCAAGCTGGCCACGCAGCTGTTGTGGAAGACGACCAAGCCTATCTGAGCGATCTGCACATAGACAAAAACATTACTGTTGAATATGGAGGACAGAAGAATGTAAACGCGTGAAGCAAACCCACCCCCAGGGCTTTGGGCTCTCCCTCCAGAAACTTGAGCTTCCTCTGACTGTTTTTCTGGAAGGACACTGTCACCAAGGGCCCGTCTGTCACACCCGGGTCCGTGTATACCACAGCGCTTTCTGCAAACAAACATGCAGCTCCGAGATCGCGATCATCCTGGTTATTATGCTTGACTAAATACATACGGACTCTTCTCTCTTACGTCATCTGCCTCCAGAGCCGTGTGTTGTTGTTTACCTGTCATGACGCTCGTGCGCAGGTTCCAGAGATACAAATGTTATGCTTCTGGCTTTGATCCTGTCCTTCCCTTAAAAAGTTTTATATCTATTATACGTTCAACGGTCTAGTCATGGATCTGGGTCTGGTCTGGTCCAGTCCGTTCGTTCTGGCCCAGAAAGCAGAAGTTTTGAGAGTTCCGCCCATAGACCGTTATTATAATAGATCCATGGCCACAGACCGACCACCGACCCATGCTTCCGCCTCTGCCCTGTACTGGCCCCTCCCATGGGTCTGTAGGCCCCTCCCTTCGGGCTGTTTAGCTGCCAAATGTTTCGGAAACAAACCAAATTAATAGTATTTTGTATACCCATAAATCATAACAGCAGTCGTCTATAATAAAGTATTTTTATTACGACAAGTTTAAAATGTCCTAATTGCCATCATAGTACAGTATTTGTTACTTTTTATGGGGTTTCACTTTTTATCACATAGGTAATGGTCGTTTTATAGTCTGACACTATAATTATTGCTTTGAATAAAATAAAAAGATCAGATATATGAAAAAAATTCTACATAGTATAGCATGAGTGGAATGTGATTTCCGATAAGGCTTTGTATCTACAACTGTCCCATATCTTAAAAATACATTAAGTGTATTCATACATTGCAAAAAGTGATGAAAAATTGCTTATCTTAATTGAAGAACATTTGGACTGCCTTATAACAAGATTAGTTAATTAGCAAACGTATCTTGTTTAAAAAAAGATACAAAAATTTTTTCTCTTGGAATGAGACTAAATGGCTCTGTCCTATTGGCAAATCTTGTTTCAAGACAATTGAAGCAATTATTACCTCATATTTTATCAGTTTTTGCAGTGTATAGTCTCTTGAACCCATCTGTAAAATGCCCTTTTGTATTTATTTGTTATGCATCATAGCTTCAGATTCTATGTAGTGTTTTGATTTTTTTATGTTGCGTCCTCCTGAACCCAAACCAACCCCGGCTGACAGTTTATGAGCATGAATCTCTGCGTAGAAGTGAAGTACGGAAAGAACAACTATTACAAACTCCACTTTATTTGGGTTAGAGTATAAACATTTTATTATACATGAAACGGCACTGGTTGTCTGTCCTCTTCAGTGTGGGGCTGGAGAGGCTTCAATCGATATCACAGGCTGAAAACAACAACATGAGTAAGTAAAGTAAGTAAGCAGTAAGGCAGTGTTCCCCAACCTTTTTGAGCCATGGCACCTTTTTCATTGAAAGCAATGACATGGCACCAGCTCAAACTGATACAATCATAAAACTGCAGCATAATGTAAAGTCATCAAAGTCTATATATAGTTTTCTCATATATTTTCCATTCAGATTAGTTTGAGTTTGTTAGCCTGTTTATGTTTGTTAGCTTGTTGCTAACATGTGTTATTAAACTATAGGTGGATCTTGGAGTGACGTCGTTGCTGTATTGAGTGACGTCGTGCTGTATTGCCACCCGGTCACGTGACCGGGTGGCAATACAGCACAGAAAGCTACTTGGATGCTAGAGAGTTAGCTATTTTTAGACGTTTGGAGAGAGGTTTTACGAAATCAAATTGTCCGTTCTTGTTGTGTGGTCGGTTGTACGGCCCGCTGGAGACATATTGAGTTTTTTTCTAATTCTTTCGGAAAAAAACAGCAAAAAACAGCCGCGGTAAAGTGGTTGCCCTTTTATGCTGTTACCTACGGTAAACGTAGAACGGGAAGCCAGGGGGATGAGGGGATAAAAATTCATCAACACATTTAAGTTTTGCAACTACTTTCACTGCACTTGTTCACTCATTCATTCTTTCATGAATGATGATTAATTTTAAACATTACATTTTGGTTGCTCATCCCCGCCTCCTTCCTGTTCCACCTTTACCGTAAGTAACAGCAAAAAGGGGCAACCCGCTTTTAATGTGTGGCAAAAAGCTGGACCGCAATGAAAACCACGAGAAATGGATTTTCCCCACGGACCCTTCTTGAGTGAAGGGTCCCGGGTTTTCTATGGAGAAAGAATAAATGTCTCTGAGTCCCAGTCCCAGCAGATCGGTGCCAAGACAGAGGTGAGTTTTCACCAATGTTTCTTCTCGTCATCACAGGTCTCATATGGTCTTTCAATTTGTTCAGTTCGGTCTCATACTTATTTTTAGCTTGTCTTTATATCTCCTCTGATCTTCTTGCATTAAAGTGCTTATATACAGTGCTATTCGCCCACTGAGTCTTTTAAAAGTACTCGTTGCATCCATGCTTCAGTATATGCCGCTCTGTCTTCTTACCACCCAGCGAGGGGTGTAAACAAACATCCTCCTAAAGTAAATATGAAGGAAAATACAAGTGCTTGTGTTTTTGCAAGAAAGTGTGCAAAGGAAGTACACTAACAATATATGAATGAGTTGAAATAAAAATCAATAAGTGTCAATAATAATAATATCAATAATAAACAACTTAATTCCACTCCTTTTCAAGTTGCAGTAGACTTTCTTTGTTTTACTATCAGAGGTTTGTTGTTGTTGTCCATCATGTAAACTTTTTAAAACTAACTAAATTCTTTGGACCAATTTGGTAATATTGGGTTATTTTTAAAGGCACACCAAACAACATCTGAAGGCCCACTGATGTACCACGGCCCACTGGTTGAAAAACACTTGTGTAGGGAGTTATTCGACACTTGGTAAAGTTGGGTACGTACCACTTTTGTAGCCGGAGAGCAGCAGTTGACCACTTTACAGGCATAGACCATGAGAGTGACAGAGATGGACAGAAGGGTCACCTGCATCACCACTAAGTCTGTGAACACATGAAGACGGGCTGCCTGGACACGGACACACACACAGACACAGAGACACAGATGCAAGCACACACAGACTCACACACATAGACAGATAGACACAGACAGACACACACACACACACACACACAGGCACAGACACAGATACAGATGCAAATAGACACACACAGGCGCATACACACAGACACAGACCCCAGACACATACACACACACAGACACACACACAGATACAGACAGACATAGACACACACACAGATGCACACACACACAGACACACACAGACACACAGATAGACACAGACAGACACAGACGTGCACACACACACACAGAAACACACAGACAGACAGACACACACACACACACGTCTTAACAACGATTTCTCATTTAGTCGCTAATCAATTTGGTTGTGAACAGCTTCAGCAACAGACTGATCCACCTCCTCCGTAAGAAGGAGAGGCTCTGCAGGTCTGTCCTCACTGCTGCTGTCAGACTGTACAATGAACAAAGACTGATGACCTGGCCTCACATATCTACAATACAATACAATACAATTTATTCTTGTATAGCCCTAGGTCACAACAGAAGTCATCTCAGAGGACTTAACAAAACCATTGAAATCACCAACACAGGTCAGAGAATCAACAGTTAAAACACATGATGAATATAAAGCACACACAGAAGAAAATGTCCATACATGTTGTAGAATGCTAAAGTGTCCTGATCATCACCAATCCTTTCTGTTGGACACTAACTGTCCAACAAGACCCTCCTGCATCGACAAGGAAAAACCCAGTGGGAAAAAGTGAGAAACCTTGGGGAGAACTAGGGAAACCCACAGGGAGGGAGACCCATATGAGAAAGGGATCCGCTCCTCCGGACGGACAGGCTAATGATCTAGGACCTAAGCTAGCTATATCTAATAATGTCAAATTGTCAAATATGGAACCGTATGTGTCCACTGTCACTTTAGACACTTTTAACCCAGAATAACCGTTTTATTATTTCAGATTTATCTACAAATGTATACATACAATTACAGTATATATGTCCTTGCACTAGAGCAGGGGTGTCAAACTCATTTTGATGGGGGGCCAAGTTTAAAAACGTAAAAGCTTGTTGGTTGCCAAAAGTACTTTATCATCTTTATTTTTTTTAATACTTTTTAATTATTTTTTTACATGTTTTTGTGAGATTGTGTTCAACCACAACTGGGCTACATTTTTTTGGATAAAAAAAATAAATATTGGGCATAATTACATGTTAGTTAATTTTTTAGAACAAACTTAATTATATGGTTGCTTTAGAGAAAAGTATAACATGCCATAGTATTCCTTAGTTACTGTAATACTGATCATTGCAAATAATTTCAGGGGCCACTAAAAATGGTCTCGCGGGCCAGATTTGGCCCATGGGCCTGAGTTTGACATGCCTGCACTAAAGTATACAGATTTATATCTTATTTGTTTACTTGTCATTATACTTTGTTTCTTCATTAAGCTAAAAACAATTATTATTTTCTGTTTTCAAGGAGGGCCTCATTTGATGTTATGTTTGTGTGCTCCTCATCCCTGCTGTTCTGCAACCTGTGATGCAACCCTGACATTTCCCCACTGTCTCTTTATCTTAATGACAAAAAACCTGCCTCCACTTTCTGGCAGGTTCCCGCCGCGTTGGCCGTGATGTTGTCAAACTCGAAGGAATAGCAGTAGAACTCATCTATCGCACCGAGTGTCAGGAGGAGGTTAAAGACTGAGGCCAACGCCGCCACGATCTCCATTCCTACACACGCCTTCAGCTGAAATCACATAATAATAATAATAATAATAATAATAATAATAAATTGTATTTATATTGCACCTTACATTCCCACAAATCCTCAAAGTGCTACGGATTAAAATACAATACAGCAAATAAAAAAAACATGAAAAATACATAAAATATTAAAAATCATGAAGGCGTTAAAAGCTCATAGAATCCATAATAACTGTGTCTCTGTGGTAAAATCTTTCAGCTGCTCCTGACTGACGTTCAGCATCAAGCAAATGCAGAAAACAAATTGCCCTAAGGGATTTAATAAAGTTTACCATAACCTACTATTACCGTTATTTTTGGTATAGTTTCAAGAGTTTATGCACATACAGTAATTACCTAATTTTAGCCTATTTCTTTAATATTCATAATTTATTGGTTGATGCACTTAATTTTCAAATATTTCTTTCTATTGATGTTTTGTATTTAAAGAAGAAATACAATGTTAGACTATAAAATGATAATGTAACGATAATTGCATTACAAAGTAAACAATAAAACATGAACCTAATCAAAAATATATATTCCTGACTGCAAATATGACATTTTACACTTTTAATAAAAAAAAAATATTTCTTAACATTAGATCGAGTAGACTCTTATTTATCTCAAACAGAAGGGAAATTCAAAACCCTCTTGTGTCGCTCTGTAATCCTCTAGTACCAATCGTTTCATCCTCTGCATTTGTCAGTGTTTAAATAATAAATTAGACTAACGTACCGTGGGTGGGTGCAGGTTTTTTGATGCCAGGGCAACACATCCTCCAATGAAAATCTGCAAAATGAAGACTGTTATAAGATAAAATAAGATACACATTATTGATCTCACAATGGAGAAATTTACATTATTATATGGACTATTTGAAAAGAAAGTACATTTTGTCCACATATAACCCTCACTTGAATATAAGCCGCAGGTTTTCATGTTTAATGTCACTCTTAACCAACAGCTGATGGATCAAAACAAAGCTGACAGACGACACAATGTAATTTGATGCAAGGTGTTTTATCGCACTGTTGAGTTGTGATGATCAAAGAACTATGGTTATTGTTAGTAACTTTTAGAATTATGCATTTATTTTTTTGTATGGATGCATGTGTTTCTGCTGTTGGACACCTGAATTTCTCTTACGGCGATCAATAAAGTATCTATCTATCTAAGCTATTTTAACAATAACATTCCTACTAAAACATAATGGAGTTAAAATAATGAGTCCACAAGTTCTGATTTTACAATAGCCCTAGTCACATATTCACTCAAGTAGAAGGAGAAAGGACCAAACTGAGCTAAGAGTAACTTGGATGTTTTTTAAATGTTTTTAATAGACGGTAACAGTAAGAATATTGTACAAAAATCAAACCACATATAAAAGTCTTTCTAGGAAAGTGAGACTGGTGACATCACTCACCAGAATGGTTGAAATAACGAAAGGTGTGGCAATCTCACTTCTGTACACACTGTTGGCAATGAACGAGGTCATACAGCTGGCCTGGAACACACTCAGGCCGATTTGGGTGATCTGGAGGAGACGGCATTGTTAAAATATGATAAGACAGTGTGTGTGTGTGTGTGTCATTGTTAATATCAGAATGTGCAGTATGTGTGTGTGTGGTTGTATGTGTATGTGTGTGAGTGTATGTATGTGTATGTTTGTGATTGTGGGTGTATGTGTATGTGGGTGTACTGTATGTGTATGTGCGTGAGTGTGAGTGTCGGTGTGTGTGTATGTGCGTGAGTGTGAGTGTGGGTGTATGTGTGTGTATGTGTATGTGGGTGTATGTGTATGTGCATGAGTGTGAGTGTGAGTGTGGGTGTATGTGTATGTGGGTGTATGTGTATGTGCATGAGTGTGAGTGTGAGTGTGGGTGTATGTGTATGTGGGTGTATGTATGTGTATGTGTGTGTGAGTGTCGGTGTATGTGTGTCTGTGTCATTGTTAATTTGATAAATAATTTGACAGAATGTGCAGTATGTGAATGTGTGTGTGAATTTGTGTGTGGGTGTATGTCAATGTTAATATGTTAGGCAACGAATAAAGAGTGTGGACTGCGTGTGTCATTGTTAGTATGATAGACAATGAATGAGAGTGTTGACAGTGTGTGTGTGTGTGTTAATAGGATCGACGATTAATATGGATAGTATGTGTGTCTGTGTATGTAATGTGTAAGTGTGTGTGTCACTGTTAATATGATAGACAATGAATGAGTGTATGAGCAGTTTGTATGTGCGTGTGCGTGCGTGCGGACTGGTCACCCCCAGGACTTTGGGCTCCCCCTCCAGATATTTGAGTTTCCTGTGTGCATTCTTCTGGAACGTGACAGACACCAGTGGAAGGTCTGAGGATCCAGCCTCTTTCTCCACGTCCGCAGCCTCTAAAACACATTGCACTCATTGAACTTCATTATATTCTTTCGGGCCGACCATTGTGACCGAGCAAACTGGTTCTACGAGACATGTGTAATAAATACATGAATATTATTACATTCAGCTTCATTTACAAAACATGTATTTACAATTATTAAACTCTCAACCAGCTTTGTCGTGGCTGATATCAATCTTGGTACTTTGTTATTCTCGCTGGAATCTATTCATATCAATTTTGAAGACCAGTGTCCCCCCTGAGCTGTTATTTATCAGACAAAAACCACTTAAAAACGTAAAAGTTGACCTATTCTGAAATCATAAAACTGACACCAAACTAACAGTTTCCTGGGCTGGCACAACAAAGCAGTTCCTGGATCCTTGTATGTATAAATGTAGAAATTCCTGTACTTTTTTAGCTGGTTTTATTCATGTACTGTCTGATTCAGACTGGGGACTTTTGTACATTTGGTTTGGTTTTATTGCAAAAGGCAAATAAAATGAACCAGAGTCTAATTTGAATAACCCATCAATCATCTGTAAATAAACTGTTTTCTATCTACAGCGGAGAACAATGATTTACTGCCAATTGACTGATAACTATTAATCACTACATGTTTAAATGCCCGGCCCCAGTCCCATAGTCTGAGTCCTGGATCTAAAGCCGGTCTGTTTGTAAGAGAGGATCCCCCTCTTGGGCCTCCATGAGGGTTTCCCACTTTTTCCCCACTGGGTTTTCATTGGTCATCTGCCGCCTATAGAAAATGGCTCCTAGGTGTTAGTTATTGTTGCACATCCTGTTCGGACTAATTGATTCTCGGATCTGTTGCTCAGGAATCAACAACTGAGTAAAGTCCTCTGAGACGACTGCTGTTGTGATTTAGGGCAACGCAAATATAAATTGAATTGAAATAGCGAAGTCCATCATATGATGAGAAACCCAGATGGTTGCCATAGTGATTCACAATTAATTTGACATGGTCCTCACAATGTTGTATAAACAGGAAGCTGCACTAGAAGAACAGAGATGGAGAAAACAAAGAATCCAGACACAAAACGCCAAGACTTTAAACAGTGCATGAACGAACATCTGGGTTTGATCACATCCATCTAAAACCAAGTCCTCTTTACACAGGCACCACACACACACACACACACACACTTTGGCTTTACCTGGCATGGCGTCTGCGCGCGCACTCTCGCTGATATCGCAACAAAAAGCTGCGCCTCTTCTGTCCCGTGATTTCTGACAAATCCAGTTGAGCAACAGTTTGCAACAGTTTGCAACTATTTGGTCTGAGTGAGTCCGCCCTGCGCCTGTGCGTGTGTACCCGATACCATCCTCCCCAGCACACAGCCCCCAGTCCACAGCCGCCCTTAACCCTTAACAGCTTTAACACAAGTCGGATTTAAAGCTGGGAAACGTAACTCCTCAAGAAGATGACAAACACCAACTATGTAACTACAGTGGCAATAGAGAAAGTAGAAATAGACCTTGAACGGTTTCACAGTTTTGTCATGCGTACAACCATTACAATTTTAGACATATTTTGATTTATATTAAATTATTTTCATTGAAAGTTAAATAAAACATTCATTTGTTTGCATATTTGGAAAGATTTTTTTTTTAAACAATAACAAGCTCGTGTGTCATTCTGCTTTCACTCCACACGTGTTTGTGGTTGTAACGCACTCATTTTTGCATATTTGAAAAGAGCCTTGTGAGTCGCTATTTGACGCTTTGGGTTGAGAGCTGATTGTCACATCTTTAGACCGCCCTCACTCAGCCAGAGACCAAGAATACATGCAGGTGAAATCTAGAGATAGACTCAGAACTGTTTTGAGAGCGAGGAACTAGCGACATTGATTTCAGTATTTACAGAGCAAAAGTATTCATACACAATGATGCACGATTTTGTTATTGTTTTTAAAATAGAAAAGTGAAAAGTGGGGCATGCATACAACTATTCAGACAGCTTTACACTGTCTTTTAAACATTCCTAATGCCGGGGTAGTATTCATACCTTACCCTAACGATTGAATAGGCAATGTAAGATTATTTGTATAACACGGTTCATTCACAAGGCAACTCCAAAGGCAAACAAAATTTAAACAAACACACAGTGGATTTAATTTGAGCCCACCCAAGTGCAATCTACTCTCATTATAATCACTGTTCTGTGAGGGCCTCGGAGCTATGGTCGGAGTGTATTGGTCAGTAAACGGCATCATGAAAGCCAAGGAGCACACCAGAGAGGTCAGGGGTGAAGTTCTGGTAAGGGTAAGGGTTTCCCCCCCCCACAGTTGTCCGTTATGTGTGCGGTTGTAACTTACCACAATGTGCAGAAGTTGAAGCTGCTTAAATACTTCTGCAGGGAATTGCATAAACTGTAATCTATCTATTGAGTTCCTCACTCTCAAAACTGGTTCTATCACTAGTCACATGCATGAATGGTTGGCCTCTGTCACACTTTTAGATCTGCTTTTCCAGACACAAAAGTGGAAAAGAGAGGAGTCTGATTTACCAACAAACATGTAGTTTTATAATTCCTTCTGTTGGGACATTCGGGCAGACAAAATCTATTATTCACACTGCAAAAGTGATGAAATAGAAGTCAAAATGTATCTTAATTTGAGAACATTTAACTGCCTTAAAACAAGATTTGCCAATGCGGTCAAGCAAAAATGATCTTGTTTTAAAAAGATACAAGAAATGTCTCCCTTGGAATGAGAAAATAAAGCAACAGTTATTTAAATAAGACTAAATGCCTTTGTCCCATTAGCAAATCTTTTAAGACTGTCAGAACGTACTCAAATTAAGATGAAGAAAAACAAAAACTTGAATCAAGCAATTATGACCTTGCTCTTTATCATTTTTTGCAGTGTATGGACTGAAAAAAGTGATGAACCCCAACTTTAAAAAGGGACCTCTTTCTGGAGGTTTTAACCAGACTTCATACGTTTTATCTCTGACATTACAACAAAATAAAATCCTTTACCACTAAAATTACAGAGAATTGTTTATTTAGAGTATTTAATACAAACATGTGTAGTTAAACATCAAGAAAGACGTTTATTGGCACACAACTGGGTAAATGCCACAGTTCCTTGTAGTAGAGTAGTACGTTCTGGCGACACCTACTGGACATCCCTCATAGATCCTTCATTGTGCTTAAACTGCTGTTTCTTGAGAAATATTGCATGGTGCACTTCCATACGGATGTCAAGTGCGCATCATCTACATCACATGGAAGTCAAGTGTATTACGACCGCCAGCAAAAGTACCAGTACAGTTGTCAATGCGTGGATTTTCGGCACAAGCACTGTGTAAAGTCAGTTTGATAGTAACAAAAATCAGTGCAATTCCCACAAAGTATTAATAATGCCTCCAATACATTCCCTATGCAAAGCAAATTACTTTCTTTTGATTTTAGAAGTCAAACGTATACAATTAGCTATACAGAAATATCCCTTTGCATTTAGCTGTTGGCAATGTTCACTTTTAAAAATAAACAATAAAGTCCCATATGAAGCAAACCATAAAAAGAAACAATAGAAATCTCCACCTCACGTCTTACTGTGGGTCGTACAAAAGGTTTTTGAGGAGATTTCTGAGGAGAAGTTTGAGGCGAAACAGTGGCACAGATGAACCTTCTCTCTTTACAGGGACTGGTATCCGTTGTTCCTCTTTCGCCGAGCCAGAAGATAAGCGATGACCACGACCACGACCAGCACCAGGAGCGTGATGCCCACTGCGATAGCCACGCGGTAGTTGCTCTGATCCGCTGAGCAGTAGTCGGCTACAAAATGTACAAAACGGTGTCAATCTCCTTATTATTTGTAACTTTCTTTTGCAACTTTCAATGTGGTTTTTTGTGGTTTGCAAGTGACCAATGCTTAAATCTAGAAAACTTGAAGAGTTGAGTTGTTTTCCTCACTGCACACTCAACTAATAATAAGTAATAATCAGGGCAGCTTCAGTGACAGACTGATTCAACCTCGCTGTGTGTGTGTAGGTTCTGCAGGTATTTCCCTCCTGCTACTGTCAGACTGTACAATGACACCCTGTACATGTCATTCATCAATATTGCAATCATGTTCAGTCCTACAAGGGATGTGATGTGCTTTTAACCCCTTCATGTTTCCTTTTGATATTTTATGCACTTCTGATGCTTTTTATTTGCGGTATTTCATTTTAATCTATAGCACTTTGAGGTTAAAAGAATATTAGAAGTTAGAAGTAGTTATTGAATATACATTTTCATTATTCATGTGAAACCGATACCTTTTTCTGTTCAAATTTAGATTTCACTTCTTCATAGCAGGATGTCATGTGATGTCACATGTCACTCCTACCACGTCAGTCAAAACCCAGTTGGGCAACATGCTTTCATTCATAATTATTTACATGCACCAACTGAATTCACCTAATGTGATAAATGATAAAAGAGCAGACCGAGTCACCCAGGATGTGAGAAGGCCAGGTTCTGCAGGTCACCAACTGAACTCACCTGGGCCAAATTTGTTGGTTTTGGGGAAATTGAAAGCCTGATTCCGATCGTGACTCAGGTCCAGGTAGAATCCTTGTCCCACGGAAATTGACTCTTTACTGCACGAGTGAGAGTGTCCGAATTTGGTCTCAAACATCTTAAGGGAATCGTTCGCCACATTGTAGGTCACAGCGTCATTGCCTGCAGAAGAACCAGATCAAGTCATTAAACTAAACTCACTCGGTTATGGAGACAAACGAGTTCTACAGCATTGCATTTAGGCCGGCCTCATTTACTGGCATCACATGCTATGCTTACAGTCACACATAGATGACAAACAAGGAAACGGTCATGTCTATTAGATTCATATGACAAACAACACTCACTTTTTTTGTTAAAATCATAAGTCAGAGTGAAATTCACTTTTTTCACCATCGTTTTGTTGGAGGTGGCGTTCTGAGGGGGAAAACACAAGAATCAATGGGTATAGTAAATGCTTCAGTGGACGCACAAGAAGCTTACCTTTGAGAAGACGAATGTGATGTTTAATTCCTTAGAAATAAGGACTAGAGTAGCGTTGTTATCATAACAATTCCCTGCTGTGCTAGTCTTGTTGGGGAGCAGGAGGAACGTTCCATTGGCCTGCGAGAGAGAGAGAAAAGACAACTTAATCTTCATATTCAACCACATTGACGCAGTTTAAATGCCAGAATCAAACAGTCTCTCATCACACGTCACTACGGAACAGTAATAATCAAAATATATACGTTAATACACATGCGAGTGTCTATATCAGGGGTATCGAACCAGTCCTTAAAGAGTCGGTGAGGCTGCAGGGTTTCATCCCAACCAAGCAGGAGCACACCAGACTCCACCCATGTCCTCAGGTTTTCGGGTTAAGACTGAACTCCAGAAATGAAATGGGTCTTTGAGGACAAGTTTAAAAATCGCCCACGCTATGACGACCAGGAAAAGCTTCTGTATCTCTGTTTGTGGCCCTAAAATATGGAACAATATGCCGGAAGACCTCAAACTATTTCCAAATATAAAAACAGTTCAAGTATCGATTTAAAGAAACAATGTTCTCCAAGTATGTAACCAAAGAAAATAGATGAGTCGCCATGTTTGTGTTTAAACCAGATTCATTGCGTATTGTAACTTGTTTTTACAGCTAAAATAATTATCAAGAGGAAGTCTATTATGTTACGGAATTGAAGTACAGAAGAAAAGGGGTGGGATTATATAAGTGTTTACTTCCCCCCACTCCTTTTCAGACTGACTTAATTGCCTCATTCTAGGCTGATGAGAGCATACAGTAATTTTTTTTTTTTTTTTTTTATGTACTTCATTTCTCTTCAAATAAAAAATAAAAATAACCCTCAAGTCTCCGTGTGTGTTGCCATGGCATGTTATACCTTATTTTAAAGCTTATACAAGAAACGACCAAATCATGCTTTTCACTTCAGCTGCAAATTCTAATCTTCTCCTTGCCATCTACAAAATGATCTCATTTCAACGACATCCACAAATCTCTCAAAATAACCTGAACTGCTACAACAATTTGAATGGTACATATATCGTTATGAACAATTTATCAAAAATCACAGTATCACCATACTGTCACCGTATCGTATCGTGAACCATGTATCGCATAATGTGAAGGGCACAGAGATTCCCTGTCCTAGATACAACGATAAAGTGAATGGAACATAAACAAGTGCTGTGCCAATGATGGGGGTCACTTGCCTTGAGAGAAACCAGTCGGATCTTCAGCTCCATCTGGACCATGAGGCAACGCTGCGTTCCGTTGTTCAGGGTGTAGTTCCCCACGGTGCTGTTGGACTTGGTTGGCGGCTGGGTGGGGGTAGGTGGCATGGTGGTGGTGGTGGGAGTGGTGGTGGTAGTGGTAGTGGTGGTAGTGGTGGTGGTGGTGGGGGTGGTAGTGGGGGGGTGTGGGGGGGTGGTGGTGGTGGGTGGGTGGGAGTGGTGGAGTGGTGGTGGTGTTAGTGGTGGGAGTGGTGGTGGTGTTAGTGGTAGTGGGGGGTGGTGGTCTTGGGGGTGGTGGTGGTCTTGGGGGTGGTGGTGGTGGGGGTGGTCTTGGGGGTGGTCTTGGGGGTGGTAGTGGTGTTGGTGGTGGTGGTCTTGGGGGTGGTGGTGTTGGGAGTTGTGGTGTTGGGGGTGGGGGTGGGGGTGGTGTTCACAGCTGGGACCCCGGTAACAGAAGATTTCGTGGCCGCCAAAGCCAAGGCTGAAATAAAACCAAACTTAACATTACTGTGGAAAACAAAGAGGAATATGTCTAAGCAACTCCAAATAAAAGTACAATTATTATTATTATCATCATCAGTATAATAAATAATAATATTAATAAAAATAATACATTTTTGAGTGCCTCAGACCTTTTCATCTGTTTTCCACATCTGAGCACCTGACCCCTTACATTTTCCCTCAATGTTTTGATTCTTGTATGTACTCATGCCTTTTTTAATTTTACTGATATTACATTTAATTATGACATACAAAATTCCCTAACTACATACTATTTCAACAACCCTTTAAAATATATACATGCAAATAAATATCAAAATCAAATCCGAAAACAAACGGTATTAGTAAGTGCACATATATCCCCTTACGCTGACAATTAGGTTTTACCCGTAACGCGCAATTTTTGTCCATAGAAAAGAAAGCTTTATATAAAATCACTTTCTGTCTCATGTCCAGATGCAAATTAGGTCTAATTTAAGAGATCATTAAAGCCATCACTTTTACGGGCACACAGACAGACATTCCTTGCTTTTATAGATAGATATCACTTGTGTTAATCTCAGCTAGGACCAAGGAGTGCAGGCTGAATAAATATGAATAAGCACAATTAAGCAAAAATATATGCATTCATAATTTTAAGTAATTAGTCATTAAAGTAACATAATTTCGTCTGCGGTCAGAGAGAGACACAGTGGGAGAGAACCAGAGTTACATATAGGTAAGCCAGCTTTGGATGCTGTTATCGTGACATGTGGGAGAACCAGGCTAACCTGCCTCTCAAACACATGACTTCCGTGTTGTTTTAGAGCACGTCACAATGCAGAATAGGCCTCGAGATAAGACCTTAATATTTTGTTTTATGGCAAAGGGCCTTTTCCGTGCTCAAAGATCCACAGACAAAAACTAGCTAAACACTGGCAAACACTATTAGGAACTTCTGTTGACTTAACCTCTTTATCTATCACAGTTTTTGTGACAGTAAATAACCTGTTGACTTGAAGCCACCAAAATAAAAGTCGAACAAGATGGCTGGTGAAAACTTTTTTTTTTTTTCACAGTAGTAGTAGTTTTAATATTAATGGCCTGATCATAAGAAATTACAATAAATTAGTAAATAAGTTGGGAACAAAGACACAATCAATAGGTGGTATCTATAATGTTTGGATAGAAGAGATTTGGAAAACACTTGTATCTCATTATCTCTGGCTTGTTTTACTTACAATATTGTTTTTATTTTACGATCATCTATGCATGTATAATTGGTGTTTTGTATTGATTTGAATGGTTGTTATTGTACCTTTATGTTTTATCTATTACTTCCTTGTAAACACATAAATCAGACTTATAAAGCAGACTTGTCTATTTTAATTGGTTACGTTTGTCTCTGTACAGCAATTTTGTTTTAGAAAATGTGCTATATGATTAAATTGGACTGGATTGGAGATCAAGTCCGGAAAAGGAGACTCCAGGAAGTAATTTTCATAATACATGGATCTGAGATAAGCCCAGTATTGAGTCGTCGAGACCAACCGACTAATCTACAGTCACATCACATACTTATAAGTGTTTATTGTGTACGTGATGAATATGTTAATCTTAATAATTAGATCACTACAGTACAAAATCATGTATATTAATATTTCCTCAAACGCATTTAAAACAAAATTATATATAGGCCACAGAACTGATTGGAATGTTGTTGTGGATTCAAAGCTGTTTCTTACCGAATAACGCCAGGGCGAGTACTTCAGTGTTTTTCATGTCTGCGCAGGTGTCAAAGGGCTCTCAGGGGACCAGAACTCTGCGGTGCACCGGGGGAGACAGCTGCTTCTAGGTCTAAAGCACATGTGTCTCTGTCCTCAGCTATAAAGCCTCAGGTACGGCAAGGGCCACGCACACAGGGAAGCCACGCACGCTGGTTTTTCAAAATAAAAGTATCCACAAGGAGTAGTTAAGGTATGAATTTCAAATGTATGTTTTTTTTTTTTATTGGGCTTGGTGTAAAACAAGAAAGAAACAGAAGTGGAATTGGAAAAAAGACTGTTATTCTTATTGGGCTTCAACCTCCATTAAACACGTATTACACAGATACGCGCACACATACATACACAGACAGACGCAGGCACGGACGCAGACAGACAGACATACAGACGCAGGCCCGTCCTAAGGGCTGTGCGACCTGTGCCGTCGCACAGGGCCTCGCACCACACAGGGGCCTCGCAATCTTCCTTCCTTTTATTTTATTTTATAAATACACTAGTTCAAGGGTCCCCAAAGGGCAGACTGCACTCCAAATTTGGAACCCTAAACCCCTTTCTCTGGACCTCTTTGATTTCGTTTGATCAAAAGAACATTTTTACAAGTAAAGTCAAATTTTCACCAAAAGCGATTTGTAAACAGGCAGGCGCGCGGGCAGCTATGTATGCAACGGGTCCTCCGAAAAAACTGTCAGATAACTTTAGCAGTGTCTGAGTGAGATACAAAGAAAGTAACGGGAATGATCGCAGTGTAGGAGAGATGGATACTCGCGGAGGAGGAGCAGTGAGACAAGTGTGAGCAGAGGAGCAGACCCCTTTGTGTGAGCAGAGGAGGAGGAGGAGGATCAGCGGTGTGACAGGTGTGTGAGCGCTGCTATTGCCAATGTTTAGTCCGAATATCCACATCAAAAACATATTTTTAAAAGCATTAGCAAACACACTGTATGTCTAGCTTTAGCTAGCTGGAGTGTTTTTGTTGTGGTCAGAGTGTGTGGAGGAGGAGGTGAAGAGTATTTTGTTGTTGTCAGTGTGGAGGAGGAGGAGTGTATGTTGTCAGAGTGTGTGGAGGCATGGCAAAAACGTTATTTGATGAGAAAATAATAATATTGACTCCGCCTCATAGCCATTTTGGCGCATTTTGCCCAAATCTAACTATTAGAAGAAAAAGACTCCTTTTGGTTCAATCTTTTGAGTTGCTCTGCCATTTTGCCACAGGACGAAAGAGACATGTCAGCTAAAAAGACCGCGACCAATATTGCACGTAGAGTGTGTGTGCGTGTGTACGTGCGCGCGCCAAACGCTGCATAGGAGCGAAGACACTCGGTTACACGCGTGCTGATCTCGTCAAGCACCGCGCGAGGTGGTGCTGAATTCATGTCAAAGATTATAACAGGAAAAACTTTCCTCAGATCTGGGAAAAAAGTGTCAGGGCAGGGCCTCGCGTTTCGAGTTCGCACAGGGCCTCGCACCCCCCTTGGGACGGGCCTGTACACACGCACACGCAAACACACACACACACACACAGAAAAAAACAGACATAGACACACACAGAGAGAGAGGCAGACAGACAGATGCACACACACACACACACATTGGAAATCATTATGGCTTTTTTTTGTAACATGATTTAAAGGATTTAAAGGAGATTTATTATAGTTTCTTCAAACCTCAACACAATCATTGAAATATGACAGTATGAATGAACGATACAATAAGAGCAGAGCCTTGGTGGCTTGATCTTTTCATGATTGCAACAAGTCCTCAGGTAGCAACACAATGCAATCAAAGACAAAACACAACAAAGCTATGTGAGCCAATCCAAACATCACTTGTTTATGATTCTCAACTTCAAGTCATTTGTCACCTGCATAGATAGAAAGATAGTAAAACTGTGCATTAAAAAAATGAAAAAACAGATTAGAAACAGGAAACGATAGTGTAGTAATAAAGTGGACTTGACTGTGACTCTGAAAGCAAGAAACGAAACCAAAATGTGCCTTATTTCCCAGTGCCATGTCAGTGTCCAAGAGCAAGAGCAGAAAAGAGTATAAAAAGAAGTTGGGTTGTTCTGATAAATGTTGCACTATGCCCAAGACGTTTCAGGGGCCGCCAACTAATTGTTCAAAAGATAAGATAAAAAAATAAGCTACTAACTTTTATTGGTCTTACAGCTGTTGTTGTTGTTAATACCAAAGATTGAAATAGGACAACCACTTTTACTGAGTATTTCATATGCTATTTTAGTTTTACCTTTGGAATATTCACGCAACTGCAATTCATGTAAACAGAAACTTGGATTCAACCTGTTAAAGACAAAGCACAAAGCCAAACTATGGTCAACACTGCCATCTAGTGATGAAACTATGGAACTGCGTGAGAAATGACGATAAAAAGGAGGTTGTTGTTTATATTCAATTTGGATCCTGAATCGTTTGATAAATACATGTTTGATGTGTTGAACTTGGTCTTGTATCTTGTACCTATGTTATAAAATGTGAATCGAACGTTACGATTAAAGGGGACATAACATACTAACTTGAATTTAAAAAAAATCTAAAAAATTATGAAAAGGAAATTTGTGGATATAAAAACTAGCGTGCAAGAAATCCCAGAAATGTCAGACCAAGGGTCTGACATTTCAGACCCTTGCAAGACGTAATGGGCAAATCATCTATACTTAAAATATGTAGAAACCAGATTTGTTCATTTGAATGTCTTGTTCTCCCTGTGTCTGTGCTAGTTTTTTAGGTAGTAATCAGTAATCTTTATTTATATACCGCCTTTTCACTGCAGATCTGAGTCTCAAAGCGGTTTACAATTGTTAATTTTTGGGCATTTGTCTCTCACTCCACACAGAGATGGGAGCGGGGTCGCCAGTACAGGAGGCACATGCTAGAACTATTGGACATATTTTTAGTGGTAGGGGAAACCGGAGTACCCGGAGGAAACCTACGCAGACACGGGGAGAACATGCAAACTCCACTCAGAAAGGCCCTGGTCCGACCGGGATTCGAACCCAGGACCTTCTTGCTGAGAGGCGAGAGTGCTATCCACTCAGCCACCGTACCGCCCTAGGTGCTTCGATTTCCGCGCAAAACGAAATGTACAATAGGGTTTCTATCTTGTCAAATAAATTCCTGGTTATTCAAAAGGTAAGATAAATATGATAATAATAATAACAATGCATTGGTTTTATACAGCACTTTTCTGGACACTCAAAAGACACTTAAAAAGTCTCTTAAACTACTAAAGATAGCCACAGCTGCCCTGGGCTACACTGACAGAAGCGAGGCAACCAGTATGTGCCATTGGCCCCTCCGACCGCCACCAACCATTCACTCACACACCAGACTCATTCTAGACAATGACAGTTTGGCACTTTACAGCTGCAGCCGCCCCACTGTGGCACCCAGTGTTCCCAGAGGTCTCCCATCACTGAAAATCCTGGTTACACACTGAGGTACATTCATAAACCATAAAAATGCTCTGGTGCTGATCCTAAGGTGAATCCTCGAACCCAGTGGTGGACTCCGAAAGTAAAGCATGTAGTCAGGCTGAAGAAGGAGTCCTAGGGGTGTGGTTGATCGTAGGGCTGGGAGAAGTTCGGAGAGGCCATGGAGCAGGACAAGAGATTCTGGTAATACATCCTAGGCCTCAGGAGAACATAAATCCTTTTCAACTCAACTGCCACTTTCATATAAGTCCATGCACAAATCAGACACAGCTTAATCAATGAGGGAGCTAAATGTAAGGACCAAAATCACTGTCTTTAAACCAGGCCAAAAAAGTGTCATTTTAAGAGGTCCTCCACCTTGCTAACTCAAAGTAGCCAACTTCAGCCCCATCAACATAGTCATTCTATACCTTGTTGTAAAGCTCATTCCCTATTATTTTTAAATTATGACATACGTTATTCATTGTGTTACAAAATCTCATATCTGGCACTATAATGCAGCTTTGGTAGGAATCAGGTTGGATATTATACACCACGTTAATGCCCAGGGGCTGTTTCTACTGAATCCAAAGTGGATCCAGTAGAAATAGACAGGTCAGATAATTGATACTGGTTGCCCCTGGACATGTCTGGCCCTCTTATTGTCTTATTTAAGCATTTCCCTAAAAGTATTGTCCATACCCCAAATACAAAGAATATTATATAAGAAATGATATTATTATTACTATTATTCATATTATTATTATCATACACTCTACTGAGTATATTGAACTAATAATATGGAACCATAAACAATACCATCAAGTTTAAAATGAGGATTAAGAGATCTTTTATTCGTCTTCAGAGGGGAAATTACAGTGTTGCATCACTGCAGTACAGAACAGAAGGAATGAGGAGCACACAGCACAAGTGGACCATAACTATCCTAAAATAAAATCTCTAACTAAAGCAATACAAAAAAGCAAGAATCACGTAAACAATCTCTAATTTTACCATAATAAATAAGCAAGAAGCAAGTAAACAATCTCCACCTATAGCATAACAAAGAAGAAAACATAAAATCTCAATTTACACAAACACATATTGTATAAGCTGTGTGTTGTAAATATATTGTCTTATCAGTATCTTTGAGCAATGACAAGTTTAAAAATCTATGTCTTTATAAATATGAATTAGTGATCGTTGTTGATGTTTTCCCGGGAAAAGTCTCCAGAGCTCCTCCCCCTGTCTTCCCTCCTCCAATCACAGACTTGTACCCTCTTCACGCCCCGCCCATGCGCGCTCCTCTAATGACGACACAGCGGCGGAAACTGTGCGATTCCATAAAAGGAAAATACTCACGCATGCGCAGGAGGCCGAGTTTTGTTTGAAGTGAACTGCCCCACAAGCTGTAAAGTCGCCAAGCGTTTCATTCTGCAGCTTTATTCCTCACTTTTTGTACCTTTCGTGTTGAGTCCATCTATGCCTCGTCGGAGCCATGTTAGGCCACCAATTTCAAAACGCCGACAAGTCGCAACAACTGGTCAACTATGTGGAGGATTATCTGGAATGTGTGGAGTCCCTGCCTTTGGACATACAAAGAAATGTTTCACTGCTTCGTGAGATTGATGCCAAATACCAAGGTAAGGTTGTGTGTCCTTTCTCCTGTCCACAGCTGGGTGCTCAGGGCTGCGCGGTCGTCTCTGACTGGGTGTGTTTACAGTGGCCACCGCCAGATCACTTGTCTTCGTCTTTCTCAAGCTTGTCTCGTTTGTGTTTTTGTGAGAGATATACGTGTTTGATTGTGTGTCCAGATCCCAAATAAGCAGATAATGTTTACGTCTTGTGTGAATGCTTCTCTCCTCGCTCCTCACGCCACCCTGGACTTTCCTTTTGTTGGTTATTTCTGTTTCCTTCGTGCCAAAATGGAGTTACACACATTCAAATACACAAAAATCATAATTCGACAATATGACACACGCGTTTTACTTACTACCCAGTGCATACGGACGATTTGCAAGGCTCGCAATGCAACCCGATCTACTAAAAGGCTGCCGTAACTTCTCTAAGCTTGAGTGAACTGTATTGTAAACCTGTATTGTTGACCTGCGGTGTAATGCTGCTTATGTGAAACTATGGCTCAGTCTCTAATGCAAGCTTTAAACGTTGGGAATGGCTTGTGTCGTGTTCTGTTCGACGTTTTCTGACGAGGCTTATGCATGTGGCCGAGAGTGATGCCTCTTTGGTAGGATTGCAAACGCGTACGATTTGCACAAAGAAACTATTTAAAGGATAATCTATGCAATTCTGATGTTAAACTGCAGTGTCAAGCAAAAAGGCGACAACAAAACCCCAGCCACTAACGCTGAGGCTTGTTACGACCGTCTGAATTTCTCTCAGCGACCGTCAACACGGCCTTTCGCTTGCTGTGACCTTCGACAATGGTCTAATAACATCAATTTACGACATTTCACCGGAAAAACGCCGTGTTATCGGTGTGAATGCCCCACCGCTGGCGAAGCGCAGAGCACCGACCAGTCTCTCTGCGAGGGACCCCCTCAGACTGGCACCCCCAACCACCGCGGGTCTACGTCACTTCCTGCACTCGCTCTCTCTCTCTTCAAAAACAATGGGGGAAGACAAAACATAAAAGAAAAGGAATAGAAACGTCTTCAGAATGCTTTAAAATATTGTCACACATACAATCTTTGTTAAAAATAATTAAATAAATTAGCTGCGTTTCCATCAGTCCTACTTGGCCCTTCCCTACCTGTCCCTACCAGGTTGTGTCCATCACGGCTTTTTGTCAGGTACCGTATCCTAGCAACCCATAACAAACCAGTATCCGTGGAATACCATTTGGGGCTTTTATCTCTCATTTTAAACCCCATACTTTTACATTAACGTTTTAATATGAAATTACTGTATATTTAATTGACTTCAGGCATTTTCGATTTTGTGTTTAAATTGCTATTTTGAAGCACTTTGAATTTCCCTGTACATGAATTGTTCTATACAAATAAATGATTTGAAATTCATTGGTTACCATGGCCTCCAGTAGCAAATCGGCCAATCACAAGCAGTTTATAACACTTTAGGACCAGGACATAGCAGGGCCAGTGGAAACTCTCTCAATCGGGGCAGATTAGATAAGGGCTGGTTGAAATGTGGCTTTAGATCACTCTTTAGGAAAAAGTAAAACAAGTATTGAATAGGGCTGAAACAACTAATCGATGACTAATCGATTATTGAAATAGTCGACAACTATTTTAGCAATCGATTAATCGTTTTCTGGTTCACACGGACTCAAACAGAGCAAAAATGACATGAAAATGTAGTATTTTTGATTAAAACCGACTTTGTTTTTATAATTTCATGAATGTCTGTCTGTCTCATCCAATCAGATAGCAGAATTAGCACAAAGAGCCTGTTACAAACATTTACTTTAAGTTTACGCCATCAATACGTCCTCGAGTGTTGCCACTTTAGCTTTTTGTGATGAAAAAATATTTTTTTTCTACACAATTCACAGCCAAGCGATTACTCGATTAATCGTAAAAATAATCGATAGATTAATCGATTACAAAATAATCGTTAGTTGCAGCTCTAGTATTGAATTAAGCTAAAGTTTAGAGATTTTATTTTGGCATAGAGGTATTCTTCACTTATCTTGTGTTGTGTGCTCCTTATTCCTACTATTCTATAACTGGTGATGCAACACTGAAATGTCCTCACTGTGCGACAGCTGAAAGTACTTAATCCTAAAGTTCTGTATTGTGTTGCAGACGTGCTGAAACAGGTGGATGAAGTGTTTGAGAAGTACAAAGGGGAGCAGGATGCAGCACAAAGGAAACGTTTGCAGATCCAACTCCAACACGCCCTCATCCTCAGCCAGGAGCTGGGCGACGAGAAGATCCACGTGGTGACCCAGATGACAGAGCTGGTGGAGAACCGCTCCCGCCAGATGGACTCCCACTCCCTCTGTCTGCAGGATCCTGGCACCAACGAAGCCGAGAGGGTCCCTGTGGAGAGGCGATCGAGTGTCCAAGAGGCCCCAGCTCCAGAACGCAGCTCGGCACGTCGCCCTCGAAGACAGAGAAACAGCGAGAGCCGAGACTCCAGCCACCCCTCGGCTAACGGCTCTCTGGTGGATGACCCGCTGGAGGAGCTGCCCATCCCGCCCCAGAGAGAGAAGAAACCAAAGTCCGCCAAAAAGAAGAAGCGAAAGGCGAAACAGGAACGTGAATCTTCCCCGGTGGACTTTGCCATAGACCCCAACGAGCCCACCTACTGTCTGTGCGAGCAAGTGTCCTACGGGGAAATGATCGGCTGCGATAACGACCAGTGTCCAATCGAATGGTTTCACTTCACGTGTGTGGGACTAACGTACAAGCCCAAGGGCAAGTGGTACTGCCCCAAATGCAGAGGGGACAATGAAAAGACCATGGACAAAAGCTTAGACAAAAACAGAAAAGATCGCCGCTCCAGGTAGTCGCTCCGGTTGGGAACATTCAGAAAGAATTGTTGCTAGAGCACAATCCAGCTCCATAACTAGCGGCGCTTAACCACCAACATCAACTACTACTACTCTGGGAACTCTTTTCACCTGCAGGGCTCACTCAGGGCCTGTCCGCACAAGAAAACCGAACCATTACCAAGCTGTTTGTATAGAAATGAATGGACAAAGAATGATGCCTGAATGTTTGTCATGTCTGATTTATAATAATAATAAACAGAATTCCTCATTTACTTCACAAAGCACAGATACTTGTTCTTTATTACAGACCTCAGAAAATCTGTCATTTACAAAGTGCTGTTTGTTGTCTCCATAATAGACCAGGGGTGTCAAACTCATTTTTGTCGGCGGCCAAATTTAAAAATGTAAGAGCTGGTTGGGGCCAGAAGTATATTAATGGTTTTCTTTTATTATCATTATTTCGTTTGACATTTTTGTATTTTGACATTCATTTTATTGGATATTGTTTTCTGGTCTGTTTGGATTCATACACAATTGGACCAAATATCAAGAAGAGATCTAATTAAAGACTGTTAACTATAAAAAATATCTTTGGCCTAACCATTTCAAACCTGTATTCGTGTAAAATTAAATTGTTTTTCTGCAGGTTTGAAATAAATCTAACTATCTTAACTTCTAATTGGTTAAATTATGTGGTTGTTTTCCTGAAAAAGTATATCATGCCATAGTTAGTAGTCATTACCATCACTACTGCAAGTTACTGTAATATGTGAAAATCATTTCAGGGGCCACTAAATGGTCTTGCGGGCCGAATTTGGCTCACGGGCCTGAGTTTGACATGCCTGATATAGACAATAGCTCTAACACATACATTGTTTACTATGAATATATATTTAATTCTGTTGATTGACACTGGAATAGGACGTCATGTCTATGGACTTCTGATTTGTACGTGTTTTTGTTAATAAAAGTCTAACGAATTTATAGTCTGAATACTCTAAGCCTCGTCCTCGCTGCTGCTGGACTCGTCAAACAGGTCTTCCGCTCGACTTCCCCACTGGAGGCCGCCGCCGCTGCTGCTGCTGTTGTTCCCAGAGGTATAAGTGACTGTGACCAGGGCCGGAGAGTGGCTCAGACCCACCAGGAGCCGCACACGGCCCCCATCCAGAGGCCTCAAACAGCTGACGGTGGAGTCTACAGAGAGAGTGGAGAGGAACTGGGACTCCTCCACATCCCACAGGCTCAGGTGGCCTACAGGGAGGACACACACTAAATATTACTGTTGCACAAAGAAGAAAAATATAACATGTGCCAGATGTTAGCAACAGTCGCTAGTTTTTATTTAGCTTTAACTTGTTTGTACCGAGAGCCAAAGCAATTTTCTAGTTTGTGACTTCCTGTTACTCACATGGCAATAAAAAGGTTTCTGATTCTGAATCCATGCTAGTCATTGGATGGGTTGATATAATTACTGGTTGAGAATCAGTTTTCAGCCTTTAAAATACACTCAAGACATATTCACATTCTCAAGATTCAAGAATTTATGTGCAATTTGCAGTAAAACCACATTGGAGAAACTGTGCAAGACTACCCCAGTGTGCCCCACTGTCTCTATCGCTGTCTCTACCTGTTCGTCTCTGTCTCTGGTTTTGAATCTGGCAACATGGCAGGTCCTCTGTATTCTAACACATTTATACTGTCGGACCCCTGCATTTCCCTCTCGAGGGATCAGTAAAGTATTCATCCATCTCTAAAAGTTAATCTGACAGATAAGTGACAAGAGAAGAATATTTAAATGCTTACAATTTGCTTTTTACCAAGTTGTTTTTGTTGAAAGCCATATCTATTTTAGTGCCATACACATAAAATGCCCCCCTTTTCTATAAAATGTTTTGCTGATAACAAAACATAAAAAGTACATGTTTTTTCAAATTTTCATCATTTAGAGGCGCCCTTTCCACAAATACTAATGTTCATTTAGACATCTCATTTCATTTATGACCTACTACTTGAATAATCCTTTAATAAAAACAGTTATTTGTCCTGATATTACCTGACAGTAACAAGGCTTTCGTTCCACCTTCAGTTAAATAGAGAGAACTAAAGGCTTGTATCCTCAGACTCTCATCGCCGCACACGCTTTTCACACTTTTCCTCAAAGGCTCCCACACCTTAAGCCTATGGGAGGAAGAAAAAATAAGGAAAAAAAAATATGATGAAATAAAATAAAATAAGATATAATAAAAAGAAATAATACATACAATAAATGAATAAATAAATAAAATAATACATTTTAATAAAAAAATAAATTTAAAGTAAAATATAATAAAAGAAAATATGACTAAAATGAAAAAATACAGAAAATAAATAAAATAAAATAAAATAAATGAAGGTAAAATAAGATAAAATAATATAAAATATGTATACAATTAAATAATAAATAAATATAAATACAGTAAAATATACAGACTCACCGGTTACTTCCTGTTATCCCGAATACAACCCGTCTGCCATCATCTGTCAGCGCCACAGAACTAACCTCAGGTTCTTGCTCTAGGTCTTGTTCCACCTACAGTCATTGAGGCACAGCTGATTTCCAGGTTTCTCCAAACACTCAAAAACGTCCACAGACTGGTCACGTACTTTACCAGTTTGAAGGTCCCACAGTGTGAGACCAGGGGAGCGAGTTTCCTGGTTGTAGTGGGTCAGGACCAGGTGGCTCCCGCTGTGTGTGATCGCTGCTGTGCTGAGGGTAAGTAAGCAGCTTCTGTCCTCCAAAGTGTGGAGAGGATTCTGGGATGCCAGGTTGAAGACTTTGAGTTGATGAGAGAAATAGGAGCAAACCACCACCTGTAAAACACACAGGAAATGACAGAACAAGCTACGTTTAAAGATAAGATAAGAATTCCTTTATTCGTCCCACAGTGGGCAAATTTCAATGTTGCAGCACACAGACAGGACAGTAGTAAAAGCACACAAAAATATACAAAATAAGTAGTAGCTATGTTTCTTAACTAGCTGTAAATGATGCAAATGCTTCAATACCAGTCTTTCAACAACAACAAAAAATAAAAATAATATATATATGTAGTGTGGAGTTTTATACTGTAGGGCAGAATAAGTAGATCAAGTAAAGTGACATTGTTCAGTGGTCATTCTGAAGTTGCAGTATTGCACATGATTTTAGTATTTACTTAGTTACAGATGAATGACATTAACAGGCTCAGTCTAACACCTCATTGTACAGTCTAACAGCAGCAGAAGTTAAAGTTAAAGTTGAGGTACAGAACCTACCACAAATTAATTCACTATGTATCACAATTCAATTTGGAGAGACGAGAAACAAGAAGTTTTTGAGTATTTTATTGGGAGGAGGTTTGGCGCCCTAGGCCCCGGTGCGGCCTTCAGAGCGGAGGGCCTCCTGCGATGGAGCGTGCCAATCCCCCGGGACCTAGGCACTGGTGGCGGCATTTGGCAGCGGGAAGCAGATTGAAGGCAGGGTGAAGAGGAGGAGGAGGGGAGGCGGTGGTTGCAGGCTTCGAGAAGGCCGAGAGTGGGAGTTTCTCCGCTTTTAAGCAGCTTGCCTGGCCGGTCCGGTGATTGGAAGGGGGCGTTTGCCGTGCGATAGGCTGGGGATGAGAACCGGCCTGGAGGGGTTACCTTTGGCTGACGTCTACCAAATTGAATTTCCGCTGGCTGCATTTCAATTTGGAGAGACGAGAAACAAGAAGTTTTTGAGTATTTTATTGGGAGGAGGTTTGGCGCCCTAGGCCCCGGTGCGGCCTTCAGAGCGGAGGGGCTCTGCGATGGAGCGTGCCAATCCCCAAAAAGGCTGTGTGTTGATGGAGTTTTTGCAGCCTGGTTTGGAGGGGACAGAACGTCGAGACTACTCTATGCTGTGACCGCTATCGCTATATGCTGTGACCGCTATCGCTATATGCTGTGACCGCTATCGCTATATGCTGTGACCGCTATCGCTATATGCTGTGACCGCTATCGCTATATGCTGTGACCGCTATTGCTATATACTGTGACCGCTATCGCTATATACTGTGACCGCTATCGCTATATACTGTGACCGCTATCGCTATATACTGTGACCGCTATCGCTATATACTGTGACCGCTATCGCTATATACTGTGACCGCTATCGCTATATACTGTGACCGCTATCACTATATACTGTGACCGCTATTTGCTGTGACCATTACTTGCGGATACTCAGCTGCAGCCGCCACCAGGAGTTTAGCGAGTGTTTTATGGAGATGCCAAAAGCCGCTGGGCTGCCAGAATGGTCGAGGTGTCAGGCCTGATGTATGAGGAGAGGGCCGATGATGACCAGCGGCCCAGCTGCTGGAGGGCGGAATGGGGGAGCCCCAGTGACGCGGCGCGCGTGGCGGCGCCTATCCGGAAGGAGTGGGCTGTGTAGAGATGGGGAGACAGTTTACAAAGCAGCAGTACGGACTTTAGTTGGGCTCTGAACCAGTTGGGGGACATAGGGAGGTTATCAGGGGTAAGAGATCTCCTTTCCGAGAGCAGAGGCGAGTGTAATGCATCATGGATCTGTAGGGACAGGGAGAAGTGTCAGACCGAGCTATGACTATATTGCAAGCGCCTTTGCGTTTGGATGCTTGAGGTGGAGGTTGAAGTAGTCGGGATAATATGACAGGTCAGAGAAGGCAATGTCTCGGGATGCATTTAAAGGTGGCGTGAGAGTTTGTGAATTCGCTTATGCGTAAGAAGCCCATTTTCATGTAGGATGCAGCGGAGGAGAGAAGGTGAAGAGACGGAGGGACTAGACCAGGGCGAGGGATTCCGTGCAGGGGATCTGGCATGGCGATGGATTGGCAGAAGGGCAGAGGCGTCAGAACTCCTGGAATTTAAAGCGAGAGAGAGAGTCAGCAATACGGTTAGGTGACGAGGGACGTGACGAGCAGTGATGATAAATTGTTCGAGACTGAGAGCCACGTGATGCGTCTAAGGAGGATGTGATTTGGGGAGAGGATGAACGACCTCTGTTAATTATTTCAATGACGTCGAGGTTGACGCACGTCACGGAAATCCTTTCCTATGCCACGTATGGTTCCGCAGCACGCAGGCTACGGTCACGGGATATATCTCGTGGAGCGCGGAGGAGATGCTTCGAGGGAAAGCGTCGGGCCGGGGCCCGGCAAACCACTGGTCCTGGAAAAACCCCCAAAACCCACGGACGGGGCTGCGTCCGTGAAGAACCGCGGGGCATCTGAGACAGGATGATGTCACTGTAAAAAAAAAAAAGATACACCATCCCAGCGGCTCTGCAGACGGGACCGGAACGCCAGGTCGGAGCGGCGCCCCGCGTCCGGGCAGACAGCGTCATTGAGGGAGGAGACGGAGCCGGCGAGGGAGAGGAGTCTGGAATTAAAAGAACGACCCTGGGGAATGATACGGACGGCATAATGAAGATGCCCGAGGAGGGAGAGCAAGGACCCCTCGAAGTGACGGGAAGGCCAAGGCAGACCGGGAGAAAGCGCTGATGCGTTCGAGCTCGTCCAGTGGGAGGGAGGCCTCCATGGCGCGTGTGTCGAGGCGGATGCCGAGAACTCCAGAGCGTTGGCGGGGCCTGTGGTCTTTCCGGAGTGGAGGAATCCGAGGGCAGAGAAGGCGGGCCTGAGCTTGCGGAGAGAGCCCCCGGAGCAGTCTGAGGGTGGGTTGACTACGAGGGAATTATCGGGGAAGTGCAGACAGAGGGGAGCCGCGCGTAATTAAGCAGAATCCGACACGGCGCCTCCGAGAGATTGTTGACCAGAGAGGGACTACTCCGGCAGTCAAAGGTGAGGCGCACTGCGAAGAAGAACTCCGACGCCACTTGACCCCTGAACAGCGCCAGTGGTCGGGGTGGATGGCAGCAGCTTGAACGCGTCCGGGATGACGGCCTTGGAGAGCCAGGAGCCGGGGCCGAAAGTCTTTATCAGCCTGATCGCGTGGTCCACGGTAGCGGACTGCAGGGAGAAGGGCGCTGGAGGGAAGGGGCTGTGGATGCTCGGGCGGGCCCGGAGCGGGGACAGGAGAGGACGAGTATGAGACGCTTCTTCCTGGAGTGCTTGCGGGTGGCGATGCCCATCGGGTTAGAGCGAGACGGAGAGAAGGGGCCAATGACGTAGCCCACGGACACCTCCCGCGCCCGAGCCGCGTGCCGACTTGGGGCTCACGGAGAGCCGGGAAGAGGTTGCGGGACACGAGACGCCGAGGGACCTAAACAGAGCTTACAGTCTAATGTGAGGGATTTAAATAGAGCTTGCAGTCCAAAGTGAGGTATTAAAACTGAGCCCGCAGTCCAAGTGAGGCGTTTAACGGAGAGCCTGCAGTCCGGTGCGAGGGAGTTAAACGACCTGTAGTCCGAGGTGAGGGATTAAACTGAGAGCTTGTAGTCCAGAGTGAGGGATTCAACATTGCCCGCAGTCCTAAAAGAGGGATTTATAACAGAGCTTGAAGTCCAAGTGAGGGATTAAACCGAGAGCTGCAGTCCAGTGTGAGGGATTTAAACAGGTTTTACGGTCCAAGTGAGGCATTAACTGAACCCGCAGTCCAAGTGAGGAGTTTAAACCGAAAGCCTATAGTCCAGTGTGAGGGATCCAACAGAGCCTGCAGTTTTTTATTTTATTTTATTTTTGTATTTATTTATTTATATTTATTTATATTTATATTTATTCATATTTATATTTATTTATATTTATTTATATTTATTTATTTTTATATATAAGCGTTCCAGATATGAGCAGTACCATATTTTTCTTCTTTTCCTGTCCAGAGGGATTCAAACGGGGCTTGCAGTCCAAAGAGAGGGATTTAAACAGAGCTCGTAGTCCAGAGAGGGATTTAAAGAGAGCCTGCAGGCCAAAGTGAGGGATTAAAACTGAGCACGCAGTCCAATGTGAGGGATTAAACTGAGATCTTGCAGTCCAATGTGAGGAATAACGGAGCTTGCAGTCAGAGTGAAGGATTTAACGGAGCTTGGTTAAGAGAGCCTGCAGACCAATGCGAGGGCTTTAAATTGAAGCATGCCCACCAATGCACGGGGCCAACTGAGCCTGCAGTACAATGCGAGGGGAATAAAACCGTCCGCAGATCTCATACTTACCCACAACGCCAGAAGACAAGGGACAACACGACGGGACCACGCCGTACCGGCACGAGGAGGCAGGGATGCGCACAGCTCCCACCGCACCGGTCCAGACCGGCCGTATGCAGCAGCAGGCCGCGACGAGACGAGCAGCGGCGAACCCGCAGAAAGAGCCCGCAAAGGAGGAGAGCGGCAAAGACCCACGGACCACAGCACGAGACCCGCAGCAGGTGCAGCGACGCGGAGGAGGAGCAGACCACACGCAGCAAGACAGAGGACAGCGGGGACTGCAGGAGTAAGCGTGAGTAGACAAAAGCGATTCCTCCAGAACGATTCTTTGCAGGCTTCGAGAAGGCCGAGAGTGGGAGTTTCTCCGCTTTTAAGCGGCTTGCCTGGCCGGTCCGGTGATTGGAAGGGGGCGTTTGCAGTGCGATAGGCTGGGGATGAGAACCGGCCTGGAGGGGTTACCTTTGGCTGACGTCTACCAAATTGAATTTCCGCTGGCTGCATTTCAAAATGCTCTCAAAACTGTTGGTTCCATCACTAGTTTTCACATGCATTTATTTTGTCACTCAGGCCCGAAGTGTCAAACATGGATTCTTTAGTACGCAAAAGACAAAATGTTTTTTTTTATTTTTTTTATTATTATATTCTTATTGCATTTTAAGAAAACATTTTACCCCCAGTCCCTCCCATAAGGTCCGTGTACTTTTGTGTCAATACATTTTCTATTTTTGAAGGGAAATGGAAAATCAAAAAAAGGCTATTTTGCATTTTCAGGCACCCAGCAATATACAAAAATGACCATTTTGTTTTTTTCATTGCTTATAAGACATATATATATATATTATAATAACCGGATTTGGGAACTAGAAAATGCAATAATTAATTTTTTTATTATGTATTTATACATAATATACATGCACTGGCTTCCTGTGGCTCAGAGAATAGACTTTAAAACAGCTCTGCTTGTGTACAAATCTCTCCATGGCCTCGCACCAAACTATATTAGTGACATGTTAGTACCATATGAACCAGCCCGGACTCTGAGGAGCACAGGGACTGGACTCCTGTTAGTGCCCAGAGTCAGAACTAAACATGGGGAGGCTGCTTTTCAGATTCATGCTGCTAAAATCTGGAACAGTCTTCCTGAAGATGTGAGACAGGCCTCCTCTCTGACAATGTTTAAGACAAGGTTGAAAACAGTTCTGTTTAGCTGTGCATACAACTGAGGGATTTTATATTTTTATCTTTTTTTTAATGTACTGTGATTATTTATGATTTTAATGCTTTCTTGTTCTGTTCAGCACTTTGAATTGCCTTGTGTATGAATTGTGCTATATAAATAAACTTGCCTTGCCTTGCCCTACATTTCGGCGTCAATCGATTACCTGGAAATGAAACAAGTTTGTTTACTCGCACGGGTTACCTGTGGACCCCTGATCATTTGTGATAATCACGGAGAACTTCTGAGATTTTACTCCGCAACTCTGCAGCTGTGTTCACAGCTGTGATACGCAACACCTCTGCTCATTGACAAAAACAACGCAGAAAGTAAAGCGAAAGCGGCAATCACGATCACAATCACTGACATGCAGATTCTCACGGGATTAGTATTATCACAGGACGTCTGTGTTTGGAAAAATACAGGAGGTCATTTGCGTATTAAATTATACTAAATTAGAGTGAATAGGGCTGAAGTAAACAAACTTGTTTCACTTCCGGGTAATCGATTGACGCCGAAATGTATTCAATACATATTAAAAAAGGGCTAATTATTGCATTTTCTAGTTCCCAAATCCGGTTATTATAATATATATATGTCTTATAAGCAATGTTTTATAATAAGACAAAGAGCGAGAGAGACAGACACACACCTGCAGTAGCGACAACTATACAATAATTTGTAGAAATGAAACTGATTCTCTTTGCTCATGAGAAAGACACTGAAACTTCCACTACTGTGATATGAGAAATACAGTAAATATGTTGTTCATTACAATAATGTGCTTAAACATAAACAATCCATTTAAAATTGATCTTTAGCTTGATATAAACACATCCCTCTTAGTGTATGTCTCCATTCTCAATCTGACACGTGTCACAGTGACGCAAACTCCTACTTGAAATTCCAAGTTTCTTCCCACTTTTTTGAGTAGGAAGAAGTAAATTTCAACATTTTGAGAAAGTGGCGACGAAATGTAATGACTGTATTAGATCCCTAAGAGTGCATTTTACATACTGTCTTTTTAGACTTTGGAACCTAGACTAAAAGGAAATGAAGTTCTGGTGGCATCGTACTGTGTTTTACCTGTTGGTCTCCACTGATCACAAACTGCTCGATGGCTCGGCCTTCTTCACTCTGTTCTGTTTTATCTTCTTGTTTTCTCAGTGACGCATCTTGCCTTCCAGTTTGAATATCCCACAGCAAAACTATGAAACCAAACTGTTGCTGTTACTTCATCCAATCGTGACTTTTACACCAGACTGGATTCTTACTTGTTTGTGCTTCTGGCGGCTGCTGCTGGTCTCTGAAATCTCCACAGTCCATTCGCTGTTTGATGGACCCAGAACTCAGATCCCAAAGGATTAAATGGTCCCTATAATTAATGAATAAGTTAAAGTAACAATACTGTATATTAGATTTTTATGTCATGTCATCATTAAATGGCCCTAATTTGCCAAAAAGCTTTAAAAAAACATGCTCTTTATATTAGAATTTCAAAATTAGTTTTACAGCCCCTAAATCTTGTTATTGTTTTAATTTCGATGTCGCGCCCTCCACCGTTCCACCAATCACTACGTCAAGCTAATCTCACTGGTAAAGTAACATGTGGCCATAGAACTAAAAAAGGTCTCGTTATGATTCTCAAATCATTAACGACAAAACAAGGAATAAAACGAGGATTTCGATCTTTGTGAAAAAGGTGTCGGTTATAGATTTGTTGTTGACAATACTCTTGTCTGCATATCTGGCAACCTGAGTCAGGGAGAATGGGAGAGGTTGCAGTTCCACTTTTGGCCAGATTTTTACATACTTCTCCTTTAAGGTGCACCAATTTAAAACCACACCAACGAAATGTGATAATAAAGTAGATTTTGCTGCACCTGAATATAAGCCACACTTAACTAACAGATCAATCAATCAATCAATCAAAGTTTATTTGTAGAGCGCCTTTCATACACAGGGCAACACAAAGCGCTTCACAGTCCACATCACAAATCATCACATAAAACACACACCAGAATCACAATTAAAACATTAAAATCACACAAAATATTAAAACCATTAAAACTTTCAAAATTACACAAGGAATTTAAATAAATAAATAAATAAATAACCACAGTGCATTAGAAATAGAGATAAAATCCTTCAGTTGTATGCACAGGCAAACAGAACAGTCTTTAACCTGGATTTGAACATTGACAGAGTAGACACCTCTCTCACATTTTCAGGGAGACTGTTCCAGATCTTAGCTGCATGGATCTGAAACGCAGCCTCCCCATGTTTGGTTCTCACTCTGGGCACCAGCAGGAGGCCAGTCCCTGTGCTCCTCAGAGTCCGGGCTGGTTCATATGGCACCAACATGTCACTAATATATTTTGGTGCGAGGCCATGGAGAGATTTGTACACAAGCAGAGCTGTTTAAAAATCTATTCTCTGAGCCACAGGAAGCCAGTGCAGAGACCTGAGGACTGGACTAATATGGTCGTATTTCCTGGTTCTAGTCAGGACTCGAGCCGCTGCATTTTGGATGTACTGCAGCTGTTTTACAGCCTGTTTGGACAGACCTGTGAGCAGGCCATTGCAGTAGTCTAGTCTAGTCTAGTCTGACAAGAATCTCCAAGTCTGCTTTGGACACTATATTTCTAACTTCTAATCAACTAAACTTAACTAAGACGCTAAACTAACAGATGATGAAGCAATTTCATGAATAGTAAGTACAGTGGTTTGTTGAACGCTATTAATAAGGAAAAGTAGAATCATTTTGGTCCTTTTTGTGTTTTCACCTAGTCTCCGAGAGGCCCAGAAGTGTTGCTCCATTCTCCAACAGCCGGAACTCGCTCTGGGGACAGGGGATAATGGCCAGTCCAGTCTGTCTCCTCACGTAGCTCCTCTTGATCAGGTCAAACACCAGCAGAGTCTGCCACAGAGAAGAGATTTGATGTATTATATTGACACTCTGAGACCAAGTACCACAATAAACCACAAGAGACGTATTCAAATAAAAATGAAAAGAGGATGTTAGAAAAGCAATTACTCTGAAAAGATTGATAAATGCTGTATTGTGTTTATGTCCCGAATCTCTAAATGAATCAAAACTACTTCCATTACAGTTGGAAGCAGACATTTTGATTTATACTTTGGCCATATTTCTGAGATTTAGATTTTTTTTCATCCATTGGTAGTTGTGTGAGTTCTCAAATAAACTTGTTTTCTAGTGTCCTTGTCTGGCATTGATTAGAAGTCTCCAGACCCCAGTTCTTTCGTGCATTTCTCCTTCTATCTATGGCATGTCTGATGGCATGTATGACAACTTGGAGTCTATTGTGGTAGTTATCGATGACGTCCTTTTTTCTTCCATCTACTTCATTTTTATAGCACTGTTGATTGCAGTTTAATTGCAGTTTGCACACAGACACATTAACCATACATTCAGTCACACGTCTGCTGTGTAACATTCCCGAATCCAAATTAAAGATCATCAAGTAGCTGTCGAATGAAAAATAAGATACAAAAAAAAAAGTCAATAAATAACAATAAGAAAAAAATATCTATCTTAAATAGCCATCAATAAAAATAAAAAAAATAAAAAATGCCCATCTATAAAATAAATAATCAAATAATAAAAAAAATGTTTATATATATAAATAAAAAAACGGTCAAATAATACATATAAAAAAATAGCCATGTAAAAAAAAAAACAATATTTTGTTTAAAAAAATGACCATGCAAAATGTTTTAAAATTAAATAAAATAACAGACAATAGAGGACCAGACAACCCAAATAGACTCAAAAGCCAGAGAATACGGTGCATTCTTCTTGGCAAAAAGCCTTCAGTCCTTGTAAATTCCTGAGCGCTAACGTCTGGGTGCAAAAACTTTCAAGATCCAAGCACACCTGTATCTGTTTATATCCATGTTTTTGTTCACATATTGTTGAAGTGTGACCTGAAAACACGCCGGCGCCTTCGTCCTGCCTGAGCTTCTGTCTGTGAGGATGAAGAGCGAGAGGCCATGCACCAGCACCACGTCTGCGGCGCTGAAGAGACCGTGCTGCGTGCTGACGGGGCGACAGCTGAACCGCTGCCTGCCCAGGTTCCACACCAACACTGTCCCGGGACGCTCCGAGAGGCACACGGCGTACCTGCAGAGGGCGCCACACTCAACCAGTCTGGTCACATCCAATTCTGTAAAAACACTACTTTAAGACTTGCCTTCCTTGTCCTTTGAAGTGCTTTAAAAATGACCCTTTTATAAAACGTGGTAGCTCCAGTTTTTGTCAATGGATATTTAACACATTTTTGAACATGTTTTTAATGCAGCTAAGGTGAATAAAAATGGGAAAGAAGGAAAAGGAAGGAGTCGTTTTGTATGAATTGGGATGCAGTCTCATTTTAGTCTAGTTTTGTTAAGCACTTTGAGTTTCCTTGTGTATAGACTGGGCTGTACAAAAAAACTTTGCTTGTCGTAATGGCTTAGAGGTGGGCAATGTAAAAATAAATAATAAATAATGTTGCTATGTTTATAAACGTTCAGTGTTAGGAATAGATAGAGTCAAAACTACATATATTTAATAAGAAAAACATGAGACTATATTCTAATATGCAAACACAATAAAAAATCTAGTAATATTGATCATTTCAGTATATTATCGTAATATATTTTCTTTTCCTGTTTTTAGATAAAAAAAAAAAAAAATCAGATAAAAACAACATTTTTAAAAACAATATTTTGACTTTATCATCGGTGATGATCTGGGACGTTTATGGACATATATTAACATTTCTGGACATTGGTCATCCCGCTCCCGACGGACCAATGGCTCTATGTGTTTGTTATTATTCTCTGATCTTTAGTTAAAATATCAACAAACTTTTGAAGTCCTTCAAGACGACTGCTCTTGTGCTAAAGGGCTATTCTAAATGAAAATTAATTCAATGTTGAAATATGCAAAACCAATACATTCACTTGTTAAACTGCCTGACTGATGTGTCTTGTTGTGAATTTCTCCAGTGTGAGATCAAGCTTATCTACCTTATCTTATCTTATTTACCGGGGTTTCTCGCCCGTCGTGACCAGCTCTTTGGTGCCATCGCTTCTGCTCTTGTGGATGTTGTAAGTCAGGGTCTGGTCTGTGATCCTGGACCTCAGATCCCACAGTCTCACACATCTCTCTCCGCTGCAGACGCCCAGACAGAGGCCCATGTCATAGCACAGCCCTGCAGCAGTGCGCGAGATCACATGGAAACATTACACAGGAAAACCTTGTCACATAGAATTGCCCCGAAAAAACACTGCAGGGGGTAATAGAGCTGTGACTGTATTATACAACAGTTTCTTATTTAAAAGATTTTTTATTTTATTTATTAAATTATTATTATTTGTATTATTCGATTTATTTTCATGTTTTATTTCTAATGTTTTCTAATGTTTTATTTTAAAATTGTTATTCATTTATGTTTCATTTTAATTTTAATTTTTAATTTTATAATTTAATATCTTATTTGTTTACTTTTATTTGTATTATTTTTTTATATATATATTTTTTTATTTGTATTGTTATAAAATGTTTTCTATATATATTTAATTTTGTTATTATTATACATACATTATTTCACATACTAGCTCAACAATATGGATGTATAGCATGAATATATGCCTAAATCTCTCATATATATGGGTATTATGTGTGTGATTTATATATATAATCTCACTGTCCCCCTACTAGAAATACTTTTTTTTTTGTAATTTTATTTAGCATTTTTCATATTTTTCCCCCACTACACCCCCTCCCTTCCTGCCCCTCCCCCACCTCCCCCTCCCCTGTATGATAAAGACAAAACAAATGCAGACCTTTTTTGAGTATTCCGGGGAAATGCGTGACGTGTTTGTGGTCCTCTGTCTCCAGGTTCCATGTGACCACACCCGTGATCCCGGTTTTCTGAGAGCAGCAAAAGGCCACAGCGTGAGTCCCAGCGCGGTTCACCGTGACCTGGGAGATTGCATCCTGGGTGCACCCCAAGATGGACCTCTCGTACTGGAAAGACTGTGTGCTGTACAGCTCAATGTGGAGGAGCTCACTGTCCTGTCTGAACGGGTATCTGGAAAAATATATTTATGTCATTCTACGCTTGTCAAAATGTCTCATCAGGGATTAACCCACGACCCTCGCAGTTCAATAGGATTTGAGACAATCTGAATGCTGAAGAAGCCGATTTCAATATAAGCTAACTGGAGCCAATTCCCTTATACATGTATTTGTTCTACCGTAATAGTGGCAGACGTGTTGCTAAGATGGTTGCTAAGGCAAGCTGGAGTTTCGGTCAATCCCCATATGCCTCGCATCTGGATTCACAAGAAAATATCAAAACATAATCACCAGGATCCGAGTGAGCCCAAATTGGTGAGTGTGTAATGTAAGTCAATAGGAGCCAGAGCAAAACTTTGTCCATGAGCACTTCCCTGTTGGTCTTCATTGAGCGAGGTGGTTCGTATTGTCCATCTATAACCAGTCTTTGATTTGCAAGCACTTTTAATTTATGTAAATTAAACCTATTTGCCCAACAAGGTGTTCTTATAGCAGGATATAGCAGGTAAAAAGAAATTATTATTGTTTATCTGAAAACGCAATTTTTTCTTGCATTATGAGGCCAGTTTTTGAGGAGCCTTCCCCTATTCTTGGGTTTCATATGACGTTGGGGCAGTGGCACGAATGACATACGTGGGACAGGACCGGTCCGGATGTAAAATGAAGATGAAAATGCCATCTTTTTGTGCAGTGTACGGTTGTAGCGACCGCGCAAATAGAGAGAAAGACAAGAGTTTCTTCCGTGTTCCAACTGTGGTCTCATATAAAGGATTACATTTCGAAAAAATCACGCGACTGAGCGGGGCGAGGTGGATCAAGGCTTTCCCAGATACGCGCCCCCTGCATTCCACCCGAATGAACTGCAGCAATTTCTTCTGTTATAGTTTCCAAAAATGCCCTAAATCAAGACTCCTTTGAGAAACATTTTTTAGTACTCCCTTAGAATTGAGTGTCCCTGATTAAGACTGTTACAACAACTGTACACCGCACAGGATGAGGGCCTTTTGACTCCGAAACAGACAAGATTTACATGGTTTTTAAAGGGAGCAAAACTGAGTTGTCCCACTTCCGCTCATTCGCCCCCTACAGGCCAAGTTCATGAAACCCCAGAATTGTGCACAGTGATGCTGGATATACCTGCAGAACAGCAGTAGGTATTCCTCAGTCATGTCCACAGCCTGGATGGAGGCCGCGGCGTGACGAGCAGAGACGACCATCAACACTCTCCCCTCTTCAGCACTGAACACTCCAGCCTCACAGCCGGACCTGACACGGAAGAAAAACACTGTCAGAAAAGTCCAGCATAAGGAGAAAGCTCAGTGGCACCTTTCTCTCACAGCTGTATTGTACTCTGACAATGTTCAAATCTAGGTTAAAGACAGTTCTGTTTGCCTGTGCATAAAACTGAATGATTTCATCTCTATTTTTTATACACTGTGGTTTAATCCCTTGTGTGATTTTAATGTTTTCATGGTTTTATTTACCTGTGTGAATTGTATTGGTTTCCCTGTGTAGGAAAGGTGCCATGAGACTTGAACTAATAATAATAATAATAATGATAATGCATTGGTTTTATACTTTTTAGGACAATCAAAGAGGCTTCACATGTCATTATTCCTATTCATTTTTCAATCTCACTCCCATTATCGTGTTTAGAGTAAGAGGAAAAATGGTATTGTAAAGAGCTTTGAGACTCTGAATCTGAGTGCTACTGTATATAAATAAGGATTACTCACTTACTTACTTAAAAAGCCTAGTATGCTCGCACTGTGGAATGAAAGTAAAAATGGTATTGTAAACACTGCAAAAGATGATGAAAAATAAGTCCAAAATTGGTTAAATTTGGCAAATTGTTACTCATTTTGACTGCCTGAAAACAAGATTTTCCATTGGGACAACGCAAAATGATCTTGTTTTAAAAAGATACAAAAAATGTCTCCCTAACCCTAACCTTAACCCTTGGAAATAAATAATAAAGCAAAGTTATATACTCAAGTTAAGATAAAAACCACTCAATTCGAGCCGTTATTACCCCATATTTAATAATTTTTTGCATCTTTATCTTTGTGACTCAGTCTGTGTGCTCTACAAATAAAGATTACTTACTTACTTACCAAAAAAGTCCAGTATAATAGCACTGTAAAGGAATCTGCCCCTGTTTTATGACACCTTACATTACAACCACACTGTCCTACATGCACCAGCATGTGATCCCTGTCCGTCAGGTGTGAAACTCTGTCATCCGTGCTAATTTCCCTGAAAGCCTTTTCCCCACTGCCTTTGATACCGAGATGAAGCGCCTGTGTGTACATTAGCTCCCTATTATCCCTGCATAATCGGCTTTAGCTGTTCTATTATCCCTGCATAATCGGCTAGAGCTGGATCGACGTCGCTGCCTTTCTTAATAATTCAGTCTGTGGTGAATTGTGTGGCAACAAAGAGGCCAGATTTCACAGCTTGTTAACAGAGAGGTGCGGCATTATTTAGGAAGGTGGCTTTTAGACACTGGTATCTCTTGTTCTCAGTGATGTCCTGAACTTCCTGAGTCGCTCTGGTTTTGTACCTGTGAGCAAAAAGGACGAAGTCTTTGATGGAGTTGCTGGACAGAACGTAAGAGTTGTTTTTGTGGATCGGTTCAGAAGTGAGAGAAATGGTGGTGGAGTGGAGCAGGGAACAGGAGTTGGCCAGGTCGAAAACCTTAAAAAAAAAAAAACATAAGGAGATAGGCTGAAATGCACTACAAAAAATGATGAAATATGAGGTAATAAATGTTTGAATAAAGTGTTTTTTTATCTTTATTTGAGTACATTCTGTCTTAACACCAAGATTAGCCAATGGGACAAAGCCACTTAGTCTTATTCCGGGGTACACATTTCTTGTATCTTTTTAAACAAGATCAATTTGCTTTGTCCCATTGGCAAATCTAGTTTTAAGGGTTCTCAAGTTATGATACATTTTGCCAAATTTGAGTAATTTTTCACCACTTTTTGCATTGTACATACACAACAACAACAAATAAAACTAAGTCCAGACCTTCACTCGAGGAGTTCCGTCATAAAAGACCACAAGGAGCCGTCCATTCGAAGCTATGGTCACAATGGGGACATCCACTGATTCACTCTCTGAATACACCACGCGCCCAGTGTCCACTGTCCGCACCTGGAAACAGTACATTTACTAAAGAAGCAAGAATTATATCTAAAATCTCCAACTTTAGCATAATAAAGAAGCAAGTCTAAAATGTCTAACCTTAGAATAAGAATCAGAATCATTTTTTATGGCCATGTAAGTAACAGGAAGTCACAGACTAGGAAATTGCTTTGTCTCTCGCACCGAGAGACAAAATCGAGAGTAGAGAAGAATAAGGCATAATAACATAAAATAATAGTATAATAAAAAAGCAAGAAATAAGTCTAAAATCTCTAGCTTTAGCATAATAAAGAAGCAAATCTAAAATCTCCAACGTTAGCATAATAAAGAAGTAAGAATTACGTCTAAAATTTAGCATAATATCAAGTCATGAAAGCTTCAATGACAAACTCAAATCATGTTTTTGTCCATTGTTATAAAGTTCTGACCTGGAGATCTTGTCCCATTCGGGCAACAAGCATCGTATCATTCAAACCAATATTGAGAGAATCTGCCACGAGTTCTCCTGCTGGATCCAGGCCCCTGATGATCCTCCTCTGCTCCAGGTCCCAGAACTGGATACTGCCGTCCACCTCACAGGTCACTGCAGTGGTGCTCTGCTGGGACCCTCCGAGGGCCGTCACACAATTCAGAGGCCCTGGGGAAAGCGGATATTCTAGTTTAAGAAGCTTCATCTTGTCTTCTTAGTAGTTTAAAGGTCCCATATGTGTACTTCAAACACATGCCCAGGGTGGTGTAGTGTCTGCTATTATAACTTCTATTGTGTTGGGGACATTTGGGCCCAATTGCTGACTCTACTGACCCCTCTCTGGGGTCATTGGGGCTGTGGACATCTGGAAGGACAATAAGAGCCTGTAGTGAGACCCTCAGAGAAGACAAGGATTGTGTATCCATGTTGTGACTATAATATGATCTGAGTGTCTCTGAATGTGACACGTATGTCTTTCGATGTGTGACGTAACAATGACTATAAAAATCATTTGCTGACTCTCTTCTGTCTGAGAAAATTGAAACAACTGAAACCACTGGAACCTGAGAGAAGCCTAAATAAGCTTCCAGAGCTTTGGTGCGCCACGATCCCGTCTCTGTCTGCTTCATTTCCCACAATACATGCTCGTCAAATAAGACCAGAGAGTTTAAAAAAAAAGTTTTTCCTAAAATTTGGAAAAATCATCCTATGTTACCTTTAAGAAAAGCGAAATATAGGACGTTTAAGTTTTTTTGTTTTTTTCTATATCAGGCAATTATTATTCTGGTATAGCAGAACTAAAGAACTGAGGGATTTCATTTGTTCACTTCTTTGAATGTACTGTGATCATTTATTTCAATGCCTTGTGTGGTTGTTTCTATATGGTTTTGTTCCGCACTTTGACTTGCATCGTGTATGAACTGTGCTATACAAATAAACTAGCCTAGTCCTTTTTTTTTTTTATATATATATTTTTTTGGTTTTCTTTTGCAGTCATACCTTAATCAGTAAGCATTTCACATTCAGCATTTGACAGTATTACCACAGTTATTTGAAAAAAAAAAAAGAAAAATAAATAAAGTATGGAATAAATAAATAAATACCACAAAAAATACATAATGTACTAGCCTTACCCTTTTGATATTTTATATTAAAATGACGGTGATGCTTTTATGGACTGACATTTTTATGCTGACTGTGAACCAAGTTGTATGCATTGTTTTTGAAAAGTTCTATACAAATTAAGATGTAATATTATTATTATTATTATTAAATGTGGACTTATACATGCTCTGAACCAGTTACCAGCTAACAGTGTGTGCTGAAGCCCTCTTGGAGGCAGCAGGCAGGTGGAGGAGGGCAGCAGGACCGGCAAACTAGAGCGGGAACACTGATCCAGCAACGTGTGGAGGAGCTGGAACTTCAAACGGTCACCTTCACAGAGACAAACAGCCTCCTGAGTGTTTTTGCACACACTGAGAACACTGCAACAAGTGATGACAAATCTGCAACAAGTGACAAATCAGTCCAAAATTGTTCAGATTTGGCATAATGTGTCTTAATTTGAGCACATTCTGACAGTGCCTAAAAACAAGATTTGCAAATGGGACAAAGCAAAATGATCTTGTTTTGAAAAGAATGAGAAAATACTTACTTACTTAAAAGGCTTTGTCCCATTTGGCAAACCTTGTTTAAGACTGTTAGAATGTACTATTAAGATAAAAACCACTGATCCAAGCAATTATTACCTCATAATTAATATTTTTTTGCAGAGAAGAGACAGAGAGTTTTGATGTGATACCTTTTGCAACCGGCCGATCCTCCATGACCATAGTCCCCAGGCGTCCCATGAGCTGTGAGGCGAGCTGGCAGGGGTCCTGAAGGAGCACAGCACGGGACAGGCCCAGCGCTCCAGACAGAACCTCCACATCTATCACTTCTCTGCAGGATATAAAACAAAAGGGAACAAAGTTAAATGTGTTTGGAGGCCTGCAGAGACGCTCCTTCTCCAACCCAGCCCAGAGTGTCTGTTAGAAGTTACCCACAATCAGAAAATAATCGTTTCTAAAAACAGTATTGAAACTAAAGCCCCCTACATGACCCTACTCTACCCTGATATTTTTTAGTATCTGCATGGCCCTGGTTCTATCCAGGCCAAGCGGGTAGTCAAGTGTTCAAACTCACAGTGAGTGCTTCTGGAAACCACGGTTACCAAGGAATATCCCCAGATACATCGACAGTGGCTCAGTTGGTAGAGCATTGGCCTTTGAGCCTGAAAGTCGTGGGTTCGAGCCCACCATAAGACCTACATCACGACTCCCACTGATGACTGCTGTCGTTGTGTTCTTGGGCAAGACACTTAAACCCACTTTGCCTGAAGCCCCCATCTCAGCTCCTGTGGACTCACCACCTGCAGGAGGATCAGTGAGGGGCTGGTGCTCTGTGAACTGGGTGCAGCTCTGACTGCCACCCCCGACCCAGAAATGGATTAATGGATGGATGGCTGGATCCCCGGATACTGGTTTGTTGTGAGTTGGTTGCTAGGATATGGTACCAGATACTAAAGAATAATGGAAATGCAACCAGGTAGAGTAGAGCTGAGTAGAGTAGCGTAGCGTAGGGCCAAGTAGAGTAAAATAAATGTACATAAATATGAATGAATGAATAAACAAAGGCTGTCATTTCTTGCTACATTTTAAACTATATCAGAAACACTTTTAGGTTTTTCTAGAGCCAACGTTTATTTTAAACATTTTTTATTGTAACAACATCAGTTATGTTCTAATTTGAAAAAAGTGAAATACTAACAAAATGCACTCTTATCTCTCTGTTTGACTAAATGTCTTAGTCATATCTGCTATGAAAAGTTCTGGCTGCCACATACTTGTCTGGCAGCACTGCTTTCTTCAGGTCCTCCTCTATCTCCAGAACAGACGTCCCCCAGGCCTTATGCAGGAGGAACTCATAGTTAAACACACACTCCACTAAGAAGGGTACGATCTGCCCTGAGTGGACCAGGTGGAACGGAAGCCCCCGCAGCTTCCTCAGGTTAAACCAATGAGACTTCAGCTTGTCCTCCTCCACGTCCACCCACACCGTCGGCTGGAATATGTGCGAGTTTGGGGACCTGCCTCTGTAGTAATCGCCTAAATCTGCGTGCACGGCCATCCGGGATTCCTCGTTCCTGAAGTAGCGGTCCAAACAGAGGCGGCAGAGCTCGGAGTGTGCCCAGCGGTAGACCCACGTCCTGTCGGTCCTCACTTCTCTCAGGTGTGATCCCAGCTGTTGCTTCAGATGCACCCAGCGGATGTGAGGCAGGCTACTGTGGGAGGCTTCTCTGAGGACTTTGCCGTCTTTAGAAAGCAGGTGAAGGATTTCCTATAGAAGCAGTTTTTATACACTGAATTTACACATGGATTCATACACAAATTCACAATAATGACAAAATGTGGTATAACATTCTATATGGTAGCATATCAGACATAGCAGACCATAGAAAATGTGACATTTAAGTTGAGCACTCTTATATTGTTCAAAGGCTACACAAAAAAGAAAAAACGCTGGACATGAATTGCAATCTATTGTAAAATTGAATCGCAATACTTGCTGTATCACAATATATTAAGAATTTCAATAATAATGAATTGTGGCCCAAATATTGCAATACTATCAATTTGTCACATTTTTGCCAATTCTCAATATTCACTCGTACCTCTTCAGTGGCTCCATGTCGAGAAATGGACATGAGCATACAGACCCTTCTGACCAGCTGTTTTCCCATGTCCCTCTCCAAACGGGACAACATGACTCCGTACAGCTCCTGGAGAGAGTCAGGGAGGTTCAGACAGGACTGGGCCGTGTGGGACGTCCAGTGTCGGCTCTCGCTGTAGGCCGTCTCCAGGTACAGAGGACAGGGGCAGGACTGACAGGCCTGCAGCAGGGTCTCCCACTGCTCCGGCTGCAGACGCCTCTGATCCTGATGGAGTTTGGATTCTAAAGCTGCGATGATGTCCTCTGTGGTGAGCGAAGGCAGGGACAGGACTGTGAACTGTCCTGACTATGAGAAATACATAAAAGTAGAATAAACGCTGTGTTTATCAGTCTATTTTTAGAACATGGATGAACACATTTTCTGTTCTTCCAACTCCAAATCCACACAACCTTACTAGTTTTACAAGAAGTAAGAAGAACTGATGTGGGGCTCAATGATCCAAAATATTCTGAACCTTACAGTCTATCTATCCTTCTAAATGTAATTAATGCAGGGAATGATAACTTTAAAATTATAAATAATACATTGTCTTTGTCCTAACAGAAAGGGTCTCGCCATCTTGTGAACTTTTCTTCATCTTAGAGGTAACATATTTTATCTTTAGGAAGATTAGGAAAGGTGGTCCTCTCTTTTTTACGTTTATATCTGAAAAAAACTAATCTAAAAACGTGAAAGAGACCAGAACTAGTGATAGAACCAACCTGTTTTGAGCGTGCGGAACTAATTAAATGGATTTATTCTTTATACTGCTTGCATGATCCCAAAAAGTACCATAACAAGTCACTTTAGATAAGCAGAACATGTCGTACCCCAGGGAAGGGTTTTATGCCCAGACTTAATCACAAGCTAAAATACAAATACCAGGACTGACCAATAGGATTTCGGTACAGGCCGAGTTGGTGGTGGCTGAGACAACAAGGTAAACGTTTGGAGGCAGCGGTGATAAAATCCAGGAGAGTTCTGGGCCGTGTTCATCTGACAGTTCGTCCAGTCCGTCCAACAGGATCACAGCGGGTCTGTCCGAGTCCACCAAGGCCAAGAGGGAGTGCAGCTCGTTCACCAGCTGCGGAAGGCCCTACCACACACAAGCGAAGTTACACGGCAATGATATTAACGTTATCGTATTAAGTATTAAGACGACACCTCTGATAGCTCTGTCTGAGGACGGTAAGCTTCAGCCAGTTGGACACAGACACTCTTCAGAACCAAGCGGATATTTCTGCTTTCCCCAGAATAACCGATAAATACGACCAATATTTTCACAGTTCTGCAGCAGAGAAAGACACAAAAGGAGAGATTGAGGTCAAATTATGTGAGGGGAAAACAGTTGTGCTTCAACATTTACACACCCAGGCAGATATTTAGATGTATTTTGCATGTAAGGTATCATAATGACAACAGAAATGACTTTATTTATAACATTTCAAAAGAGACGAGTGCTACAGGGGGTCAATCTTAGTCAGATACTCATCAGGATCAGCAGTGGCAAAAGGATCATAAAAATACTGTAATGAACGAGGATTTAGGCAACGTGTCCATACAAACTTTATTTATGTTTGTATGGATGTGTTATCTTCTACTGGACGCCTGAATTTCACTACAGGGAATCCATAAAGTATCTATCGATCTATCTATCTACTCTTCTGACCCTGTTAGAAGGTTCTATCCCCCAGTTCTCAATGGCAGGTTTAACATCTAACACAGCTTCATGGTAAAGCTGCCCATTCTTCTTGGCAAAACACCTCCAGTTCCTGTCAATTCCAGGTCCGCCTTGCATAAACTCCACAGATTGGCTCACTGACGCCATAATTTGACAATAGACTTTTCTTTGACTATGTTGTCAGATTTCACACTACCACCGTTATCATACATGAAATATTGAAATATGGCCAAAACATGCCATCTATAGTTGGGTGTGTAAACTTTAAGCACAAGATACAACCATATAGTGTTGCAGTAAATAAACCCAGTTATTTAATTATGATTCCTCACCCAAAGAACCAGTTTGGAGCCTTCTGAGCGATGGCGGCCATGACACAGGTCTTTCCCAATCCTGGTGATCCCAACAGAAGGATTCGCCTGGAACTCCTCCAAGCTTTTTCCACGTCGTCCAGAAAGGTTTGTCTGAGGGTGAAGTTCTTAGCCCTGAAATCAATCTCGATTTGAATAATAAAAAAAATGCAGAAAGCAATAAAAATGTCCAATTTCTCACAGATTTCGACAGTGCTGTTGGTGCCGCTTTATCTCCTCTTGTATCTGAGCTTCCATCACAGCTCTCCTCATCTGTTTATAAGTGTCGTGTTTGTCGGTTTTCTTTGTAATTCTAAAGGGAAAACAGTTCATTGTTTAGCGTTGTACTAACCTTGAGTGGATAGCACTCTCGCATCTCAGCAAGAAGGTCCTGGGTTCAAATCTTTCTGAGTGGAGTTTGCATTTGTCTGTGTAAGGTTCCTCCGGGTACTCTGGTTTCCCCTACCATTAAAACATGTACGATTGGATCACGTGAATGAGTGAGGTATTTAGCATTTAGCCTAGCTTTAGCCATCTCCTTTGCCACTAACGGGGCCTGTGGGGGAATAGTCACAACATCTTTGCTTCAATGACATTTGCTAAAAATTCATCTTACTCCGGCTTCAATTTCTTGATATTTGGAGCCGAATCAGAACAGATTACTTTACTATCGCATTCGCTGCCATTGAAAAACTACAACCAGCAAATTTGGCGCAAACTCTTGACGTCACCAACACCTCCCTACAACACCCGCCTCCCCCGATCGCAGAATGGTCAGAAGGGATTCAACCAAGGTAACCGCAGCCACTAGGCTCAGACCCAGATGTACATGTAGGAAATGTTAATTGACCTGAGTTTACAGAAAGCTAAGGCCAGGTTATTGTGGCAGAGACATATCATTCGTCATATTGTTCGACGAATATAGATCAGGCAGACAGAACACAGAGGCGCAGTATAAAGTTTTGTGTGTACTTATTGATGGAGTTGACGACGGTCCGATGCACGTGGGCACAGATGCGCTCGGTGTAGAACTGGTGGGAGCGGTTGTGTTTGGGGTCCAGACCGGTCCGGCCCCAGCCCACTTTACGCTCGTAGATGTTTGTGTGACGCAGCTAAACAGGAGGAGAACAGCCGTAAGAGTTTGTTTCAAGATTATAACAAGAAAAGCCTATTGTAGATTTGACAAACATTGGATAAATGTAAGAATATGAAAGTGGGTGGTTCTGTCGTTGTCATCCCAGTAGTAATTGGTCAAAAACAATATCCAAATTCTCAGCCTTCTTAAACAAAAAAATAATATCGAAACCCATAATCAATATATTATTAATTGGCTCGAAATACCTTCATTTCATAAAAAGAATGAAACAATAGCAACAAATGCTAACGATGAGCTATAAACAGTTATGAAGACATTTCACACAAACTCAAAGAAAACACTGGATATTTTGGCCCCAGGTTCCTTCTCCTTCTTAAAATATGTGTTAATAAATCAATTTTATGACAGATAAAATAGAAAAAATGTGGTCTGGAGGTAATAATTACAGAGCCCTGATGTATGGAGTGACTGAATGATGCCATGTGAAGTCTTTCAGTGTGATAAACAAATAATTATATAAAAAACCGTATTATTTATTATTCCTTCTTCTGTATATGTGTAGATATGATTACACGTACTGTATATGTACATGATTGTATCCATCATATTTAAATGTTTAAGTTTTTGACAAATTCTTCATCACTTTTTGCAGTGAAGGCATCATCTAATTTTACTGTTACTGCAGAAGAAACTGTCTCTGCCTGTAATGACGCCTCCTTTCTGTTTTCATCCATATCCTCTCTACACTGTGTCCTTCCCTTCGCAGCGTGATGGACGTGTACCTTTGAGTGTATCCTGTCCACAAACTGCTGATGCTGCAGACTGAGCACCGGATCGAGCCGAGTCTGTCCACGCAGCAGGTCCACATACAGAGCGGCGTGTTTGTTCTCCACGTTGTCCAATAAATCTGGGATCTCTCTCTTGTAGCAGTGGCAGTGGTTTTCAGGCGGGGCGTGGTCTACAGACTCCACTCCCTGTTCCAGCTCCCAGTCCAGAACTAAACAAAGCAAACTCATGGATCACAACTGCGGCGTTCGAGAACACAGTACGACTCTTGTCCACCTGTCCTCAGCAGGATCGATGCTTGTTGTTTTCCTACGGCCGCAGCTGCCCTGAAATGCAACACCTGCCATAGTGTGTGTAGAGTTCCAGTCCAGGCCAATCGGGCGAGTTTCTGACGCCTTCTGTCCGAGCTGCGTATGTCTGGCTGGTGTGTGCTGCAAAAAGAAGTCAATATTATCTTTATATTAACAAGAGTAATATTAGTCATGCACACATTTAATATGGTGCGTTTTGGACACTTAAAGATACTTTACAAAGCAGTATTCACTCCCTCCATTGTGGTGACAAACTACTAACGCCCTAGGTCATATTGACAGAAGCGAGCGGCAATGTCTATGGACTTAGGACACGACGATAGTTTGACTCTTTACAGCTGCCCCACTGTGGCACCCACAGGTCTCCCATCACAGTACTGACCAGGCCCTGCCCTGCTTAGCTTCAGAAGTCTGTCCAGATCTGGCTTTCACATACATGCAGAAAACCAGTAGAAGGCGCTAAAAGAAAAATTAAGACCAACCAGCAATAATTAGTATTCAGGTAGAAATATAATTGTAGTAACTAAATAATGATAATAATGATGTTGTTTATAACCAAAATCTTGTTTTTTCATTGAGGGCTTTATACCTGGATGTTCATTTACAACTAAAGTATCATTAAAGTTAGCCACATATTCATTCACTTGTCTGTATCCTAAAGTGAGTAGTAAGTGTGGAAAACCCAAACCAATAGATATTTATTATAATTATCTAACCTTTAATTCAGACGCATAAAGAGTCCATAAAGAGGACAAAAACAGATAAAAAAATATAATTGCACTTTTGCCATGTAGAAGAGGCGATATGGGGAGAGCAGTCTTTTCTCTTCTCTCACAATAATAAAATAATGTGGAATTGTGACGTCTCCACCACGACAAGAGATGCTACATGTGTTTTATTTTACAAATTAGCAAAGCAATGTTTAATTCAGCGCTGGACATATCCTGTCACTGAATCTGCCTATTGTAAAATTAAACAGATAAATGGTTCAGTGTTACCACCAGCTGAAAAGAAGTCTGTTTTGTTCTAACAGCAGTTACTTTGATGCATCCAAACGATAACAAAAACTTACAAATAAAGCGCATTATAAAACCGAGGTATTGTTATTATTATTATTATCATTATGTATAAAAGTTCCTATTCTTGGCACAACCAGCACCAGTAAGAGGAGAATAGTTAGACCAATGTCCGCTGTCAAGGATTGTTATGTATTTGGTGCGGTCAGGAAGCATTGCATTTGACAATTCTCCTTCCCCACAGACGTCTCTCACACAGCGGCTGGTACCTGACAGGGAGCAGACGGTACACTGGCGGGAGGCTGTTCGTGTCCAGTCTGTACCACATCTTAAACAGAGACAGCTCCTTCATCACGTCCCCCACGCTCCGGTCCTGGACCGGGCTCAGTCTCGCCTCCTCCTCGTCTGAAAAGGCCTTGTCAGTCTGCTCCTCTGCATTCACCGCCTCGTCTCCAAAACTCAGATAGTGGCCATAGACAGATTCTTGAAAGTGTTTTTTGGTGAGGTCAGAGGAAATGTCCGGTCTGGGAGATGGCCAAGTGAAATTAACGGCTTTGTTCTTGGATATTAGCTCTTTATCTTTCTCCAGGAGTTGAAGTATGGATTCGAAATCTTCTTTTTGAATCGCAGAAGGAAGACGTCGCACCTCGTATTTTTGACCAACAAACAGCTGCAGACACAGAGAACATTAATTTCAACAGCTTAAATTAGCAGCTACAGCAAAGATTCAAAAACAATATTTTAAGTTATAAAAATTAAGGAAAATGATTCTAACATATTGTAAATATGTAGGGAAAATATGTACCTAAACTATGCAGTTTTTTCTTCTTCCGTAAAACCAAAGGAAGAAACTAATAATAATTATATGCTGAAAAAGGGGGTGGGAATCAATAAGTTCATCCCACTCCTTGTTAAGTAACCACTGTTTTTTGTTATTGTACAAAAGGTACACTTTTTCATTGTCTGCTTGAAATAAACTAAACTACACTCAATATAGCGAGTCAAAATAAAGAAAATCTTCAAACGTGGAAAATAATCTTGAATCAAGTGATCTTTTATCTTAATTGGAGTACATTCTGACTGTCATAAAACAGGATTTGTCAATGGAACAAAGCCATCTAGTCTTATTCCAAGAACTGTTGCTTTATTTTCTCATTCCAAGAGAAACATTTCTTGTATCTTTTTAAAACAAGATAATTTTTGTTTGTCCCATTTGCAAATCTTGTTTTAAGACAGTCAAAATGTGCTAAAATTAAGTACATTTTGCCAAATATAATCTTTTTTTTAAATCACTTTTTGCAGTGTATTTGTCACATACAACATGAACAACATCTGTCTTTAGTCAGGTTTAAGCAGTCAAAAGCACACAAAACAAACAAATTTTCTTACAATAAAACAGAAGCAGTGGGATTGTTGACATTGCCTCAGAGTTTCCAGGTGAAGCTGGACGGTGTCATGGTGCTCACAAATAGAGTTTCTCAGTCCACAGCGGAGGTCAAGCATTCTGAAGTCACAGCCTCTCTGCTTACAGTAAAGATAGAGCCTGGGATACACGGTCTCCATGAGCGCCGCTCTCTCTGCCCCCGAGTCTGGACACGACACAGCATCTCTCAATCATCATCGTGCATAACAGTAAAATAACTACTGCTATTATGGTGGACAGATATGGAGCTAATGTTGTTTCTATAATATTTGTGTGTGCGTAAACAGATTTGTGTGTGCGTAAACAGATTTGTGTGTGCGTAAACAGATTTGTGTGTGCGTAAACAGATTTGTGCGTTTGTAACCAGATTTGTGTGTGCGTAAAAAGATTTGTGCGTTTGTAACCAGATTTGTGTGTGTGTAAAAAGATTTGTGCCTTTGTAACCATATTTGTGTGTGCGTAAAAAGATTTGTGTGTTTGTAACCAGATTTGTGTGTGCGTAAAAAGATTTGTGCGTGCGTAAAAAGATTTGTGCGTTTGTAACCAGATTTGTGTGTGCGTAAAAAGATTTGTGCGTTTGTAACCAGATTTGTGTGTGCGTAAAAAGATTTGTGCATTTGTAAGCATATTTGTGTGTGCGTAAAAAGATTTGTGCGTGCGTAACCAGATTGGTGTGTGTGTAAATAGATTTGTATGTGCATAACAAGATTTGTGTGTGCGTAACTAGATCTGTGTGTGCAAAAAATTTTACAACTTAGTTAGATTTGTTTATTATTTCCATTATCAACCCGACAATCTTTTTACGCACACACAAATCTGGTTACGCACACACAAATCTGTTTACCCACGCATACATATTATTGAAACAATAATAGCTCCATAATAGATAACTATGGCCAGCGCAGGTGGACAAACGCAAGACAAAATATCTGGCCCTCACAGTCACAAGGTCCCATTGTGTGTCCGTGGTATGACTCTGATATGTTCTGATTGTTTCTGGATGCGACACGTGTGTCTTTCTGAGTGTGACGTATCTGTGACGTAACATTGACTAAATAAACCATGTCCTGACTTTGTTCTGTCTGAAAAAACTGAAACAACTGAAACCTGAAGGAAACTGAATAAACTTCCAGGAGCTCTGGTGCACCTCGATCCCGTCTCTGTGTGGTTCATCTACGACAGAATGTAAAAAAATCCATTCATTCTCGCTCCTTACTCTCAAAACAGTTTGCTTCTTCCACTCTATCACTGCGTATTATCCCCCAGCTTTAAATTAAGCAGAATATCCAAATAAATATGGAAAGATAATTTTATGTTTAATCTAAAGTGAGAGAAAGAGAGTGATGGGGGGGGGTGTTGGGTCAGAGAGTGTTTTGGCCTGTGTCTTGTCTTCAGAGTGCATTGTTGTGTTGTATGAGTGAGAGGTTTGAGCTAAATAATCGTTCTTTTAAAACAGTGTATTGCAGTTTATAAGTTTTGTATCCTGTTAATTATCAAATTGTTTTTTGTATATACATGTTTGGAATAAATTACTACTATCACAGTATCACTATTAGTGCTACAACAGCTCCTCCACCTCCTACTGTTGCGGCTACTTCTGTTCCCCCTGATCCTCTTCCTCCTCCTACTACTACACAACTACTACTACTACTATAACTGCAACTACTACACTACTACTACTACTACTACTATAACTGCAACTACTACTACTACTACTACTACTATATTACTACATCTCCTGCGCCCCTCCTCCTCTTCCTCCTACTACTATAACTACAACTACTACTACTACTATAACTACAACTACTACTACTACTACTACTATATTACTACATCTCCTATGCCCCTTCCTCCTCTTCCTCCTACTACTACACTACTACTACTACTACTACTACTACTACTATAACGGCAACTACTACTACTACTACTACTATATTACTACATCTCCTGCGCCCCTCCTCCTCTTCCTCCTCCTACTACTACTACTACTACTATAACTACAACTACTACTACTACTATAACTACTACAACTATATTACTACTACATCTCCTGTGCCCTGTCTTCCGCTTCCTCTTCCTCCTTCTACTACATTACTACTACAACATTAGTACTACTACGACACAATAAATGCTGAGTTATCAAAAAAAGCTGCCTCAAAGATTACTCTGACACGAGTACTACTACTGGTTCAATAAGGTAATTTCTTTCTTTTTGTAGTTCTTGGGAATAAAAAGTACTAAAATTACATTACTATTCCTCCCATGATCACAGAACACAATAAACCCACTAAATTAGTTTAAACTGAATGCGTCTCTGACCTCTATAACCTCCACAGATGTAGACCGTGACCCTCCCGTCGTCTTCAACACGCTCCACGTTCTCTCCATTTGTTAAATCCAGTGCATTCTGATTCTGACGCTCTGAAAAACCATTACGTCTGTCCTCTTTCTCTTCATCGCTGCGGCCAGAGCTGTCGTTCATCATATTTCCTGTCTTATTGCCTTTAAACTCTCCATGACTAACAGATGGCTTTTTTGATTCTTCATGGCCACTGCTGTCTCCCAAACTGCCAGAGGTTTTACTCTTGACCTGTAACAAAAAAGCAGATTATAAGATGAATAAACAACACACAAACTAGAGGGTAGTAAAAAGGAAAAAAGGATCTACCTGGTGTGTGTGGTTGTCATGGACTGTCGGGAAATGCAGACTGGTATCCATTCTCTATTGGCCGTTCATTTAGATTCTTGTGTGCAATTCTAGTTGTTCCAGCATCACATATAAAATGGTCGGTGATATAAAATGTGCCAGTGAATATTATCATAGAAAATGGCCAAACATAAGCTAAATTACAATATAAAGCATTTTGATAATAATAATTACATTAAAGTATGACGTTCATAGCAGAGAATTCGTGGAAGATTCAATAATTTACTCTTACCTTGTGTTTTATTGATTTATGGATTTGTCTATAGGCAAAACACGTAGATTGTGTTAGAAGACACGCTAGTAAGTGGCAGTGACTAACGGCAAGAGACAAGTCAGAAGTTAAGAGAGAAGTCACAACATTTTACTAAATAGATGGAAAAGGGAGGATACAAAAATACTATAATAAAATCTTACATGGTTTTGTGTATTAGTTGGCAGAGTTCAGAAATAGCAGGAGTGGATCTCTGACAGAAAACCCCACGATTGATGTCACGACCACAGACTTCTGGAGTTCTGTGGCAAAGATCCACGCGCACACCTGTGATCCTCGCGCGCACCTGGCCTGGCGGAAGTGACTCCTTCACAATAAAATACTGTATTTGTTGGTTTATCTTTGTTTCAGTATGTAGTCCATAGACTGTAGTTTCAGGGATTTTATACTCATTTAAATTATAGATGCGAGGCACACTGTCACTTTATTTGAAATCATGAAATATTATAATATATTGTCCTTGCTCTACTGGTTTGAAGACACTGAAATGTACTTGTCTCCAGTGTCCCAAGGCTCCAGAACTTATTTATACCATTTCGCCATTTACTCAAGAAAACCACATTGTTGAATAGTAATAGTAAAAAATGTACCACTCTACTACAATATACCAGAGAACATCCAAACTCATGCTTAATTAGTGATAATTACATTTCTGTGAATTTCTCGTGTGAGATTAATAAAGTACATCTTATCTTAAAATAGCTTAATATGTAAAAAAAAAAAAAAAAAAAGAATCTATAGGCTACATACAAGTTTAGTCTGTCAAGTACCAATAGAACTGGTAAAATTTGCACTAAAAAAATAATATAAATGAGTAATAATGAGAATAAATGACATTGAGAATAGTTGCAATCAGGGGGTGGCAATCAGAGCTGCCATCCAATTGCACCAGTTATTTTATACTATGACATATAGTTAAATAAAAAATAATTTACTTAAACAACTATGTTAATCCAAATAATAACACACTGTAAAGACCAACAGTTTTATTTAGATGTAAAAAGTCCATTAGAGAAAAAAATACATCAAGTAACATAAAGCACATCAATCTGCTCTGTCATAAAAACGACCTGAAGCGTCCACAAAGTAACGTGAAGAGCCTGTGTCCGAGTCGAGGCAGTGAAATAGTCGCTGAGACAATCCACTGCATGAAGAGCGGACGTGACCAGGCAGCAGCGATCGCCGTGTGAGATCTGGGGAGGTGCAGCTCTAGGTCTTGTTTCAAAAACCGAGGCCTCTGAAACCGGGTGAGTCCAGGGACCGAGCCGGCTTTGGTCTCAGGACGATCCAGGCGTCAGGGAAGAGAGTTTTCAAGGCTGCGAGAGGCTGTTTGAAGTTCACAACATACAGCAGAACAACATTGAATCACCAAGTTACTCCCCGTTCAGTCCTCTTCCTTTCCTCCGGTTTTGCTTAGCTGTAATGATAAATGTAAAGAAAAGCAATGAATTTGATTAGATTCATCTTTATTGTCATTAAAATGTTCAGGAAAATGCAATGAAATGCAGTTTGGATGCAAACCAGAAGTAAATAAATATACATGCCTTTAATAATATGACATTTATTAATATTTATGGACTTTGGTCTCTGCCCTTTATGGACCAATGGCGCTATGTGCTTTTTAAATCATTGCATTTCCTGTGTGTTGGCGAATCACCAACTTTGTTAAGTCTTCTGAGATACCTACTGTTGCTTGAATTGAATTGCATCTATGTGAGACGTTACAAAGTGGCTATTGCTAGTTTAAACCAGTGGGGGTGGGTCCCAGCTCAAAAAGGTCCTTGAGCGCTGACATGCTTGCAATCTCATTCCGGGCTCGTGGGGGTGTACCCGGAAACAGAATTACCCAATGCATTTGTATGCCACTTTACAGCCAGGTCCAAAAGTTGTATGTGGCTCAAGGATACATACCAGATGCTGTCAATGCTGAGGGGAGTCTTTTTTCTTTTTTTTTTTTGGACCAGCCTAATTTACCCACTTTGAACTTTTGAATCCACTCACGCCAGCTAACGCATGCGCAAATGCGTTGAATCTACCTCTGTCTGTGGCACATACATTTAAACGAAGGAAATAGTCGTCACTACGTCTGTTAATGTTTACAGTCTATGGTATAAACATGAGTTATATTATATTATCAAAAACTATTAACTTTGAAATAGTTCTAGACATAAGGGTAGAGATGAGAAATATATACTTACATGCTGAAGATCAGAGCAGCAAATAGAAAAGAAAAGAACAAATTAGTAAACATTTCTAAAAGGTGTCATTCAAGAGCACAATTCAAGGTTCACTTACTTTAATGACGTCCACCCAGTCCCAGCCTCGGGGCAGCTCTCCTTTGTTATCTGCACAATACAACAATAGTTATTATTACACATGTTGTTATAATGACACCAAACAGTGTAGAAATTACTCATATCGGCTACACGTGAACCATAAGATTTCTTGGCTCTTTGAACTCACTCACTTTGTGCCGTCAGACTGTACAACAGACCTGCCTGAGTAAACCACGTGCACTATTGTCAGTTAGTTAGAAATGTTTATAATTGATGTACTTGTATGGATGCATTTCTGGACACCTGCATTTCTCCTACAAGGATTGCATATTAGTCTCTTCTTGATATTTGGCCCAGTTTTGGTTGAATCCAAACCTACTAGAAAATATTATCCAAATTCATGTCAAATACAGTTAATTTGTCAAAAGATGAAAATATGTTAAAACACTAAAGCATGAAATAAAAACACTTTCCTCTACTAATAGATATTATGTTTTGAGTTAGGCCCCAGACAAAAGTGAGTTTGACCCCCCTGATCTACAACATGTAAATAAATAATCTACCTGTCTTGCTGACCATCCTTCTCTTCTGGGATTTCGTGAGCTGCTCCTTCTTCTCCTTCTTCTTCGCTGGTGCTGTAGTTGTGACTTCATTGTTTGAAATCAGCGTCTGAAATACAAAAAATAAAATACTGTGTTTAATGATGTGTGTAGAACAGATTACAGCAAAATTAGAAGAAGAAGTTATGACTGACCACAGATTGGACGACCGGTCTGTGATTCTCCATTAGAGATTCCTGATTTTCTTTGGCCCATTCGAATAAAGTGTACATCATCGCAGTACCTAAATTGGCGTCTACTTGTTCCTCCAACTTTGACAGAATAAACTGTTTTGTTTCTGGAGAACTAGAATAAATGAAACAACATATAGTAAAGAGATCAAACATCAGCTTTTCTGTACCGTCGCTCCCATGCTTACATTTTGTTATTGAAAAACGCATCTAAGGACATTTGAGGAGCTGTCTCAGGGTACGTGTCTGGCCAAGAGAAGTCCAGGATGAAGGCTTTGGAGTCCTCCAGGTCTCCTATCTGCTCAAATCAATACACATAACAGTAAAAGTTAAGACATTTTATCATGGATAATTAACCAGTGCTTGAATATTATTTTATACTATTTTCTAATTGAGACATATCCAGACTAAGGCTTGTCAGTTTAAGCAGCTCTGTGTCACGCCAACTCAAAATAGTCTTTGAGATCATAAACATTAACAGATCACAGCCAACTTTCAGACAAAGTTTCAGCTCATACCTCGTTGTGAAGCTCAGGATCTCTGGAATCCAGTTGTTTACTTTGTTTGACTATACTGACAATAATTTTGGATTGTATGACGCTAATGCATCTACAGAGTAAACCTTTATCGTTCAGCAACTTCATCCCCACCAAATACAAACCAATACAGATACGTCATACCTCATTTTAAATCTTAGAACTGCCCACACACAGTGATTCGTGTTGTCGGTCCCTGCTGGTTACTTTTGGAGAGCTAAAGTGGCCTCTTGCTCAACAGTTTGGAATGACTGCTTAATAACTATTGGACTATATCTTATTTCAACTCAGTAGTAGAACACCCTGTTATGTTTGGGCACACACCCCTATTATAATATAAAATAAAACAAGGAAAGCAAATAAAAACCCATAGATCCATGCTCTTACCCTGTACTGAAAATTCACTGGACTGATTTCCTTGAAGCAATCATCTCCTTCGTAGATGGAGCGCAGAGCCTCCAGCTCCATCTGGAAGAAAAACAGAAACATTGAGCATTCGTGTGATTGGCAGAAACGTAGTATGAGCACATAAACAACATGACTTGGGTTTGATACAGTGAGTACAGAACTATACACCAGCTGGTACCAGGAGCAGCTCATGTTAACACTCATTGCTGTTACCTCTTGCTCCTCCTTCGCTGTCATAGTTAGTCTTGTTCTCCTATTATTGCTCCTTGTTATGACAGGTCGTGAAATTCTACAGTATTAGACCTAAATGCCCATTTTTGTCTTTAAAAGTTTAGTAAAGCTTAGCACACAGCACTCCACACCGCATCATCCGCCATGATATCGTACGCATGCGCAGTTGGGCGATGCTGTGGGAAAACTAAACATAACAATTAAAATAACATTACATTTTATTTTCATTAGTCTCCTCGCATTATCTTATCCTCCGGCTGCTTTTTATTAATTTTCTCTAAACATGTTACTGGTTACTAAAGAAAGCACTCACGTGGTTACCGATGACCATGTATTACCGGAAGAGGGCGCCAAAAGCTCACTTTTTACAGCAGCAATAAATAGATAAATAATGAACAAACAATGACACATGTTTCACTAATGTCTTTGTTGTGTTTTGGCCTTTACAACATGATTTATTCTAGGAAGTTAATGAGACATATGGAATTATACTCATTGATGTGATTGGAAACGTTGTTTTTATTTATTTGTTTGAGTGGGTCACATCATATTGATATTTGGATATGAATCACATCTATCTAGTGTAAATATGAAAGGTTAGAGCAGAAATGCTAGTTCAATTCAATTCAATTCAATGTATTTTTGTATAGCCCTAAATAATATTTATTGCAGAGGACTTCACAAAGTTGTCAATTCGCCAACACAGATTAGAGAGTACAGCAGTAGTAAAGCAGTAGCAATAGAGCACACACAAAATTCAATGATGAAAAACACATTGGTCCATAAGGGACAGATGAACAATGTCCAATGATATTAATAAACTACCATAAATGTCCCTAGTCCCCAAATACCCATCTCCAAAAGAGAAAAAGGAATAGTAGTAAATCTATATAAGGTCATTAAAGCTGGAGAGAAAGAAAGTCATTTTTGCATAGTTCCAGTTGGTTGATCAAAATAAAAATAAATAACCGAATAGTCTTCTAAACATCATAACTTTTCCCTTCAAGTAAGTGAGTAATCTTTTTTTATATAGCGCCTTTCACAGACCAGAGTCACAAAGCGCTGTGACTGAGTGAGTTTGTCGTACAGGAGGCACATATCGTGCATGTTTTTAGTAGTAGGGTAAACCGGAGCACCCGGAGGTAACCTACGCAGACACAAAAACATGTGCAAACTCCACTCAGGAAGGCCCTTCTTGCTGAGAAGCGAGAGCGCTATATCCACTCAGCCACCATGCCACCTTCAGACCCTCTTCAAAACAAATCTATTCTTTTTCTCCAGTTTGAGATTAGATAACACATCTGTGACCCTCGAGTCTGTATTTTTTATTGAATAACTGTGTCGGAAAGCAGCTCAGGGGCAGGTTATAAACTGTTCTCGCCCAGAGGAGAGAATATAACCAGGAGGTAAATGAGGAGAAAACAATACAGTAAACACTAACAAGAAGAGACATGTGGTGCCCTTTCCGAGTCAATGTTTGCCCGAGGAATCAATGGAACTTGTGCATCAGAACATGTTGGTTTTCTGCAATAACACATGTATCAACCTGTGGCCTGTGCACAACCTAAACCTAATCCATATTTTGTAACATTTAGCAGGTTCTTTGACCATCTGACCTCTGTGCACAATGATATTCTGAGGAGGCTGATTGAACAGAGTTAGATCTGGGTTTTAGAGCTGTTGTCGACACAGGAGGGTCCGTTAGACTGTTAGAGGGTCCAACTAAAAGGACTGATGATCCAGGACACTCTACATTCATCCATTACATTTATATTTTTGTACGCACATTTTAAATTGTATTCTAACTTGTATTTTGTCTGTTTTTACCTGTTTTTATTGTGAAGCGCTTTGTGACCTTGGTCTGTGAAAGGCGCTGTATATATAAAACTTACTTTCTTACTTACGTTCTACAACATTTATGGTCGTTAACCCTTTAATATTTTCCTCAACCATCTGGAAAATGTATAATACTCTTTGAGTCGCTTCTTCTCTGACAATGTTCAAAGCCAGAAAACCAAAAAACAAATCTGATTTTCAGAACTGTTTAGCTGCTACAACTGAAGGATTGAATCTTCACTTTTTTTAATCTACTGTGATTATTTATGATTGTAATATCCTTTTTCCATTTGAGTTTTGTGCAGAACTTTTAGTTACCTTGTGTATGAACTGTGCTATAAAAATAAACTTGCCTTGTCTTACAGTTAAATACCGGTATACAGCATTCATGTCAAACTGCTTAAATGAGTGGCTTTCTGCCATTCGTCCTGAAATAGTAGTTTGGAGTCCTGAGTACTAGCTTGAAGACCCTTGTGTCGCAATCTACATCTCTAATAATACTAATAATAATACATTTTATTTATATGGCGCCTTTCTGGGCACTCAAGGTCACCTGCAGTTACCACAAGCCACTTTGTTGTTTGCTTTATAAGTTTAGTTTAAGATTTAGCGAAAATGTCACCCTATTTCCTCCACCAATACTCCACTACCAACCCGACTGGGATTTGTGACACACTTTTCACTTTGTGCTTAATGCAACTTTGTCACTGCTCGACTGGAGTGGATTCCCTACCGACTCTCAGTGTCTGTTTCTCTGCCAAAACAACCCAACACCATCCAACTCTAAAACGCTCTTATTCTAAGTTAGATGTCCTGGTGACAGAGATGTTTATTTGGATTGGTACATCTCTGGAGAAAGCAGTTCCAGGCGCCAATTTAGGAGCAAGCCCTATAGGCCCGACGTCGTAGGCAGAGTGGATAAGCTAATTAAGAACGGTACAGAGGATAATAACGGCCCTGACTTTTGTCTCCCGTCTTCACTGAACAATAATTGCATTTCACACTTGGGTTTTGTGGCAGTGTGTCATTGTAGGGCTATGGAAGGAGAGGAGAAAAACACAGACTATTCAAGGGGATCTACTGTAAACAGGGATATATTTAATGCGTAAGAGAGCAAATGTTAGCATGGTTGTTAATTACATGATTGGGTATGATGCCACATGGAGGGATAGGGGATAAGCCAAAAATGATAAAATATTTGTAGAAATGTGTTGTTAGTACAAATTTGGTGTAAAAAATAATGATAAAAAAATTCAATTCTTTTTTTATTTTTACAAAAAACTCATAGTTATACAAGTTATACACATAATATTTGTAAAGTTGGTTGGTGTCTTGTAAAAGGGAACTCCCAGGAAGCTGCCTTAGCTTAGAGGGGGTGTTATCATAGCATAAGGCTGCCTTGTCCTTGTGGCTCATTATTCTTGTTGTGTTTGTTTTATATGGAACCTTTGTGTGTCTGAATTAAAGTAGTTAAGTTAAAATTAAATTACAATAAAGATATCGCCCATAGACTTCAAACCTACTAACATATAACCCCAACCTCAATAAACCTGCTCTATCTACAACACATGCTTATAAGTCACAGATTTTTGTAAATATTGTCTGTTTTTGTGTTGACCTCATATATGTCTGAATCAAAGATAAAAATAAAAAAAATGTCTGTGTTGTCACTATAGAAAACACAGCAACAATTAAACATTGAGAAATGAATGGATAAAGCCAGACTTTATCTCTGCTCTTAACCCGGTGTTCTCAATGTTTTTCCAATCTGCTATGGTCCCATATATCTATTTTATGACTCAGCTATTTAATTGGCTCCTCTTTCCACTCCATCCACTTCTGTGAGGCCAGTACCACCGCCGCCACAGGAGAGACCTGACTTTGTTACGCATCCGCCTGAATACTTACTTCTCTTGTTTCTCGTACTTTATTCTATAGATTCTAGTGTTTGTGTTGTCGTCTAATCAATCAATCAACCACCATGTTTTTTTACCCCTATTGTTTACATCAGGGAGCCGCGGGTAATGACGTGGAATGGAGATGATAGTGTAGTCTGCTTGTTTTGCTACAGACTAAGTTCAACAGAGCATCTTCTGGCCTTGATTGTAAAGAATTGTGCAAAGTTTCTCAGGAGGATTTTTTTTAAAGAAACACACACATTAAAGCTTTAGCTCAAGGTACTATTTCTATGTAAACACTTGACTTAGCAGGGGACTTGGCCTTGGGAGTGTGTGAAAATTCATTCTTCATTATTCTGCTGTAGTCATGATTTGCACTTTGAAAAGCACTTTGAGTTGCCCTGTGTATGATTGATTGATTGAATACTTGATTTTGAGGCATACAAAACTCAAAATTCTGCACAATACCACTTACATGGGCAACAAATGAAGAACAAAACATAACAAAGAGGAACATATATGTATGGTTAAAAAAAAGAGTTTGGCTCAAAAAGGAGTAGGAAGAAGAAGAAGGAGTGGGAAGAAGTGTATGTGTATGAACAGTGTAGATGAACTGTGATACAAAAAAATTGCCTGCCTATAATCATGATCCATCCAACCATTTTCTCCCCCTTTGTCCATTTCTAAGTCCCCCGACTGTGGCAGTCAGAGCTGCACCCAAATCACAGAGCACCAGCCCCTCACTGATCCTCCTGCAGGTGGTGGGTTCACAGGAGGATGGCTGCTCTGTGGGTGATGTCACATGCCCGTGATCTTTCAGTGGGGGCTTCAGACAAAGTGGGGTTATGTGTCTTGCCCAAGGACACAACAATAGCAGACATCAGTGGGAGTAGGTGGAGGAGGTCACGCGGGGGGCTCAAACCCACAACCTTCAAGCTCAATGCATTGCTACTTTTGAAATATTCTTCACACTGAGGTTTAACAATAAGCCAAAAAACGGGCGAAAATTTGACACCGTTTATCTTTATGTCAGCACATTTTGACTGCCTTAAAACAAGATTTACAAATGGGACAAGCAAAATTATATTGTTTTAAAAAAAATACAAGAAATGTCTCCCTTGGAATGAGACTAAAATGGCTTTGACCTATTGGCAAATCAGAATGTACCAAAATTTAGATAAAAACACTTGAACCTAGCATTTATTACCTCATATTTTACCACTTTTTGCAGTGAATAAGGTGTAGTTAATATTATGAATGAATCCACAAAGC